ATTAAAGGGGTGTAAAAACTATGTTGATGTAAGATTTTGGTTAAAGATTTCACTAGGGATACGTTTGGTTAGTGTGAAGTAACGAAAAAGAAAGAACAAAAAACGAAAACTCATTTGATCATCGCTTTTCAAAATTTACATGTTAATTTTTGCATCAAAATTATATTTTAAATCAATGTCACCCACTAAAAATCAAACACTTAACCATTTCTTGACAAATAAATAATAATATTTTTTAATAATTCATATTTTATTAATTTTTTGCTAAAATAAACAATTGAATATAAAGAATATTCATATTACACATTTTATTTTTAGTATTTGAAATTATAAGGGTATTTTAGTAAGTATAATTATTTTCTTTTTCTTTTCATTCTATCCAAACTAACAAAATAATATTTTTCCACAATTTTTTTTTTTAAAAATATAATGTATGATAGAAACGTGTTGATTTTCCTTTTTTTTCACTTTCACTTTCCATTATAATTTGAACCCTAGCTTGTTTGGTTAGATAGAAATAGGAAGAAAAGAAAATAAATGGAAAATGAAAATAAAAGTGAAGAAAATAAAAATAAAAGTGATTTTCTAGTATATATTTAGTTAGGATGAAAATTTATTCAAAAAAATTATAGGAAAGTATCATATTATAGTTTGGATACATAAATTACCCTTATTTAATTTATAAAAATAATAAAATAATAAAGAATTAGTAATAAAATATATTAAGAAAATAATAAAATTTTCAATTAATTTAGACCTTCCAAATTACTATTATTCATATATGATGAAAACAACTAAGAATGGAAGTCTAAGTTAATTAAAACTTTATCAATGATAAAGTTGTTGTGGACTCCACAATTCTTTAAAACCCAATAAGAAATTATTATTTTCTCTAAATGTAGATGAAGTTGTTGGTTAAAATAATATCGAAGAAATTGTCAGATAAAATAGGAACACTAAATAAAAAGACGATATTTTAACGGGAAAATTTATTTTCCCATTTTTGGTGCTGCAAACATTTTGAAGAAAATAAAGGATTACGAGAATTCTAATTTTCTAAAACTTTTTATTTTCTATCTAACCACACAATAAAAAAAGTTTAAAATTTTTTTATTTTCTTCTTTTCCAGTTGATTCTATCTAACCAAATGGCGCAAAAACTATGTCAATGTAAATAGGATCTAAGTGCAAAAAACATCCCTCAAGTATGCAGTTTCAATTTGGTGCAATTAGGTCCCCTGACGTATTTAAAATTTAAATTGACAAAATTGCCCTTATTGAATAATTTTATAAAATATATAAAAATAATTTTTTTTTTTGTAAAAAGACCAAAAAGAACATTGGGAAATGATGAAGTTAGTAAATTAGAAGTTGGATATTTGGAAATGATGAATAAATAATCTGTTCAAATCACGGGTAGAATATTGTAAACGCATGCTAAAATTGTGTTTGATTTATGTTTTAAATCTCAAATGGATAAAAATATAACTGAGTAAATTGTGAGGTTGTGTTTCGTTTGTTATTGAAATGGATTTTTTTTTTTTTTTTTGGTATTATTAAAATTGAAATTTGATTGTTAAAGCTATATAATTGTTAGATAAATGATTAAGATTTAATGGTTTTGGTGGATAATAATCTTGGTAGTTTAAAAAGTCAAACAGGTTGTTGATCTCATTATGCCTCTTTTTTTTTTTTTTTCACTTTTTGTGTAAATAATGATTAAAAAAACTACACTCCATTTCACGAACCAAACAACTTTTGTAGAGGGTTAAATCACATTTATTAGTTAACCACAAAAAAAAAAATTATAAAAAAATTTCCAATACTGAGGTGGTTGCAAGAGATCGGCGGTTGCAGGGCAGAGCCTTAATCGAAGGTGCAGAGGGTGGGGAAGAGATCGACGGTTGCTAGCATGATGGCCGAATGACGGCAGCGAGTTCTGGCGCCGCCGAAGGTACTGGCAGCAGCGAAGACCAACCGGCGAAGGTTCTGCAGGCGTTAATGGTGGCGATTGGTGGCGGCAACATGGTCCTTGGGGATTTCAGAGACGCCGCTATCATACACACCGTCGCTCCAGCCGAGATTTAGATCGGAGAAACATTGGATCCGTAATCGGATTTCGGCCAGAGACCGCGTTGGTTTCTGAGGCTGAGAAATTGCGGTGAGTGTGTGGTGTGGCGGCATCTCGCCGGTCCTTAGCTGAGAAATTGTGGTGAGTGTGTGGTGTGACGGCATCTCGTCGGTCCTTGGCTGAGAAATTGTGGTGAGTGTGTGGTGTGACGGCATCTCGCCGGTCCTTGGCTGAGAAAATGTGGTGAGTGTGTGGTGTGACGGCATCTCGGTGGTCCTCGAAGGAAGGGAAGCGGTGAGTGCTACGAGTACCCTTAACCACCCACTGATTGTGATTTCGTTCTTGCTATATGTGTGGTTTGATTAACCTTAAACCAATGAACATGTAATTTGGAAGAGAGAGCAGGGGTGAGTGCTTTGATTAAGCTTAAATCTAATGGATTTTGTAAAGAAGGAGCAGGGTTAGACGAGTGAGAAGAGAGTGGTGATGGTGAGAGTTGAGACTTGATGGTAGAGAAAGTAACACTGTTGCTCTGGGCTTTCGCCTTGGTCCGTGGTTCTCGTGATCAGGTTTGAGGTGTATGGATTAGCGGTGAGAACACTGAAATTTCCGGTGGCACGAAGGACAGAGGTGATTGCATGGGCATTTTGGGAAAAATAAAAGGGTAAAATGGGTAAAACATCTCTCATTTATGTAAAATTTTTGACAGAGGGGTAATTTTGTACAATATTAAAAGATTAAGGGGGTTTATTACATACTTTTTCAGATATGGATTAAAAGTGTTACGAGATGTGTACTCCAGGTGTTTTCTACACTTACCCCATGTAAATATTCGGCCAAAAATTACACTTTATGTGAAAAATAGTAAATTTGTAATTGTGAAAACAGTTGTTAGAAACTCATAAAGTAAAGAATTAATAATTATTAAAGACTGTTAGTTGAAAAGTGAAAACAGACCTTTTTATAATTGAGTTTTTAAAAAATTGAACTAAAACAGGCCTTTTTATAATTGGATTTTCAAAAAATTGAACTAAAGAAAAGTATTTTTTTTGTACAATTTTTTATTTTTAATTTTTTGAAAATATAAAATTGTTTCCTAATTACAAATTAATCAACTTTGATCTCATCCCACACTTCAAACCCCACACGCTCTCATACGTGGAGCTACAAAAGAGTCCTAAAATTCAGGTCCATGAAAAACGAAAAAAAAAAAAAGAAAAAAAAAAGGAAATGAGTCAAAAGACTTTTCACAGCAAAATTACACCTTTTTGAAATAAAATTTGGAGCACACCTTCACAAAAACAAAGGGCATATTCGGTTTATAACTATTTTTAGATAATTGAAAATTAAAAAAATTGTATAAAAATTTAACTTGATTCAATCTTTTAAAAATTATTTTTAAAGAATAATTTTTTATAATTATCTCAAAACAGATTTATGTTAAGAGTCCTAAAATTCAGGTCCATGAAAAACGAAAAAAAAAAAAAGAAAAAAAAAAGGAAATGAGTCAAAAGACTTTTCACTGCAAAATTACACCTTTTTGAAATAAAATTTGGAGCACACCTTCACAAAAACAAAGGGCATATTCGGTTTATAACTATTTTTAGATAATTGAAAATTAAAAAAATTGTATAAAAATTTAACTTGATTCAGTCTTTTAAAAATTATTTTTAAAGAATAATTTTTTATAATTATCTCAAAACAGATTTATGTTTTATGAGTTTTTAACGATTGTTTTTGGAGTAACTCAAAATATAGAAAATCATTTTCAGACAAATATTTTTTTTCTTCTTTATATAATTGTGTTTTTAGAAAATATAAAGTAGTATTATTTTTTAATTTTTAATTATTGTAAAATAAAAAATATTTTTTGAGAGACAAATTAAATAATTTCTAATTAATTATTTTCAAGTTTGCTAACTCTGTCGACAATTGGGTTCGTTGGACAAAGCCACACGGCCTACCTACTCTTCAATTCTGTCGTTGTCTAATTTGACCAACAATTGTTTACGTCGCATCCTATTCACACGGTTCATAGGTGCCTCGTCTAAATTGCACTTATATAAAGAAGGGCACCAGAAGTCTCAAGAAAATTAGAAATGAATAAGGACAAAAATATATATGTATATATATATACGGAATACTCGAATCAACCCAATATTTTAATTTTTTTAAAATCTTTTTAAACTATTGAGGACTATTTTTGTACTGTTGCTCCCAGCAATTTATTAATCCACCTATCTATAAAAAGACTTCAAATTTAATTTAAATATCAAATTTGCTTGGATTCTCTCCTGTACATTAGATCTTATGGCATATAAGAGATATCCAAATTTATATTAATAAAAGAGAGATCCAAATTAGATCTTCACAAAATATAAAGAAAAATTAAGTCAAATTTAGAGATTATTTCTTTTAATTATCTAAAAATATCCATTTTTAAGTTTGAAAATAAAAGTACAGCACTTGAACTCCACAATTGTCCTTATCTTTATTTCACTACAAACAATATTAATTTATTTAAAATACTAGGAAAATTAAAAAATGGCATCTCATATAGTTGTTTAATGTAAGTTTGAATTATTTTAGCCGTGTCTATGAAAAAAAAAAAAAAAAATTATTATTATTTGACACATGCAGGAGTAGACTGTATATATTGTCAATGGTTAATTATGGGGAGATATAATAGTGTTTTTGTCTTGTAAAAGAAATTACTAGTAATAATAATAATACATCTATTTTGATTTTTGGATGCAGGACTAACGGATCAAGAAGTGGCAGATACGGCGTGGAAATTTCCGTTGGTAGAAAACAAAGAGGGAGGGCATAATTGATAATTACAGTAAATAAGGGGTAAATCCGGGATCTTAAGATGCTTGCACTTACGTGTATAAGACTTCCATACTTCTTTTATGGAGTATATATATATATATATGCGTTTAAGCGTACATTGGAAACTTACACCGAACTGGGAGCGGAGACGCTCTGATTGGCCGGTAGGCAACTCTCTCCGATTCCTTTGCCTTCTCTCTAGGTTTTTAATTTCCTATACATATACATATGCACGCTTTCAATAGGTTTCGCTTATTTACATGATTTTTCCTTGTTTATTAGTTTGGTTTTTTTGAGCTTAAGGTATACATTCTCTGGTTCTTGAAGTAATACTCTTCGAAGTTTTTATTTATTTATTTATTAAATTGTTCCCTTTTTAAGTTGAATTTCTCTCAAAGAAGTTTTGCGGTTAATTTTATGGACAGTTCTGCTAATTTATTTGGCCGTTTAAGTATACATATTTTTAACTAAAATATATTCCCGAAATCTAATGAGATAGTTCTGAACTATTTATTCAATGCTCTTCATTACTTGATAGAATCGAATCTGTTATCTCCTGAATATTATATGTATATATATATTTGGTCTTTTTTACCAATAATAATTATTACGCTTGTTTAATTGATTTTGTTTTTGCCTTTACCTTCAGAGAATTTTGCAGAGGAAGAGGCTGATCTTCAAACTTGCTACTAAGAAACAAGATTTTTGTCAGAGTATCGACACAGAGTCTTTGGCTTATTACTGGTTTGCAGGTGGTTTTTTGGAATTGGAAATCTCTTTATCAATTTATTTGTTTTCATTTGTGAGAGAGAATCAATCAATGTCCAGTAGTACAAGGAAAGGAAACGAGTTCTGGGGTTGGAGTAGGAGGATTTGTGGGTGTATATAGGACTCTTTTTTTGGTTTCTTGAAGTGAGGAGGTTTAGAAAGAAAAGATGGAGAGGTTAGTGTCGACGGTTCTAATGGAAAATCAGGGTGGAGCTGGAGGTGGAGGAGGAGGAGGAGGAGGAGGAGGAGGAGAGTCGTTAATTGGGACAATCAAGATAGCAGTATTACCCATAGCAAAGGTTTTTACTATTTGCTTCTTGGGATTTCTTATGGCGTCCAAGTATGTTAGCATCTTACCTGCAAGTGGGAGGAAGCTTTTAAATGGGGTAAGCTATCATTTTCTCCTCGATCAATACTCATCTTGTCGGCCCATCTTCAGTGAGGGGGACTACCTGATCCCTCAATCTGAATGTGATTTGTTAAATTTTTACAAATTCCCATTCCTAAAATTCCTTCTTTCAAATCTGATGCATCTTTTCTTTTATACTCTTCCTCTTCTTTTCTTTTTTTTTTTTTAATTCTCTTCAAAAAAAAAAAAAAAAAATTGCATTCCCTTTTTCAATCAAACCCTAATTTTTTGCCCAATCAAACCCTAATTTTTTGCCCTTCAATGTTATTTCATTTTTATTTATTTATTTATTTTTCCTCCCTTCTTATGTGCAGTAAATTTTTTAAAAAATTCCCCGTTAAATTTAGTACTGCATTTTATGAATTTAATGTCTGCATTTTATGTTTATGAATTTTTCTTCCCCTTTTGATGATACTAACTGGTGGTTAAACTATGATGTGCAGTTGGTCTTTTCACTTTTGCTTCCATGTATGATATTCTCTCAACTTGGACAAGCCATCACTGTACAGAAAATGCTTGAATGGTAAGGATTAAATTTTTTTCCCCTTATATATTTGAAACTAATATTTGGTTTTAAGTAGGTTATTTATTTATTTATTTTCGCAGGTGGTTTATTCCTTTTAATGTTATTCTGGCTACCATATCAGGCTCAATTATAGGTTTAGTTGTTGCTTCCATCGTCCATCCACCATACCCATTCTTCAAGTTTACTGTAGTTCAAATTGGAATTGGTAAGCTCATAATTCTGGAAAAAAATTTCAATTAACATTATTTGCATTCTAGGAAAATTTTATTTTTAATTTGTCTCAGAAACATTTTCTGTTGTTTATATCTGTGTTGAGTAAGCACCCCTAGTGGTTTGGTTTTTATTTTTTCTAATTTATATCATAAAGATTTTCTGTAGTCTATATCCACCTTAAATATGTAACCCTAGCGGTTTGAATTATTTTTATATGAGTTGCTGATTTCCAGTTCCACTATCAAGATGATGCATGGATGTATTAAAGTTGACAGGATAATAAAATGTGCTTAAGCATTGCTGTTATTGTACTTTCAACTTGCTAGTGTTTCTCCTTCTATTATGAAATCATCGTTTATTTTATTTATAGTTAATAGCTCTTGCCCTAACTGGGAACCCCGCACAGTTACTGAAACGACTGGTTTCCAATATTCCAATTATACTTGAAAAAGCAAGAAGTTTCTTCTCTTGAGACATGTCATTTACATGCAATTTACAAGCTATGTACTACTACTGAATTCATACTTTCTACTCGTAGTTGGATGAATTAGGTTATTCGGTTGAATGTGAACATGGTGACATATTGCAGTTCACCTCCACATATGGTTCTGATTAACATAATCATGAACCCAAGAAATCAGTTGTATCATTTCTACACTGGATGTATGTACACATATCTTATAGTTATGGTAGATTGTTGTCATTTCTGTGTATTCCATCTACACTTGATGAAGTTTAATGTTTTGGTACATTAAATTTGTCCAGAAGACTGCTCCCCTGTTTTCTTTTGCTTCTATGTATTAGGTTTATGCATTTTAGGTCCCTTGCATTAATCTGGGATTTACATTATATGCAGGAAATATCGGGAACGTGCCACTTGTCCTGATTGCGGCTTTATGTCGAGATAAATCAAATCCTTTTGGTGATTTTGATAAATGTTCTCAAGATGGAAATGCATATATTTCATTTGGCCAATGGGTAGGTTATGCGCAAATCTTATTCAGTTACTCATCCAGAGCCAAAGTAGTTATCTATATTCTATCAGTTGTTCTTTTGTATCACTTCACTTTTACTTTTAAGCCCAAACAATCTTGATTCTTGAATCATTGTGCTTTAAAATGCTTATAACATTTTAATTAGTTCATTTCTGGGGAAAGGTCACTTTTTTGTTCCCATGCATAGCAGTTGCAGAGAGAAGTATTAAGTGCATGTCTATCTTTATGTTTCAAGTAACTTGACTCATGTATTATTCTTTTTAAATTATACAAGTATAATTAGTTTATCTATCCAGGTTGGTGCAATTGTCTTATACACCTATGTATTTCATATGCTTGGACCTCCTCCGGAAGGCACCTTTGACATTGAGGATGAAAATCTTCCCATAAAGAGCCCACCAAAAGACTGCTCCCCTGACCAAGTTCCCTTGCTTACGGAGGAGGTTGTGCCGACAGATTCAAATGCTCCAATTAAAGGAAAGGTGAGAACCAACTTTCTTGTATTCTATATGTCATGGCACAGTATATTTTATTAAGCTCTTCCTACATTGTGGAAGTGGATCTAGATCATCTTTTGTTTTTTCCTTGCTTACGCAGGAGGTTGTACCAACAGATTCAAAAGCCCCAGCTAAAAAACAGGTGAGAACCAACTTTTTTGTATTCTATATGTCATGTCAATTATATTTTGTCAAGCTTTTTCTACATTGTGGAAGTGGATCTAGATCTTCGTTTTTTTTAGAGAGAAAAATGCTAGGAAAGTGACAATGCAACAGCTACAGGACAACTGGATTGGCTATAGAGTCTATTGGTGACAACCAAGAGTTCTCTAGTTCAACTCCTCCCTGACTTACCTGATACATGTAGCTTTGAGGTGGTTGCATGTATCCAAATGGTATAATCCACTCGCAAGAGGTGTGGCAAGACCCTCTCTTATAAAAAAAAAGGAACAAAAAACAGAGAAGAAGAAGAAGAAGGAGATATTGGCAAGCTACCATTATTATGTATCCTTTAAAACAATGCATAAAAATAAAGGTTCTGTTACATGAACTTCCTTCGACTGTCAGGACAAAAGAAATTATTTGACCAACCTGAATTATACAATTTCATTTTTAATTTAATGACTTCATAGTTCATACAACTGACTGAGGATGAGTTTTTTTACTTTCAGTGTAGCATTCAGTCATTCACATATAGACACTAACAAATCAACTTCAGGATACTGCAATAATTTAACTTGTGTTATCCTGTGCTGATGAGAAACCATTCAGTTCCATCTTTAGCCCGATTATCACAACTGAAAATGCACTTAATGTGATATTGCTATGATGAATAGTTGACCATTCTCATTGTTATAATATAATAAAGTGTCTTTGGCACAAGCATTACCATTGGTCCTCTCACTATTACAGCTTTCTATCTGTATTTCTGTGAGAGTTTACATTGAAATCACAAGACAACTTCGAAAATCCATGTTTTAGTTTACATTTCCAATACTAATCAGCTTGACATGGGTGTTTCCATGATCTGCTCTTGGATTTGTGCTAGTACTTGTTTTACTTTTGCTGCTTATTTAATCAGTACACAGATTTTATTCCTTACTATTCATGTGCTTTCGTGCAGATTAAACACTTCTTAAAATTTTTATATGAGAAGTTGAAGCTCAAGCAAATCCTTCAGCCCCCTATCATTGCTTCTGTAAGTTTAGTTTCCTAGAAATCGTTATTTAATTGATTTTTCCTTTTCTTTTTATTTGTAAATGGAACTCCTTTCACATTTTCCTGGTACACACCTTTCGTATGAAAGATTTTATTTTGTCTTCCCCCTGAATATAAATTGATAACCGTCAGTTCCATGCTTGTGAAAACTATAGTTTGCATTTGGTTCCAAGGTAATATACTCACTCCCAGATGGATTTAAAGACGACACAATTTGTGTTTCACAGTATGTTAAACTGTGAATGTCTGTCAAACCAACTTATGAATGGAACAGTGTCGCACAAGATGGTCAAAATGCCTGAGAAGGCACTGTACCATGAATATGGTCTTTCGGAACCCCATCCCGGTTTAATTATCTCTGCTGCACTTGTCAGTGTTTCCTGCAGTGCATACTTACCCAAGTGCTATGATCAGAAGGTTCCCAATAAGGACTAATAGAATTTAGTCATGAGCTGAATCATCTACGAGTTAAGAATTAAACATACATTCAGTGCTTGCCTGACTTCTGAAAATTCTTTGAATAATATGCTTGTTTGTTGGAGGGGATGAATCTTGCATTAGTGTGTCTGAATTCACCATCTCCACTAAAATGTTCCTTCAAGAAAAATTGTTTATCCAACCCCCAACTAAGTTTGTATGTATGTCTTTACTGCAGATCCTTGCCATGGTAATTGGAGCTGTGCCATTTTTGAAGCGACAGATCTTTACCACCGATTCCCCACTTTTTTTCTTCACTGACAGCTGCATGATTCTTGGGTATGCCTAATCATATATATATATATTAATAGTATTTGTTTGCTCCTTTTTGTCTTGAAATTTTGGCTGCTAATCTGTATGTATGTGCATGTACGTGCCCGTTTGTGTTATTGGCTTTGTCTAGGGCTGCTAGATGAAGAAAAAATTAATAAATGGAAATACTATACAATTATACATCCAGAATATATAAACATGTTCCAACTTTGAATATTTTTGGTTTATCATATTATTTTCAGTTCTTCAATGCACGTACAAATACATTTCATTGCACATGGGAAATTCTAATAGAGCTTACATGCATACAACAGGAAAGGATGTAAATTGTAAAATTCTTTAGTGCTTCTGTATTGTCCGAGTTATTTTAAAAATCACATCACATTTCATCTGCTTAAAACATTGAAGTAATTGTTTGCTTACTAGTATGTTGAATTTTTAACACCTAGAATGAATGTGAGCTTTGTTGGGAGTGTCTTGAATCGTTAATTAGGATACTGATTGAAACAACACAAATTGGCCCCTCAGGACTGTGCTTTTAAGCTTGGATTACTCATTGATTGGACTTAAATCCATTTCTTAGTCAGGTTACCAGGTTTTCTAAACGACTGATTGCAGTATGACCCTGTGGTGTGGAAAGTTTATAGAATTATCTGATTAGTTTTTCTTTAAAGCATTCTCAATGTCAAGTCGTCGAGTTGTGTTAGTGAGTTGATCTTATATGAACTAATTATCTGGTCAGGATTCTGGTTCTCATGAATGTGCTAAGTTTCAAATTACCGCTTTAGGAAATACAGTATCACTTGAACTGAAATTTGTCATTTTCTGCTATCTGCTTATCATCATATGTGACTTTGACGTGTGTGATTTTGCAGCATATGAGAACGAGTATTCTAATATTGATTGCTCACAACCGTCATCCCATTCCACTAATATACTTTTTGCTAGACGATTAGGCCTATATACCATTTATTCATATAAAAAATGAGGGGGTGATTCTGGATTTGTGCCTTTATTGCATGGCGTTTATGTTAGTACTTGCTAGTGCCATATATTTAGGCTGAATATGTTTCGGTACTTGTATATATATATATATATATGGTGTATATGATCTCAAGGCTTATGATGACTAACATAATGCGTTATTCTCAGGGAGGCAATGATTCCATGCATTTTGTTGGCATTAGGAGGCAACCTTGTAGACGGTAAGTTAACTATCCGATTAGTCATGTTTGCATCATTTATAGTTGTTTTTTGGGGAATCTTTGTAGAATCCATATGATACTCTTTTGTGGGCTAACTGGGAGATATCGGGGCTATTTGCATTCAACAAATCCTCCAAGATACATGCAATCCCCTTCCTACATGCATCTTGCAATTAATGGATAAATCCCTGTGGGGTGGCTATAAGGGGATGGACTCAAACTCAGGACCTCCTCAACTTGAAGCGTGTCCTGTTAGTCTCATCTACCCCTTGGTACCATACACTCATAAATCATCTCAGGAGGAACACAGGGATCTTATTATGCCTGTTCCCTGGTGAAACCATCTTGTATTTTCAACTGGCCTTCTAGCTTTTTGAACAGTGTATATTAACCAAGAAGTGAAATGGCATAATAATTTGTTGGTTGGTTGCAGGACCAGGGAGTTCAAAGCTTGGTCTGCGGACAACTGCTGCTATTATTTTTGGGCGGTTGGTTTTGGTTCCTCCAACTGGACTTGGCATTGTCATGTTGGCTGACAAGCTTGGCTTCCTTCCACCTGGCGATAAGATGTTCAGATTTGTCCTCCTCCTCCAGCATTCAATGCCTACATCTGTGCTTGCTGGTAACACCCTTTCTCTTTTGAAAAGATACTCCATTGTATATAATTTGAACTGAGAAGACAAACCCAAGGCAATAGGAAAAGCACTTGTTGCATTTTTATATCGCTTAGGCTCTTATATAAAATTTGCAGCATCTGCACAAAATTCATACATTTTTTCCTCTAAACTATCTTTGGTAGATAGAAGAGTACCATATCTGAACTAGTCATATCATTATAACTTTGGTTCTGTTTTCATCTTTTGCACTTACTGAATGATTGGTTTGAGTCCATATCTAGTTAAATTATATATATTTGAGATTCTAAATAGGCAAATAGCAACTGATCCCTATGAATATACTCGGGTCTTTAGGGTGGTAGAATGAAAGTTAAAAGCATAGTTCAGTTATTTACTTGTTCCTTCTTTATAGGTGCTGTTGCCAATTTAAGAGGTTGTGGGAGGGAGGCAGCTGCTGTCTTGTTCTGGGTTCATATCTTTGCAGTATTCTCTATGGCTGTATGGATTACTCTGTATCTCAACATACTCTTCTAAGACACTGGTGGGCCAGAAGCAGGGATAGGCTGCTGCTGTTAATGTATTGACATCTGGTTCTCGACTTGTCTGGGCTGGAAGGAGCAAGCAAATGAAGGGAGGCATTACAGGCCGACTACAAGAAGTAAAGCTTGGTAGACTCAACAAATCGCCCATAGAATGTCGACTACTTAGTTTTCTTCTAATATATATACATCATGATGTGGTGGTGGCAGCCCTGCCTCGTCTCTTTAGTAATGTTTTCCCATTTTATCAAATATCTAGGCAATGAGCATGAAATCATTTCATATCGCCTGCCCAAGGTTTTACTGGCAAGTTGGTGCTCACAAGAGCTGTAATGGTTATTTTTTTCATTCAATGTTTATTTTTATTTCTATTTCTATTTCTATTTCTATTTCGCAGCTGAATTTTAATCTCCCCCCTTCTTTTTCTTCTTTCTTCTTTCATGTTGCTATCTCATATAACAAACTGTTTTTTGCTTGAAAAAAAAAAAAAAAAAATGTCTAATAGTAAGATTCTCATAATAAGATTTTCATATCTCATCTTGAAAGTGGTGTGGAAACCTCTTGGATGAATCTCAGGAAATTTTTTAATAATTGCCTAATGCATGTTAAGTATCAATAATTGTACTAATCTCCTATCCATCAATGGACAATTCGATACAGAGGTTTACATAGTGAACTATGGAGTGGTTTAAAGTTCTTAACAATAAAACATTGTCTAACTGGGTGATGTAATCAATGAAAAACAAATTAGGCTGCACTATACGTATATGTTTGTATATAAATGTGCATAAAAAGTGCTGAGTAGATGCCTGAAGTTGAAGATTAGATGGAAAGTTTAGAAGCAAAAAATGAAAAAAGAAAAAGAAAAAAAGCAACTAGTTGCGTGTAGCACCAAGTGAGGCAAAATTAGGTGTGTGGTTAGAAAAACTACACATATAATTGCAATAATTGATGCAAAGTTGATGTGACAGCAAACTGTCAAGAAAAGGTGAAGTATACAATACTAGTTTCTCCACTGTGCTTACCCAAAATGTTTCTTCTTGAGAAGTGACCCCTCACTTTGGTGGGCTGGGCTGGGTGAGGCAATTGTGACCCAGTTCGAATAAATGTGGGTCATTTTGGATTTGCAGTGAAATGGACATAAAGGCCGGGCCAATTAACCGAACTACCTGAATTTTGCAAAAACGTGGAGGAGCAATTGATGTGGTTGTCTCTCTCTCTCTCTCTATGTTTAATTAGTATCATCATCATTTTCTCTCCCTTTCAAGAAAAGCAGAGTTCGTTAGATGTGAATTAATTAATTTCCACCTCCCTCGTTTACTGGCGGGCATCGTCGGTGGTGGAGGCGGCGGCGGCGGCGGTGGATTATTAATAGGTATTAATTAATGGCGTATAGGAGAAGACAGGGAATCACGAGGGCTTCGACGTTCAAGGAAGAGATATATCATCTTCATCAGCCACACGATGATGACAGTACCACCTCCTCTTCTTCTTCCTCTTCTTCTATGGCCACTCAGGCTATCCGAGCTTCCGCCGCTCATCGTGATTCGTCCCTCTCCTCCGCTTATGGCGACTCTGCCTTTCACTCCTCCTTCAATAATCGATCAAAGGTTTCTTTTTCTCTCTCTACGCTTCTCTTTTTCATTTCATTTCTGCTTTTCCAAACCAAAATATCTATATCTATCGGTATATAATGTACGTTATATATATATATATATATGCACTTGTGTATGCAACTATGTATGATGTATATAACATGGATATACTATACGTATCTCCACGTTTTGGCAATTAATTAATTAGTTAATCAATGTTTTATTATTGAACGGAGTAATCCTCTTTTCCCTTTTAAGGATGGATGCTTTTTTTGTTTTTACATTGGATCTGGTTTGGGATCTTTTTCTTATGCTATTTGCTTTGGAAGGAAATCTTATTCCATACTCAACTTCTTTCCTTTTCTTTCCTTTCCTTTCTTTTCCTTTTCTTTCCTTTTTCTTTTGTCTGCAATGTTGTGGATTTGCTTACTTTTGTTTTGTCGCATAACTTTCAAGAATCTATATGTTTTTGTTTTTTTTGGGTGGTTTCTCAAATTTCAACTTTGGATTCAAGACTTATGAATTAGTCAATTTGATAAGGAATCAATGATCCCATTCTATACAAATTGATACATTGTGTAGTCAAGAGGCCATGTTATGATTCAAACTTGAAATTGACAATGTTGTGCATTTCTGCTATACTTTATGTAGTTATAAATATGCAACTTTTCAGTCAGCTTCTGGATTTCATCCAATGCATTTATGTTTATTCATTTTATCTCACAGAGATTAACCTGTGAATGCATTGCACTACAACCAACCACACACACAAGTTCATGGATATGCACAGCACATAATTTGCAGGGGAAAAAAATCTTCAACTTTTTAAGTATAGAATGAAAACAAAATCCGGCCAAATGTTCTCTACGTCGGCAGTACCTTGGCAATGGCCATATATAGCATTACTGCAACCATTCCAAGACAATTGCAAAAATTTGTGTGTCTTCAGTCAAGCCATGCATCTAACCTTGAGCGGTTATGTCTATGAGTTTGCCTCTGGACAACACTGCATAGGCCATGGCAGTTGTCTGCTCAACTGCCTTACTGATTTCTCATGCACTACGCACACTTAATTAGTGTCTCAATTGAGCATATCTTCTGCATTCCGTCTTATTGCCACCAATTAGACAATTCCATGAATCTGTGAAGGGTCTCAACTCTCAAGCATTTGATAAGCTTCATGTGCCTCAACATGTAAGGTGTCGAATACCACCATAGCAACCCTCCCACACTAGCCATCAATCAGTTAGCAACTCAAGAAAGACCCTTGGGGCCTTTTAGGCCATCCAAGCCTCTGCTGGGATATGAGTATGCTACCATGTCTTAGGGTCGAGGGGAGGTCATCGCTTTAGAAATTCTTACCGTGACTGACAGAAGGAAACATCACTTGTATCTCAAGGATCATAATGGCTCAATTATGAATTTACCAGCACATTGTCAATTTACTAAAATGAAAATGACCACTGCCACACCAATGCCGCCTTAAATGCTAATAAGTCTGGTCAGCCCAAAAGGTGGAGGCTGCCTTGTACAGGCCATGGCAGGCTTAAAGGGCATACCATATTCTGATATTAATGCCACAGTTGGTCTTGGCTTGCTGCCATGCCCCAAGGCATGTAGTCACCACCAAGCATGCTAAGACATGCTTTCGCTGCCACACCAGCTTGCGTCCACAGGTTGTCTCATACCATGCCATGCCTTGGTGTAAGGTGCCCAGGCATGCCCATGATACCCAAGCTAGCTGTGTTTAACAAGCCAATCCCACCAGGAAAGCCCAACATCCTTGTCAAAAATGAGGCATGGTACTTCTTATGAGTTCCTCAAATTACCACAGTCCTTATCCTCCTGCCAGTTCATTCTTTCCCACTAAACCAAGCCGTGAGTTTTTCTCATTCTTTTTACTCAATTCTTTTGATCTATGGTCTAGGGTAGCTTTAGCTTTTTCCTGTAATTGTTTCCTGATTGTGGTAGGAACTCGTTCGCAACTTCCCTTTCTGGATCATTTGGGACCTTATTTTACTTCTTCTGGAAACTGGCAGAGACCAAATAGATACGCCGTGAGGCCTTTGACACAATTAGGGAGATATAACCTCTAGGCAAGTGTACTAATTCTTTAAAGGGATTATTGCATCTCTAGACCAGGCATGCCCATTGACACCAACGCTAGTTTAGCTCTGAAAGTTTTAACTTCGATGAGTTGCAGACCATTCTTTTGGAGACCATACTTTTTTGAAGTAAAAATTGGATTAAATTTAGTAGCACCTCATATCTATTAGTGTTGGACATGTGAACTTTGTCAACATGGTTTGTGGATTTCAGGCAAGCACCTTTTCATTTTATTTAATTATTTATTGTGGTGCTTATGTTTACTTTGTCATCAACTGATTGTTCATTAAATCTTTTAATTCTTTAATGTGTTTAACTCATACTTAATTCAACCTAGTCTTATCTCAACTACTTGGGATTGCTGCACAAATTCTATTTACCACGAACTTTTGCTAAGTTTTTGTTTTTTCATTTAATATTAAGAAGTTGTTTTAGTGTTTTCTTTTCTGCTGACATGCTGTGATTGCTGAAAACATAGAGCTCTTCACTCTACGATTATACATCGATGGAAAGCTCAAATGAACCCAAGGGGTTTTGGGGTGTTCTAGCTAGGAAAGCTAAAGCGATTCTTGAGGATGATAACATGTCCCAACAATTTGAAACACCTAGTGAAATGCAGCCAGAGATGCACAATACCTCTTCGGGCCAGGTGAACTTCTTCAACAATGCTTCTGACATAATACGGGCAGAAGCATAAATTAAGAAAATTAGAGCATAAAATAAGCTTTGCAATACTTTGATTTGTTGTTTGCAACCATTTTTCTGTTCACGTAGCCTGCAGGTGTCATACAGTGGTGGTCATATACTATGCTTAATTGACTAAGCTTCTTTATTTGATTCTTGATATTCTTCCCTTCTTGCTTCTCTGAATTCCAGTTTCATCAGCCATATCAATTTCATGGGAGCTCTAGAAAAATGGACAATCCTACACTACGCAAGGGCTTGGATGCGCTCACCTCTTCCCTTAATCACATAGGTGACACCATTGGAAATGCTTTGGAGGTAAAATGTATCAGATAATATATTTTAGTATGTTCTATTATATTATGAACCAACCTTTCGGTCTAATTGGTGGGCTTTTGTAAGTCTTCATCCAAAATACTGTAGTTTGGTATTGTGAGAGAACTTTTGGTGAGTAGAAATTACCCAAATGAGAGAGTGGGAAATAATTCGGCGTTTACAAGATAATTATATTGAGATAATAATTTTTTGTAGTGAGTGATCCTCTTTTAGTTGATTTATATGGTATTTTTGTAAATTTATTGAGCATTAGTTGGGCTCTAGAAGTTTTCGCGTCTACTTGCCGAGGGAAGTGGGAGATGAATTGATGTAGGACAGTTTTAGTAGGTTTATATTATTTTTATTTTTATTTTTTAGGAAGTTTAATTTTAGGTTTTTAATTTCTTTGTACAATTAGTTTCTTTATATTTTTAATTTCCTTAAGAATTAGTTTCCTTTACAGTTTTAGGGTTTTAATCATTCAATGATTAATATATTATCAGATTCCTCTGCGAATTCTTTTTTTCTTCCATGTGGATTCAAGGTACTCTCATTCACAATCTATGGCTTTCGCTTAGTCATGATGTGAATGGTTATAAAATGAGTTGAAAATTGAAATACGAATACAAGAAGTGGAACTCTTGCTCTAGTCTTACATATGCTATCATGAAATCCTATGAATTTCTCAGTGAATATCTAATAGTTTTTTTTTTTTTCCATGTCTAGCAATAGAAATAATCCTGCTGCATTTCATATATTTATCCTTCTTTCAGGAAGGACGTACAATTATGGAGAATACAACTGCAGACATCATCCAAGAAACTCGCAAACTGCAAATCAGGAGAAAAGGAAGCAGCTCTGATGAACAAAATCGAGTCCCTGGTGTACATAATCCATGGCTACAACCATTAGTGCAATCCAATCAACTACAGATGCAAACCAACCAAGAAACTCAACTCAAGGCATCCCGCGACGTAAGGTGGCAAATGTGTAATTGTGCATCACTGGTTCATGTGACCTTTGATTCAATGCTAATGTTCTTTAAAGTTAGAGAACCACTCAAAATTAGAAGATAGGACATGCATGGAGATTTGTAGCATTGAAACTGCAAATAGCAAATAATAGTAGACTATTTCCAGTTACTATATAATACAAAGTTTCTCGAGCTTTAGTTGTATTTTCATATTCCTTCTCCGTGGAGCTTTCATACAGTTTCATTGCCGGTAAACTGCATTGTTGACCGTTATTTTGGGTAACAGGTGGCAATGGCAACAGCTGCCAAAGCAAAACAACTTCTACGGGAGCTGAAAACTGTGAAAGCAGATTTGGCTTTTGCCAAGGAAAGATCTACTCAGCTAGAAGATGAACACAAAATTCTTAGAGAGGCTCGTGAAAAGGGAGTCAATCCTGCAGATGATGATATGGTATTCATACATTTCCTTTTGTGCGGCAAGAATTTTGAGACCATTTCATTATTTTAATATGTTAGAAATTCTATGGTATGGTTGTTGCATTTACTAATAAGAAATGTAATGCTGATAAGTTTAATCACACAAGACACTTATTTTGTTGCTGTGTTATACATACATATAAACATGAGCTGTTTACAATTATATTATTTGTATTTTTAGTTGTGGAAGAAGTGTTGTCATACATCATTGGCTTATTTTTTGTGTGTAAATCTTTACAAATTTCAGATACGCCTTCAACTTGAAACACTTTTAGCTGAGAAGGCTCGGCTGGGCAATGAGAATTCTGTATATGCACGTGAGAATCGCGTCTTAAGGGAGATTGTTGAATACCACCAACTCACCATGCAGGATGTTGTCTACTTGGACGAGGGCATAGAAGAGGTTACAGAGGTTTACCCCATCCCTGCAGTCTCCAGGTTTCTCTCTGTTTCCCCATCCTTGCACTCACCTCCATTGACAAACGAAACCTTATCAGTCCCCATTCCACCACAAGCACCAACCGGTGTTACTCAGACTGAGGCCTCACCAAGTCCCAGTGGTCCAATTTCCACAACAGAAGATTCTACAACACACTCCCACAATTCTGCCTGTTGAATCCTTATTTCTCACATTTTGTCAATGCTTTTTGTAACATTAATCTTTTTTATTATTATTATTTTTTTCTTGCTTCTACCTTTTCTTTTTCTTTTTTTTTGATGGGGAGGGTGAAGAGAGGGGAAAGCTGGGTGTTGGGAATTCTTTGTCCAGGCTATCTGTATTTTGTGTATGTAACAGTGTTCGTTAGCATTCTGGAATTGTTGTTAAATAATGACAATACACTTCTCCTCTTCAAACTTAACTGCAGCTTTCTAGCTCAAACTCGGTATTGTAAAGAAGGGGATGGTTTTAGGAAGATTTCTTTGTTAATATTAAATTCGGCACAAGATTTATGTCTAAAAAGAAGAGCAAGTTCAGAACGATATGCATTCCACATCAATGTTCATAAGCAACAGCAGTTTTCACACATCTGGTATTGACTGATAAATATGACCATATATATCCATGCAGTTTCGTAGATAAGGGAATCGACACCCTGATGGATTATTTCCCAAATATCATACCAAACATAACAAATTGATTATCATTATTAGTGGTTTGTATGATTTGCACTTGCTGACTTCACAATTTTCATGGCAAACTATGGAATTCTCATCACACAAATGAACCTCTAGATTCTGCGTTATCTTTCCCTAATAGGAACTGGAAACTGTTTTTGGCTGTTATCTTCTGTTTCATCTGAAGAAAGAGAAATTTATGATAGCTCCAGTAGAACACAGCTGAACCATGGTTTTCAACACATTCTTTATGGTTTTCCCCCATCAGATACTAGTTTAGGAAAGAAGAAAACCAGTAGAATAATCCAGTACTCAACTGTAGGTTTTTGGAGGGTCTAACACCACCATGACTCTCTTAATGAAGAACTCAACACAACACATCCAAGGCCCCATTCTCTTTCAGCCGATTCATAATGTTTCTCTCTCTATCCGAGTATTGTCATTCTTCGTACACCATTTTATTTCTACCTGGTACACAATTCCCACCATCCATCCGGTATCTAGCTGCTGTAGTTAGATACAGCTTCAGGCCATTGTTCAAACCATGTCTAACCTTAACGAGTTCCCTGGCTCTTGTGGCTTGCATTGCTCTAGTACGATTGGATTGGAAGACCAGGTTCAATTCTTTTTTAGTGGCTGCATTTCCAGTGCATATTTTTATATTTCACGCTGTCATGGATTGATTTCATAACCTTGTTTCATCACTATCTAGCATCCACTACTTTTGCAGAATAAAAATATCTAGTAGAGTAATTCACCAGTAACATTTTTCCCTTTGCTTGATTAATAGGCAAGTGTGGAAAATCCAAATCACTCTTAAAACAGTGGAACTCTTTATAGGAGAAATAAAAACATCAAATACACTAGAAAAATATATTTACTTATTCAAAACTTTCGTTTATGGCAGATTAAACAGTAGCATGGCAAATATATATGAGCAGCTTAAGGATACATTACATACAATTAAGCTTTTCAATACAACACATGAACAGATGTCCAATGCAATTCCATCCAGCTACTTTGGTTTAATTTCTTGCAGCAACAGAACACAAGGAGGCTGTGCAGGATCCATTCAAAATTACCAGTGTGGATATATGATCAGGAGACGGTGCTTTGAATAAGAGGCTTTCAAAGCAGAAAAACTCCCTGGTTGTTAGAAGAACTGAAAAAACAGACTTGTTGATCCGTCCGCAAATGATTTGAGTTCTGCTGGTTTCACCAAGGCCCTGCACAATGGGCATGTTCTTTCCCTCTCAAACCTGGAATACAAAGGACTCAATTATCCCAGAGAGTTGACATACAGAAGCATATACAAGAAGCAATATACCAAACAGAAATGGAGTAACATACATAAATTATTTACATATATGCATATGATATGATTGCTTAATAGGATGAAATTCTTCCTTTCCATATTCTCTCAGCCCACAAGAATAAAACAGAGAACTTTATGTTTCAAAATATGAGAATAGCAGCCCCCTGGTGTTCGAAATTCCATCTATAGTTTGGTTTAAAACCCCATCAAATTTGTCCATTCAATGAAACTCTTGCTCTAAAAGATCAGAAATTGCAGAATGTCATTCAGACTATTTCTCAATATAAAGAAAATGGAAGTGCGCTAATACTTAAAGTTTCCAGATCATTCTCAAACAGAAGTGCACATGAATAGCAGCGTATTAACAATCCTCTGACAGACCAATCAAATGATAGGGAGACTGCCCTGCATCCTGATATTTTCCACTCCAACAGACCTATCACTTCTAAATACTTAAATAATCCATACATGTCACACTATTCCCAACCATCAACCACTCCGAGTGCTTCAACTCCACACTTTTTTTTTTTTTTTGTCTCACTCTCCCTCCCTCTCTCACTCTGATTGACAAAATCCATCAAAGAAGGACAAAGGTGAGTCCAAACTATCAACTCCACCACAACATGAAGTCTGACTACCATGTCAAGGTATAATCCTCGCACTTCTTTTAATGGATAAATTCATTCAAAAACAACAAAAAGGTACAAGACAAAACCGTACCCCACCTTACCTGCAAGCATGGCCTCAAAACTTCAAAGGCCATTCTGAACAATGTAAGTAGCAATTGTGCCACAGCCAAGTCACAACAACTACGAGATGAGGTTGAAAGGCGTTTGACACACAATGAAAACACATACTCCAAGGTAAACAGAATTAAACATCAACCACATTTGGCCAGCACCAATAGAAAAAATCAAGGATCATAATGGAGTCATATGATGATTGGGAGACTTCAATTGTCCAGAAATGGGCTAACTATGAATACTTTTATACAAGGGAGCAGTATTGTATCTATATCAGATATAGATACTTCTTGAATGGTCATGGATATGTGTCATAATACTTATTAAACCAATCCATTTTTTTTTCTTTCATTTGTTTTGAACACATATCTGGTACTTCGTAAATACCACGGAACACATGCCTGACACATTTAACATTCAAACATACCATGTCATTGCATAATTGTTCCAGAAAGCAAAACAAGTGTTCTGAGTACTTTGACTTTCTTTGAGAAAAAGAATTGAGATATAATTAGAATAGACCATGTTTAATTTAGTCCCAAGTTCATCACCATGCAACATAATTCTAGCTTTTTCAAGTGAACTCTACTATTATACGCTATTAATACAAGAAATTTGATAGAATCATAAGAATTGCTCAAATTATTATGAGCTTCTATTTCTATTGTTCAGTTTTCATTCTTTGATGAACAACTCTTTGAAAAGGTTCTTTCGAGGCAGGGTGATCCCGTGTCCCCTGTTGTTTATATTGGTGAAGGCCTAGCACAGGTTGATGAGGATGGCAAGGGAGGAGGGGTCTGTTGAGGGGCTATAGGACTGGAGAAGGAAGGTCACTCAACAGAGGTCTTTCACTGCCTTCTTGCAGATAATGCCATCACTTTTTTGCAGGTGAATGTGGGGTAATTGAAAGTTAACAATGCATTCTCCTTTGCTTTGAGAATCTAAATGCTTCAACTGAATCTAGAAATAGTAACCTACTCCAATTGGGAAGATAAGGAACATGGAAGATCTAGCAATCAATTTATAGGGGAAGGGTGAGTTCCCTTCCTACCTTTTATTTGCCCTTCCCTAAGGTTCATCCTACAAGGAGAAGGCTGTCTGGGATGTTCTTATGTAGCTGTTTTAGATGAGGCTTGTGGGAGTGAAAGTAATCGTATCTCTTGAAAAAGGAAGGATTACATCAACAAAGAGTAGACTGAGTAGCCTTCCAGCATATTATCTCTCTTCATAATCTAGGAATGCTGAGGAGAATTCCTTGTGGCAAAGATTAGTGGAGTAACATGGAGAATTGTCGGGGAATTAATCTTGGGATGGTTGGGCACCAAAGATGGGGAATTCTTCCTAAGAGTGTCTTTGGAAGGGTATTATGGAATGACAGGAAATTCCACCCTTGTGTTTATTGTGAAGTGGAAAGGAAATAGAATTTCATTTTGGCATAACATATACTGTGGCAGAGGCCATTAAAGACAAATCCTCAAATGAAAAAGCGTAAGAGACCATAACTAGAAATATAATATGGTGGATTTTAAAAAAGAAATTAACAAAATATACATATATTGATTATTGACATGATTTTAAAAAAAAGGTTTCACAGTTCATGCTATTTGTTGATTATATTTCTTTAATCGATGAAACTAAAGCAGGGATAAATGGAGATCTAGTGAAAATTAAGCGATGAGATGACAAAAAATGAGAAGTTCCAAAACCTAAACTTGATTATTCACATAGCGGATATATTAGGGATCATCTTGCACATAGAATTAAACCAAGATAAATTAAATAGAGAGGCTTCTAGCATGTCATGTGATAAATATATGTCTCTAAAATTGATAGGTAATTTTTTTTAAAAAAATATTATTACACCAGCTATAGTTAAGGGACAGAATGATTGGCAACTAAGAAATAGGATATCCATAAATTGGGTGTAGCAAAAATTTAGATGTTAAGATGGATGTGTGGTAAAACAAAAAATAATAAATTTAGAAACAAATACACTCATCAAACTAATGAAGCACCATATATTAGATAAAAAAGAAAGAAAACCGATTAAGATTGTTTGTCCATGTGCGCCGAAACGCAAAAGATCAAAATTAACATGGTTTGAGATAGTAAGAAAAGATGTGATAACTTGTGATTTAACTGAGGTTGTGACATTAGATTGAACACAGTGGGAAAAGAAGATCCGTGTAGCCAACTTCAAATAGTTAGAACAAGACTTTATTGAGTAGAGTTGAGTTTGGTTTTGAGCCCTAGATCTGGGAGAGCCTTTAAGGAATGAGAGATGGACTTATTTATGACCTTGTTGGAAATGCTGCAAGGGGTCCATATGGTGTGGTGAGATGAAGGATGAAATGAGATAGAAGGCAGGTAAAAATGGAGTCTCTCGTGTCCAGTTCTTTTGTAAAGTATTCTCCAATGCTTTGTTTGGTTGGAGGGCTGGAAAAATGGAGGAAAGAGATAGGAGTGGGGATGGATGAGGTATCCCTAGGGAATGGGAGGTGTCTTCCCTATTTTTTGTTTGGTTGAATGGAATGGATAGTAGAAAGGATGAATGGAGTGATACTTTTTTCTTGTTTGGTTGGAAGGAATGGAAGGAGATTTTTTATATTCTTTTTACCAATACACCCTCATTATATAAAATTATAAAAGGTAGATATTCATTCCAAAATTTTTGAAAAGGTTAAAATTGTAAATTATAAATTTATAGGTAGTTATGCCTTCATTCTCTCCTCTCTTCCTCCCAAAAGTGGGTGGATAGAAAAACATAAAGGAAGGAGGGATGAAGCATCCCTCCTTGTTTCCTCCCTCTCTTTCCTTCCCTCCAACCAAACACAAAAATGTTTATCCATCCCTACTCTCATCCATCCCCCTCAATCCTTCCCTCCAACCAAACATGGCATAAATGAGAGGCCACGTGCTTTTTGAGACCACAAGCTTCCCTCAGAAGGTTAAATGGCATAACAAAGCCCGCCATCAAGGTGGTGTCTATGACTTGATCAGCAGCATAATACAATTCTGACTGCAGAGAATTTAAAGAGCAGAGGATCCTGTTGGCCAATTGGTGTCTTATCCACAAAGGTGCTGAGAAAACAGTGAGCCATCTTCTTCTTCATTATGGAGTGCCATCAGAGTAATCAAGCATTCTTTCCTCACTTGCTAGAGCACCATATTATGCCAGAAACAGTAGTAGATACTTTTAACAGTTGAGAGGGAGTTTCAAGAGAAGGAAACCTACAAAGGTACATTATGCATCTTCCCTTTACTTGCTGTGCATAACCTACAAATCTTATCTTATACTATGTAGTCTTTTACAATCTTTTGAAACGTTTAAAAGGGAAATGAGTTCTCACTTCTCAGTAGTGGCTTTTCCTGGTAAAGTTGTATACCCACGTGTACATGAATTGCACTCCCGTTTTGGTGCTCTCAGTGAATTATAGTTTACTCATTATATATAAAATGCAGAATTGAAGAGAAATATTGATCTAGAACGCAAAAACTGACCACTCTGATACACAGTCTTCACAAAATATGTGTTTACAACGTAGTAAGATTGGAGCATGCATTTTTTCTTGGCAAATAGCACAAAGATCTCCAGCTGCATTGACCTGCATCAAATCACATTCAACTTAGAATGCACGAATAATTTCCCTTTAAAATGTTAATGAAGAAAAAAAAAAGAGAATTAGAAGAATGATTGCTGATGCTTAAGTCAGTCAATTTAGGTAAAGATATAAGATCTAATTCCAATCAAGCAAATGATGTGTCACCTACCTTTGAATCTATCAAATTCCAGTTTGTTCATGACAATTTTTATAAAAAAATTGGGTTAAACACTTGGTCCTTTACATGGACTCTTCTAAATACTTGAAACGTCTCTAGGATATCCGTCATACATGTCTAATTGGACATTTGGACATGCAGCTAGCAAAGATATATGATAATTCGAGTTTCCTACATAATTGTACATAGAACACTCTTATCAATCCTTCAAAACAAGCAAGTCAGAAATGTCCATGTTCAAACTCTATGGTAGATGAAACAAAGAAGATTGAAACAAAGATATATTCAGTCTTATCAATGTCTCCTGGAATTAAAGATTTAATAAAACTGAGTTAAGACAATATCTGCACTTAATACACATAAATACGTCCATGCTACTAGGATCCAAGTAAAAAATGAGGTTTATGAAGAAGAATACATACAAACTCACTCACTCACACACACATAAGGTAGGGATCGACATATGAGCTTTTTATTCCATGTGCATTAACAAGCCGTTGCTGGCCATAACAGCTGGTACATATGGGTAGCACACCATAACAGCCGCTACACATGTGAAGCAGCTTCATATTACTTCCACTATTCCTATGGGTCCATACTCTCAGATACCAATAGGGAAGACATTATGTAACAGTCTTTTCAATTTTTTATAACCATGATTTTAACATCAAATTCACAGATAGCTGAACTTAGGAAAGTTGTAGCAGGGTGTATAGCCAAGGAAAACTATGCTACCTGTTCCGAAGTTGCATAAGCCCCATAATGGATCTCTTTGCGAGACAATGTCTTTAAAGCAGTAAAAAACGATTGGACCTGCACACCACCCACACAAGGTGGGAATCCCAAGGAAAAATTATAAGATCCATGCACAAAATCAATGTACTTCAAAATATATCAGTAAAAATGATGAAACTGCAATTTTTCAAAGGGCAAAAGAGGCGCCGAAAAAAAGAATACATCCACGAAAAATCAAACCTTCTCAACAATAGATGTGAGCTTGAAAGTCAAATACAACCCAGTCATTAATGAAGAAAAAAGGCTCCCATATTCTTTGTTCAAGAAGAAACGGTACCAGACAGGTGCTGGCAGCAACGCACGGTACAGCAGCAGCAGATATTCGAGCAAAGTTAGCATTTGACCCTATAAAACAATTACTTTTATAGTCAAATGGTAGTTGCATTTTGAAGAATATTGCGTTATATGAACCTAAATAAAAGGCCACTGGCCCATTACCCAATACATTTCCTGATAATCAAGCTGCTAATAGGGATAGACATAATACATTCCTAACCTTCATAATCATTTGCACACAATGGCTGCCCCTATACATGAACTCAAGTTTTCAAACTTGACATACCGTGATTTTATCACTGCACCAAGCAATGGTCCCTAAATGAATTGTGTATATGACATTACCTCACCTGCTTACGATATTTTCGTCCTCTGCTGTTTTTGTAATACATCAGTAGAATACACTTGAAAACCATTACCGCCTGACGAACCAAAGTATCTGCAACAAAACTGACTCTAATGAGATCTCCCTAACCACTGAAAGATGACTGACAAAACTGCTGAAAGGAGTCAATCATATCCAAAACCCCAAAAAAATGAAAAATATGAAGAGGAAAAAAAAAATCATACAAAGAAGAAGAATAAGATCAAGCACGTTTAACTCAGTTTCTATGCGAGGTAATATACATATATATAAATATATATATACTGTGAAATATTTTTTTTATTTTTTACAAAATAAATTGGCCCATTGATGTTCAGGAGAAGCGGACGCCCAATAGGGAACTGCAACACCCACAGAACAAAGTAAGGCTCCAACACACATTTAAGAACACAACCGTTCCACATAAGTCAACATGTTTTTAAAAGTATAGGATTCACCAATTCACAAATGGTAAGGCTCCAACACACTTGTGACATAAACCTAACCCCTCTCCCCAAAAACATAAAAAATAAAGAAAAGAAAGGAAAACAGTTTCTCATATTGCCCGAGAATGCTGTAACTGAATGCAAGTACTAAGCCAGACCGAAAAAATTCAAGTATTATAAAACCAAATATTGAAACTACGGAAATCTCAATAAGTTTACATCAATTGAGAAAAGTAGTGTTAATATTTACTCAATGACAAGAACACACACCGTTCGCCATGATAATGAATATGGCATGCCAGAAAGGTGGTACAGCTTTTGGAGGGAACATGACCAATGGATATAGAAGATCATCATTCCGATACCACCAATAAACGCCAACCACATGAAGCATGAATACTAACGAGATGCCCATAAGAACAGATATTTTCCTCTCTCCCTGCAGATACCAATACTTTCTGTACTCAAAATCAATTCTTTCATGATACTAAAAGATGACAGTGGTTTTTCTGACTTCTAGCTTAGCAAAACCCTTAAAAAAACAAAATTTAAGAGTATGAAGAGCAATTTAAACCACCTTCAGAGCTGTCTGCTTCCGTAGAATATCGTTAGACTTGAACAGGACAATAGCAATCCACATGGTAACAAAAAAACCTGCAAGTTCTTGCAGAAGTCAGAAGGCAGTAGCATAAAGAAATGGTTAGCGAAGATGAGATCCAACTGAAAAATGGAAAACTTAAGGCACACTACACAAAACATACTCAAAACTTAAAATTGTGAAAAGCACAAGTTCATGTCACTCCTTTTTTTTTCTAAATACAAGTTCATGTCACTCCTAAATTCCTATAGAGATAAATTAAAATAGTTGAGGTACAGAGGTCAGATAATTTTCCCTGACATATATCAATGTAAGAGGTGGAAACAACAGAATAAGCAAACACCCATGATTTAGTCACCCTGGTGAGAGACCATGCCCAGATAGCTACGGAATGCAAAAATCGAATGTCAAAGGATATAATGTGCAGCTTGCTAAACTAGTAAACTTTTTCCAGGACTAATAACAAATGGATTATAAGTTTTTTTTTTAAAATATATTAGTTTGATTACTCCATAAGACCCTAACATTTCAAATAATGTATATCAAGGAAAAAAAAAAAAAAACAGAAAGTAAACATGCATTTATCATTCCCTTGAACAAGGGTACAGCAGCTGAAAATTTAACAATGAAGTTGCAGAAAGTACCTTGCAAATGCTGCCGGATGAAGACAACCAACAAAAGCAAAGAGAAGGGAAGGACCTGCTCAATGGACCTTGCCGCCTGCTGTATATCATATCTCTGATAAGAAGAATCCCTGTTACTAACCCCAACACCCTCGGCGGCTTCCCCATCACCACCTCCATTTAGTGATTGTGAAACGCCCTCTCCCGCCCCACGATCACTCCTGGAATCCCCCTGACCATCTAATGCCTGTGACACTGACGTGGCTGATGATGCTCTAGCCATTGGCTGGAAAAATACTTCATTCTGTGCAGCAGCAGCAACTTCCCTCAACTGCCCAGCCGTTGAAGACGACAACGCAGGCCCAGACTCAACCCTATTGTGCTCTTGTTCGCCAGCACCAATTATCCTAATGGAAACCTCCCCGCTGTTCCCAGCAACAGCCGCAGAATCATTCTGATTATGATCTCGGAAACCAACAGAGACACCACTGTTTATCAAACTATCTGATTCTGGGTGGTGACTCGACCTGGTTCGAAGAATGCCCGAGTATTCCAATAACGTGGATAACGGTGAACGGAAAAAATTGGATGCAGACAACTGCTGCATCCCTCCGTATCTTCTGGAATTACTAATCCCCGAAGCACCTCGGTACGCGTCCGAATTGTTACCACCGGACGCTTCCATTTGCGTTGATCTCCAATACCAACACCGATCTTCTTATTAACCCTCACCAAATTTAAGAATTCAGTTCAAAAAATAATGAACAGGGCAAATTATATATATATAATTTATGCTAGCAAGAACATGGCATCGATGACAACGATTGATTCTAAGGACATGAAAAATAGATGGAGATCTTACCTTGGTGATGGATCGAAGGCCTATTTTGCGTCAGAGATGATGAAGATGAAGCATTGAACAAACCCTAGCCTCAAAATCTATTAAGGAACCGTTTAGAAATGCAAGAAGATTGAAAAGTCAAACCCTGTAGGAACTTCTTGGTCTTAATTGGACCATAACAAAACGCATAATTTCAAGGGAATCTGCGAGGGCGTTGATTATATAAATTAACATAAATGCTGCTCGTGGTCGTCTTCTTCTTCTTCTGGATTGTGATCAAAATTAAAATTATATGGAAACTATACTGTGTGTTGTTGAGATTAACGATACTGCCTCTTATTATTATTATTATATGATATTATATGTATTGGAGTTGGGACCTTTCTCTCTCTTTCTCGCTTGATCGCTCTTTGGGTTTCTGTTTGGAACCAAAGAGCGCGAGAAGGGAGAGCTAAAGGACAACAACCCCCAAATTCTAAAAATACTAGTAATTCTTTTCCAGTTGTGCTTTTATATTTTTGTTTTTTTCGAAATTTCAAGCTGCATTTATATATTATTACAGTGTACATGTGTGTGTCTATATATATATATATATATGCGGCATACATCCGTATAGAGAGACTCTATTGACGGTATTTAGTTATTTTTGGTACACATGATGGATTCTGACAGACTGAACCACATTACAAAATAAGATTTGGATCATCTTCTGTACACCACATTACAAAATAAGATTTGGATCATCTTCTGTACATTTTGGCCCAGGATCATCTAATACATTTTACCCACTACATCCCCAATGGAAATTTCTACAACTAGAATGTAATAATATTCCTGCAATAATTAATAGAAAATAAAATACTTTTATATTTTTACATTTTTTATATTAATGATTTTAATTTCAATTTGATATGGTTGAGTAACGGTTAAATTATTGATTTAAATGGACTAAAATAATGCTGAACCCAAATGTACATCAAAGAGGATTTTAATTCCCCAAAATAATGTTTTACTTTGAACCAAATCACAACAAGTGTTACATATGAAGCGGAATCCGAAAATGCTAATTCAATGTCATGGAGAGGACTTTGATAGCATCTCATGTATTAATCTTAATATACTATTATGCATGCATCAACTTGTATTTTTATTCAATAGTGCTACATCCAACTATTTGAAAGAATAATTTGTGAGAATTATATAATTAAAATTTGTAAAAAATTCATTTAATTTTTTTACAGATCACATGAATCAATCAAAGTTTTACATATTCCAAATAATACTATTAACTTTGACCGTTTTCTAAAATTTCATTTTATGACATTTTTAAATGATTGTTTTACAATTAGATCACTTTAATATTGACAATGTCTGATATAATTTGTGCATTATTATTATTATTATTATTATTACTTGTCCAAAATATGTTAACGTAAATGAGACCTCATGAAAAATATCACGAGAGAGACCTCGTAGAGTACGTAATGACATAAAGTTTCTTTCATCACACTTCTTGTGAGCTCTATGTCTTCTTATCATGATCATGTACAAATTTTAATATTCGAGTCTAACCATTTAAAAGACAATTATATGAAGATTATATAGTCAAAATTTTGGACTAAAATTCATTTACAATATATCATACAAATCAGTAAAAGTTTTACCCATTTTTACTTTTGACCAAATAATAATCTCAACTTTGACCGTTTCATATAATTTCATTTTATAGTATTTTGAACTGTTTATTTCACAATAAGATCACTCTAATACTGACACCATGATAATATAATTTGCACACTATTATTTTTTTTTAATCCAAACAAACTATGCTAATTTAAAGTAGACCTCTAAAAGTGTCACGCGGAGATCTCAAAGAATAATGTTACTGTGAGGTGTCCCTCATCACACTTCTCATGAGCTTTGTGTCTTTTTGTTATGACTATGTACAAAAATTGAGACGAAATTAGACAAAATCTAAGCTTTTGAAAGAGAATTAGATAAGAATTATATAGTCAAAATTTCGTACTAAAATTCATTTACAAATTACAATTGATCACATGAATCAGTCAAAATTTTACACATTTTTTCTTTTGACCAAATTATACTATTAACTTTGACCGTCTTTTAAAATTTCATTTTATGATATTTTGACTAATTATTTTACAATGAGATCATTCTAATATTGACATGATATAATTTGTGCATTATTTTTCTTTTTTCCAAAATATGCTAATTCAAAGGAAAACTCATAAAAAGTGTACTGAGCAAGACTGCGTAATTTCGTTACTAAAATGAAATATAAAGTTGATACAGTCATTCAAATCCTTCAATTTTCTTTCTTTACACTTAGGTGTGTTCGGTTGTATTGAATTGAAACATTGGAATTGAAATTTATGTAATTTTTAAAAAATAAATAAGAAAATTGAATCAAAATTTTCTCAAATTTCACCGATACTAATTTTAAAGCTTCAATTCTATATAGCCAAACACACTCTTAGATTCAATTCATTCCACGGATAGAATTATATGAACTGTCATTCCAACAAATTTTGTAGGTAAGGATCATATAATGTGAACTCTCATACAGATGTTACAATTTAAAATGAAATTGTTAATGTGGTGATCGAAACTGAGACACAACTGGGCCTTGAAGGGGTTTCCTGAATCCCTTGACAGTATGTGGGGTGCAGAGAGAAATGAACTTCCCTCACAATCAGTATTCATTTTTCAATGGTGATGGGATTTAAGTGCAGTTTTCTCTGAAAGCAGGGTTTCCTTTTGCTCAAAGTAGGTTTGAATTTGTTGTGGTCTCAGCCTCAACCAGATTTCTTCTGTTAGGTCTGTCCTTATGTGGTTGTTGCTTTGTGATCTCTTGCCGGAGATAAAGTTGTTCTATTGTTCTTTTAGCCAGAAAAAAAAGTGGATTCCTTCTTGATGTTTTCTTTAGGTTGGTGGATGGGATTTGCTAGCCTTACAGGCTATGACCTTTTTTTTTTTTTTTTTTTTTTTTTTTTGTTCACCTGCTATGATGTTTTAATGATGCAGCTTTATAGATGTATCACTTTTTGGACATTCAATCTTCGGATAGTTTTGCTCATTCTGTTTTTGTTTTCTGAATGGTGGATTTGGGAGTATATGGATTTTGTACCTTACTTGAAATATGCCCCTTATAGTCTTCAGTAAATTACTTCTTTTCTATTTTTTTTTTTTCAATAATAATTGTCATTAATGATCTTTGTGAGTTTTTTTTTATAGTTAATTTTGACAAATAATTTACGAACTTAAATTCTCGATTTTCTATTTAGAATGCAAGTAAATATCACTAATTCGTTGTTAGAAGTTTGTCCCACATCGAATCTAGATAGAAAATGTAATGAGTTAGGTGTTAACCTTACGTAACAATTTAAAATTTTGAATCAGATTCAAACTCAAGATGGCCCGATCCGTTGCGAGTTGAGAGGAAATTTGTACGAGCCGAATGTATAAATAGACTTTTAGAATTAAAGTTGCATGAGTTGTGATATTTAATGGAAACAATTAGGAAGCCTTGTAATTGAAATTTATGTAATTTGAGAATTTTTTTGGTTTTTGAAAAAACAAAAAGAAATTAGGGCCTTCCACACCTTTAAGGGCACCCGTCAGCTGAACTATGTCTATTTTTGGTTCCTGTGGCCAAAAAATACAAGTCAGTAAAATGTCCAGAAGAAGGTGATTGCAAATCCTGAGCTAATTGCATTAATCATGGAAGGTGATGATTACGAAATAAAATTATTTTTCAAATTTCATATTGGTAAACAGACTCACAGAGACTGTTTACCTGGCACATTGAGTTCACTATATCCTTCACGGCAGATTGTTCAATTAATAACATAAATTTATTTGGTGAAACCATATTCAGATTGATTAAAAAATAATAGTAATAATAATGATTTAAGGATTGAATTTGGTATTTATGGGATTAATTTATTTATGTGAGTGGGGTGATGACCCACTATATAATGTCATTATGACGTTATGTGATGAAATTCATTATTCCTTTCACATAAATTGTATTTTGTAACTGCCTAATTTAATTCTTAAATCACTACATTAAAAAAAAAAAAAATACACAAATTAAAAGGTAATAAGACTAACACAATTGTGATATAATCCGGTCATATCTAACCAATTGAGTACGACCTTTAAAATATAAAATATCCAGTTATGCAGTGAATTGTTAATTGATCATCTATGCCAAAAAAAAAAAAAAAAAAGAAGAAGAAGAAGAAAAGGTACATAAATAATCGATAAAAATTACTCGAATAGACAATTTATTGTAACTCTTCTACCTATATCTCACAACTCTTAAAATAATTAATGTCATGCAATTTTGGTCCCCAACAAGTCTTTTAAGAGGAATGAGTGGAAAGATACAGTTTTGAAAATGACTGTGAGACTCTCAATTTGTACAAATGACACACTAATGGACTACCAACTTTGAAATTGTTATATCTCGAAAAAATGATGAGATGACAAACGACATTAACATCTCTTCAAAGTTCAAACCATTTAGTACTACACCATAAGTAGCAAGCACATGGGGCAGAAAAATTAATGGTGAAAAATTTAAAATTACCGTTCAAACTTCATGGCAGAGTAATGTTCAATTAATAAAATAAAATTATTTTGAGAAATCAAATTTACTTGATTATAAACAACGATCTTTAAATTAAATTATAATAAAGGCTTAGTACCCTAATAGCACTTCATAAGTAAAAGAATATAATTCAAATGCAATTCAAAATATATTATTAGTTAATTAAAAAATATATATAAATTTTAAAATTAAAATTAACAAACATCTTGCACCAAACTCCAAATTAATAATTTTATTGATGATTTATATGCGTAAAATGAGTAAAAATTAATATTTTATCTCACTTACTTACAAAAAAATATATATTATGTTATATGTAATGTATTATATTATTAGTTTTTAACATATCTATAATGCATTCGTATCTTATTTTTAAAAAAATTATTATATTATCGCATTATAATCGTGTCTATGGCACCCACCATCGTACAAAAAATTATTATATGGTCCAAGTACATTTAACATGTGACTAATCAGTTAAATTCATACCATTATTGAGATTTATTTATAATATATTAACACATTTTTATAGAAGAGTCTAAATTAAATTGATTGAATAAGTAATTATGGATTTGAACCACCTAATAATTTCTGGGGCATAAATAAAAGGGCAAACTACTATGACCTCCCCTGAGGTTTGAACTAATTGCAACTAAACCTGAGATTTGCCATTTTATTGCAACATGACCCCTGAGATTTTTCCCATTTTGCAATGACCTCCCCTCCATACAAAAAATAATATTTTTTATTAAAAAATTACTTTGAAGTGACTAAAATGCCCATCAACAATGTAAAAAAACGTTATTACCCTTGTAATGTAAACAATTGATGGACCAAACTACCCTTACCCACGTACCATTGTCTCTCTCTCTCTCTCTCGCCCACCTTCACCACTTCACTGCAAGTCACTTCTCTGCTAAATCGATATGTAACACCTTTAATAACTGAACGACAATATGAACCATACAATGACGAGAGAATCCAAGCTCTCCAAAACCCTAAAATATGGATACTCAACCAACCGATCTCAACAACTATTCACCTTCATCGACCATCGTTAACTTCGACTCTCCAGTCCCTCTTCTTCGAGGACCCCTCGCCGCCGGTTTACCGGATGACCCGTCTACCTGACCTTTCGTCCTGGCATTCAAGAACGCCAATCTTGGTTCTCCGCATATAAAGCTTGCGTGTCCCAGATCACCACACAGTGCGAGTTCGGTGCCTGAATCGGCTGCACCATCAGCGCATCGAGCAAGTGTAAGCCCGGTGGAAAACTATATTGGGTAGATCGAAAATGGACTTTACGGATAGAGCAAAATGCGAAGAGCGTGAAATAGCGATCTGTGTCCAGGCTTCGAAAGAGAAATGTCTTCATGTCTTGAATTTGTGAAGGAGAAGTGTTTGCCGGCATTTAGAGATGCCCGAATTGCGTTTAGTGATAGGAAGCTGGATTGGAAGGAGGCTTCAAAGTTGATTTATTCGGCATCGTTGTCGTCGTCTATGTTGCATACGAGTTTAGGGTTCGATTGTGTTGAACCAATTAGGGTCTTGGATTGAATCCAAGTGTGTTTGAAGTGACAAATTGCAGAGGCAGTGACTTATTAGGCACCAATTTGAGTAAATCACAAGCTGGTTTTGGGTCTCAAAATTTGGTGAATTGGAATTTCCAGTCACTGCTATTTTTTGGCGGAGGAATCGAGTATGAGAACAACATCGTAAAGTGAATTTCAGGAGAGCTTTATGAGTTAAGTTCTATTTCCTTGAGCGTCATGGTCGATGGATCGGTGATGGCGGTGGTGTTGGGTTAAGATGGGTCGGTGATGCTGGTATTAGTTCGGAATTGATCAGAGGCGGTGGTGTTCTTGGTTGGTGGTGAGAGGTGGTGGTGTGGTCGGAGGATGGTGATTGTCTCCGACGTGAACTCGCGATGCTCCATCTGCTTCAATGGTGTGCTTGGTGGCGCTTGGTGTCAACGGTGATAGTGCAGTAGCAGAGAAGATAAAGGGAATATTGGAGAAATAACAAATAAAAAACAAAGGAATATTCTTTTGGGTAAAAGAGTCATTTGTTATTTTAAAGATATTTTAATCATTTCAGCTTTATAATAAGAAGGGTAAATAAGTAAATTTAACATAAAATCTGACAGAGGGAGGTCTTTGCAAAAAATTGACAAACCGTAAGTTTAGTTGCAATTAGGCCAAACCTTAGGGGAGGTCATTATAATTTGCCCTAAATAAAACCATTTAAGCACTAATCACATGGTTAGGGAGATCAATGGTGAAAAAGTTTACTCTACATCCTTTTGTATCGTTTGTATGTAGATATATATACTAGTATTATATCGAGTACAGCTGTACTTTTACTGTTAAAAACAGAAAGCTTTGACTGAGGATACGTTCGTCTTTATGTAAAAACAGAAGGGCAATATTGTCGACATGAAAGAACTGGAATGTGTGGGGTTTATCAGTGTTCTTATTTTACATTACAGTATACACACCTGGTATATCTTTCCTCTCTCTATATTGTAGGAGTAGCAAGCATTTCGATTTTTGATATCTCTCAAACTCTATCTCTTTCTCAACCAGTTGAGTTGAAGCTTATCTCTCTAGATTTGTTACTTTTAGAGAGAGAACTTCTCTCTCTACTTATATATCTTTAATCTCACCGTTATTGGTTCCTTATTGCTATATTTTTGGCTTATGAGGTTTGCATTTGAAGGTCTTCCTCTCCGTTGATTCCGTTAGATTCAATTTAGTCATATTTTTGAAAATGCAGGCTAATCCAATTGAATCTGTTAGGGTTTTGGACTCTGGTATCTTCTGTGTTCCAAGCTGTGTGATGTTGATGATGATGATATATAACATTCGAAGATTTTAGTTGTTCTAGCAAGTTGTGGTGTTCTCGTTGCGTGATTTGGTTTCGCTTATCTGAAGTATGCTCGCCGCTGTGATGATTTCGGCGATGCACTCAAAACTCATTTCGGCATTGTTGAACATCGAGGCTCTCTTTTAGGGTTACAAATAGATCAGGTAATATTCTTTTTCCGAATCCAAAGGTCTCTCTGCTAGTTTTTTTTCCTGGTTTTTTGCTTCTCATGTTCGTACTCAATCTACATTGCTTTACTTTTCCACAAATCTGAAAGCGTTTGTTCACTTCTTGAAGATCATTTCTGAATTTATATATTCAATCATTTTTTTTTTTTTTTGTTCTCTATGGAGATAGTAGTAGAATGATTACAATTTCACTTTCAATTTCTGTAAGAAATGAAATGCTGGAAAGATTCTCACTGCAAGTCTTTTTTAGAAAGGATTCCAAAGGGAAAAAAAGAATATAAAGTGATTTTAGCGGCAATTTTGCAACCGTTGAAGCTTTGGTGTTGCTTTATTACTCTGTTAGATATATCTTTCCTTTTGCTACCATCCGTTAGATTCATCAAACATGAATTTGGAAGTTCGCAAGAAGTGATTGTGAAGCTTCTTTAAATCTTCCACTACAAATCTGGTTTAAGTTGCAGTTACTGTTCTATTCTGGATCTGAGTGTCACCACTATATTTGGGGGTTGATTTTGCAGTATATGTTGGCATCTTTGGAGTTCAATTGGGTGGCATTGTGCTGATTTTCAACACTCAATAGCATCGATGGGGCTTCTCCAAAGAAGTCTCCCGATGCTTCTCCTTTTGGTATGGTTCTTCTGGTTGCCAAAACTCAAAGCTCAATCCCCTGGCTCTTCATCAAGGGCCTTAGATGCACTACTCCAAGATTATGCTTATCGTACATTTGTTAATCCGAGGACTGGCACTGTGTATGATGGGGTTGTACCATCAAATTTAGCCGGGATTAAGGTTTCAGCATTGAGGCTCAGGAGTGGTAGCTTAAGGACCAGAGGTGTTCCGATGTACAAAGAATTTATGATACCTGTAGGTCTTATTGTGCAGCCATATGTGGAAAGGCTTGTTATGGTCTACCATAACTTGGGCAATTGGTCTAAGGTGTATTACCCCTTACCTGGTTACATGTATTTAGCTCCTGTATTGGGACTCCTTGCTTACGATGCTTCAAACTTATCAGCCAAAAATTTAACCGAATTGGATATCATGGCATCTCGTCAACCCATATCAATTGAGTTTCCGGATGTGAAATTTGTGCCGCCTGGGTCTGTTGTGAAGTGTGTTTGGTTCGACTTACATGGTTTGGTCAATTTCAGCAACTTAGTATCTGACAATGTATGTTCAACATTCCAACAGGGGCATTTCTCTATCGTTGTAGAGTCCACTGCTGCCCCTTCTCCGGCACCAGTTCCTTCTGAACCACCTGAGCAAGCTCCAGATGAGGAGGTTCCAACAATTAGTGGTGGAGAAAAGAAGAGCAATACTAAGGTCTGGATAATTGTCGGGTCTGTGCTCGGTGGTTTAGCATTGTTGGTTTTGTTGGGATTTCTGGCATTGTGGGTGCTGAGGTATAAGCACAGAAAGAAAATGCAGCAGATGGAAAAGGCTACAGAGGTCGGGGAATCACTGTACATGACCCCAGTAGGAAACACAAAAGCACCAGCTGCAATGGTGATGCGGACACAACCAACTCTTGAGAACGAATACGTGCCATAACTTCTGTTTGTACAAGCTGATCTTTAGCTCCTTCATATTCATGTTCAATTCTTGCGTTTAGATATTCTTCTGATCACACCTGCTTTTGCTGGTGTCTTCTTTCTTGCTTTATTGGTCTCAATAGGCTGCTGGTTTTAGTGGTGAGTAATATAGGGTTATTGTGTAAATAATAATCTCTTACCACTCACAAACACCCACTCACAGTTTCTTGATTCATTGTGGTGTGCATGTAGTCCGTAGCCCAGAGTGATTTGTGATGAATTCTACTGCCCATTGACAAGGAATAAAATTTTTAATGGCATCTTCTTTTTTGTGTTCTCAATCACGACTTTATATGAAGTTCTTTTGATAAAGCTTGTTACTGTGGACATGAGATTATTAAAATAGTTTGGTCATGTGTTGGTATAGTGTTTGGGTCTATGCACTTAAAGTTGTTCACATCTAGCCTAGTATGATGATATGATTATACATAATATCAGCCTACTGCACTCCATTACGCACTACCTAAGGTTTTTGACCGTGTCTCTCTTCAAATGCGGTGTTTATTGCCAAAGTCAATCCTCTTTTTACTCTGTGTGTGTGTGAATTATCTCGATTTTAGGGCAAAGGAATCCTTTTCTTCTAAAGACATGAAAATGACCGAAAAAAAATTCATTTGTTTTCCCTTTGTTCGGTACTGTTGGAGTGTGATGCTTGTCATGCCCCCCACATTCGAAAAAAGATATCTGCGACCTGGATGCAGGATGCTAATAATAATTAAACAAATGATTACATTTGAACAGAAAAACAATGATACGACTAAATAAATGAATGAAAGGAACCTACCAACCATTTATTGTTTTAAATAACCATATAAATATTCCGCTTTAAAAAATCCATATATGTATTAGTACAATAATTGGGTGAAGAAGACAATTGCTCCACCAGCAATTAAATTGAAGCACCAGTTTTTGCACATGAGATATATTTTTCATTTGCATTGAGTTTATTATGTCGGGAAAGTCATGTATTTCAAAACCAAAACTCTTACTACTATTAATTATTTCCAAAGACAACGATCAGCCCCACTCGAATATAAGAAATAATATCTAATATTCTTCAAACTCAATGCCAAAATATCCCCACAGACCACTTAATAATATTTCAAATAGCACTTCAAAGATCATCATTTGCATCTCATAATAAGCCTTCTAGTTAAAGACAAATAATGTCACTAAACAAACACAGTACGCCATTGATTTCCAATACACCCCAATGAGGAGGCATGGTAGTATGCTGCCATGCACCATATGTGCACATGAGCTAAACATTTCTGTCATTTATTTCTCAATGCCTCCCACCCCTACAATCACAAACGCTCCTTTGTTCCTTCACGATGTCATCTTCAGAATGCAGATGAAAACAATGAAGAGAGCTTGTCTCCATAACCACCTTTGTTCCTTCACGAGGTTATCTTCAGAATGCAGATGACAACGATGAAGAGAACTTGTTTCCATCTTGCATGAGTACGCTGGCAAGAAGTCCAGCACTGGTAATCCGGAATTATAAGCTTGACAATGAAATCCACGCCCCATTACTTTGCATGGACCTTGTTTTCCTCAACTCTACAGGCATGACCACTGTGCGCGCAGACAGGAATCACAACACTTTCATGATGATGATGATGAGAGCAACGATAACAACAAAAAATGCCATCTATGTTAGATCAAGTATTTTAGTCGTACATCCCAGTTATACAATCATCATCGATCTGTCGGGCAAAGATTGGCAATAAGAGCAGAAACTACAGAGACTGTCTTCAGATCACAATCATATGTCTTGGAATATTATGAGAATAGTTGGAGAATACCACCAAGTTACAAAATAAAGCAGCTATAGATAGAACTGGACAAAGATGTGGTGAAAACATGTTCAGCTAAATGATATATTTTTCCATCAAAAATTAGCTAAATGGTTTGCCTAGAACTCCATGATTCCATTGTTTCCACATGCAAGGCTACTTAGGCTAATAAACATGTATTAGTACCAAGGGTTGTAGCCCAGTGGTACTTCTTCGACTTCCAAAATAGAAGGTCGAGTGTTCAAGCCCACATGTGGCAATGTGGTTGTGTGAGTTTCTTGCCAAGGAGAAATATATATATATATATATATATTAGTAGTCAATATCATAGGACAATCTAGCAAGGTAAGAGTTCACAATGGGACATCTTCTATCAAAATTCAAACCACAATGCCGTTATTGAAAACTTGCACCAATTAAAACTCATATACATCCAATAGAAAGAGATCCTCGAGAACTGAGGTTTCGAGTATCCTATAACTGAAAATTCTTGATGACCCAGGCACAACAAACAATGTAATAAACATTATTACAACATTATTTATTGCAAGGTTCACAGGCTCAAACAATTTCACACGACAAAGAAGAAAAAACGGAAAAGAAAATGAAGATTAGAGGTGCTCCAAAGCATATCTTCAGCAGGCCTGAAGCATCAGGTGTACACTTTATTCCTAACTGAGTCCGTTGGCAAAGCTTCCTGCATACTGCATAATAACATCACAATAATATACACATAAAACCATCTTTGTGCGGAAGAAGAGAGGATCCAAAAGGTCCTTTCCAACGAACCTTGTATTTCAAGGATTCCTCAAAGAGAAGCTTCTAAAAGAAGGCCTACGATTCAATGATATTGGAGCAAAAGTCTCTTTTTAAAAGTAAAAGCATTGAGCAGTTCAAATTTAGTTCTCAAGCCTATGATTAGCGGTTATTATTTACACACACAACCATCTAGAAACTAAATAAAGAAAATTAATGGACATGACTATAAATATTCAGAAAATGGAGAACTCAAAATAAACAAAAAGGGGGGAGGGTTATTTTATTTTATTAATTTTTTTTTTGTACTTTTAATAAAACCATCAATTATGGGAAGGAACTTAGCGTGTTTGGTTGTGGATAAGAGGATAAAATCTTTGAGATACGTTCACTTTTTCTTCTCAACCAAACAAAACCAAATAATAAGTTTCTCTTCTCTTCCCTACTCTTTCACTTGGGTCACCTTTTTGGCTAATAGGTCTCACTGAGACATACGCTTATGGGCAAATATGTCCCACCTAAGTCACATTTCACTTAGGACACTTTCGAGCTAACAAGTTCCTCCTAAGTCACAATTGGCACATTACTAATATGTCCCCCCTAGATCATATCTGAACTAATGTGTCCCACTTAGGCAACATTTAGGTAATATTTCCTCCATTTAGTTACTTATCAAAAAAATAAGAAATAAATGTCCTCCATTTAGCCCTTGCCTTAGGATTGATATGTCAGTCAAGGTTTAATCAACATCCAAATCCTTAGATTGAGATCAGCCTCTTAGATGCAACAATAACACTTAAAACCATGATCCTAAAACGATTCATATTCTGACGTTTCTCTAACTCGGAATTTTGCCTCCACAAAGGCAAAGGGGCCTACGTCTACTTTTCAACACCAGGCTTTACAAACCTTTAAAGATTCATGCTACTATGTTTTTTTTCCCATGTACGTTTTTTTTTTTTGACAAGAAACTCACACACCCTGACCAACAGACCAGTGGCCTAACGGTATTAGGCTCCTACTTCCCAAAAGGAGGTCAGGGGTTCGAGCCTTAGTAAGGCACGTGTGTGTGACTACCAATTAAAAAAAAAAAAAAAAACTCACACACCCTTTTGCCCCTATGGGGACTCGAACCTTCACCTTCCAATATGAAAGGTTGAAGAGATACCACTAGGCTACCGCCCTTAGTGGTTTCCCACTTACATCTTTCAACTTAAGTAATCTGGAATTCATGGCTCTCTACTATTTCCAGATCCATCTCTGCCCTATACTGTCTCGAGTAATATTATTACATCTGGGGAATGACGTTTCAAAAACTTCTTAAGCCAAAAAACTATCAGGATTCCCACCCCCTGACAATTCCAGCCCAATATCTTCATATATGGGGCTGGGCCATTTATGGCTAGCTTCCTCTGCATCATATCTTGTAAAGTAAGTTCATCAACTCCTCCAGCAGCCAAACTATTAGACACTGCTTTCTCAATTGCTCTTTTCTTTGCTATTGAAACCTCCCCTTGTCTAGACTCTTCCATCCTCAAAGTCCTTTTCTTGCTACTACCAAGCTTAGCAATGGATTCCTCTTCCATTTTAACTCCTTTCATATGAATCATATCCTTTGTGTTTATACTCTTCCACTTTTTAACAGCTAAATCATCAACACTCTTCAAATCCCCTTATCCAAATAGAAATCTGAAGTACTCTGTTTTCCTTTCCTGTTTGACCAGCCTTCATGATCTTGAGTAGCCCCTTCCGGGAAAAAAAACCTTACCTTCCCTGGTTTAATTACCTCTAAATTTACTCTCGTATCTTCTGGATGAACCTCAGTAAATTTGTCCCACTCAATAATTACCGTGTTGGCGGCTGTTATATCATCTACACATGGGCCTCTATTCCAATAAGGAAGTTACACTTATTTGTTATAAAATGAGAGAAAATAGAATGTAAGATTACTTGCTTATGTGCAGTGAAATCCGATAACTAGACCAATAGGGAAGAATGACATGGACCAGATAGAGGATAATGACTAAAATTAATCATTTCAAGATAGTAAGAAAATATATGGTGGGACGTACTCCAACTGAAGATATGGCAGTAGACAAAGTAGAATGGCAAAACATGATTCACATAACTGATGGTAAATAGCTGGAAGGAGACTTAAGTGAGTTGGGCTGAGTTGCTTAGAAATAAAATGAAAATTGGATACACCAGCCAAACAACCCCAATTGTTGTGTCCTGAGAATTAAGTTAGACATATCTTACATCTTTCTTCAATCCATATTCAAGAAAATATAAGCAAAAATTCCATGTCTATAAACAAACTAATGATTGGGTACGCTTACAAACATTCTCCCTTCTATCTGTTCATTCTTTTTAAAGCTAGTCATATGTTAGGTATTATTCTTCCATATGAATGGCAAAATTTCTAGTAACATTCTTCTTTGAAAATTTTATAATAACATTCTTTCTTCTTTGAAATACAAATGCCACTCATTTTTATTCCTAGCAAAGACCAAAGTCTTTACATTTCTTCTGAAAAAACTACCTTCTTAACCTCAAGTTCCCACGCTGCTCCCTATTCCACACCTTGAAACGTTCTTTACTCAGACAAAACTAAGACAACTGTTGACATTCACACTCTGCCATATCGTCACCTTATCCAAAAAAATATCCAGAGAGAAAAATATAGTCAATTCCACCAAACCAAAACCAACCTAATCACAATATTGATATGAGATTGACCAATAAGGGCTTTAGCCCAAGTGGTATCTCCTCCTTCCAAAGAAAGATTGAAGGTTTTGAGTCCCCACTGGGACAATAATTGGGGTGTGTGTGTGGTTTACCATAAAAAAAAGATATGAGAATGGTCAGAAATAATTATATCGATCTCACTTCATCGACTTGAGTGATGCTCTTCACATGTAGGAGGCAAAACAATTCCACTCAACCATCAAAACAAAGACAATACACCAAGAGATATGCCACCTAGAACAAACAAGTGACAGCCCCTCCTAGGATGACAATCCCAAATAATCAGCATTGGAACCACCCTCTTTACATCTACTCACTCCTAATTGTCAACAATTAACCATCTTTGTTAACATGATCCACAAATTCTAATTCTCTTCTCTAAATCTTAATGTATTGTTCTCACCCTCTTTAGAAAAAAATAAATTTGGTCGATAGGTGACCTTTATTTGGCCACACTTATTACATTCCTTACCTCTTTATTTATTTATTCCCAAGGCTTACCTCTTTTTATTTTTTTATTTTATAATATTGTCTCTTTCTAGGATATCACCATAGGTATTGTGCATGATGAAACTACGACCTATAATCCTTGTACCTCATAAATTGCTGGATAATTTTTTTAAATGACACTTAACCAATACCACACGTGCTTTGCCCGTATTTCTTGAGACAGACGGGCACAACTAATACATTGTGTGGTTGTGAAGGATCTGCACCTATATTTCAAATTCTCATATCATCGATTAACATTTTAGTGTTGGCATCGAATCAACACACAGAACAAAATCTTAGTGGCATGCAGAAAGACAAGTATGATGCCATTTATTCAAGGCCATGTAGTATCTATAACCTTAGCTACTGAAAATCACAATGGATAACATACAATTCCCTGGGAAAAGGCCTAATCGAGAGGTCTACCAATTGAATAGTGTATCAACAATGGACCAATAGTATAAAAATCTAATAGAGGTCTTCTGTTGTCATAGTTCTTTATTTATTTTTGAGGAGGGTGGGGAATCATAAGAATGAATTAACCAACAAGCTAATACAAGATGTAAAAGGCCTACAACATGAGCATAGAAAAATGGACCATATCAATCAAAACCCTAATAAATCTAGCGATGAATCACAAGAAATACTACTAGTAATTAAAGAGAAATTAGTAGAAAAAGTATACCAGAAAAGAATGGGTAACTGGGAGGGTCTAATTTGAGGAATAAGCGAGCTTCTTGTCCCGTCTTTCCATGGCCACATCCCACATGTCGTTGCCTATGTGTTTAGGCTGTAATGTCTCATTCCGTGTACAACAACAGCGACTAAATAAGAATAAAGAACCAATTTTTTGGCCACAAAATTTACAAAAAAAAAAAAAAGAAAAAAAAAGGCACTTTGGAAAAATGGGTTCGATGAAAAAAAGAGTGAGAAGTAATGAAATTGATAAGAATTAGTAAAAGACTAATTACACGGTCATGAGCGGCTTTGTGAATGTGGTACTGAGCATTGCCCATCACACACAGCATCCCTGCTATGATCCCCAATGGCAGTACTGCTTCCAACCACACCAACGCCATCTCTCTCTCTGTAATCACAAACAAACTGGTGTTTCTGAGTTCCTCCCTAATACTCCTAAAATGTTTAACGGTAGAGTCGTAGACCTTGATCGACTAATCTCCAAACCCGTGACATGACAGATTGACCCCATTACCCATAAATGTCATAATGCATCTATTTGTTTTCCAATTGAGTACATTTTTACCAGACGACCAGATGTGTTTTCGGTCATTTATTACTATTATATATGGTTAAGTGAAACATATGACGTTTCCAGAAATGTTTGGGGAACACATTCAATTTAGAAACAAACACTCCCTCTCTCCTAAAATAAGATCAATTCTCGTAGATTTATCCATTCTAAAATGATAATTGTCTTATTTTAAAAAGTTAATATTCCTTTTTTAAATTTCTTTTATAATATTAGCAATTTAAGCCTTTTGAAAAGTAAAATATCACGTCATTAATGGTGATATCAACTCATTAGGAAAAAATTTAGTAATTCATTTACTACTAGTCTACTAATACAATAAAATCTTAATCTTATAAAGTTAGACTCCCAAAGAGAACAATTAAAATGGACAGAAAAAGTATATTGCAACAACTTTTTAATTGTGTTGATTATTTTTTTCAATATCATTTTTTTTTAAAGAGATTATAATTTTTATAACCTGATTATTATAATTTTAATACCAAAAATATCCTTCCCTAATAAGTTTAGGATTCTCAATTCCCCCCCCCCCCAACAAAAAAAAAAAAAAAAAGAGGATTATTATTATTTTTTTCATGGCAAGAATGCAATACTATAAGTTAGAAGTATCTAACTTTGCAAATTAAAAATTAGAGGTGCCAAGGTTTGAAATTAGGCTCTCAAAAACAACGGAGAGCAACTCAACTACTGGACGACGAAGTTAGAGGTGCCAAGGTTCGAAATCGGGCTCCCAAGGACAACAAAGAGCAACTCAAGCATTGAACTACAAAGGCATTGGCCTAAAAAAAGTTTAGAATACATAATTTTATGATTAGTTAGGAATAATTTTATGATTAGTTACTATTATTATTTTTCCCAAGTAATAAGATAATCAAGTTGACGAGAAAAATGTAATATATATATATCCAACACGAACAATTGAAGCAAAACACCTATATACTCAACAATAGAAGGAAGACAATATCACCAACATCCCAAAAAAAATGACAACCAAGAATAAGTAGACTGCTAAAAAAAAAAAAATCTAACTAATAAATTCGAGTTATAAAGCAAATATAGAAGAAAATATTGATTTAAACTAAAACATGAATTACATGGAAAAAATCTCTCAGCAATATACAATTGCTTTGTTTACGACTAAATAAGCACAAAAAATCGATCATATTATATAACAAATTATTTGAATGATAACTCAATATTCTTTTGACATTACAACAACTAACTTTTATTCACTCACAATAACACTCGACCACCAAAATAAGTAAGTGAAAGGATTATATATACATTCAAATCCTTATCTGAGTGAACGAGTTCTCTTGAGTAGTAATTTGGAAACTACTCTGTAGTTCTTTTACCGTATCAGCATGTGAATGCTAAAATATCAAAATGAAAACTTAAGAGGGACGGTAAATTATCAAAATGAAAATTTACATTAACTTTTTCGTCAAATTTTAATATAAGAGATAACGTGAGATAAAACATTACTTAATAGAATTCTTAATAAAGGTCAAAAAAAGGGTTGGAATTTTAAAAGAGTCCCATAGAGAGTGATAAGATAAAATTATAGAACAAATTTGAATTAATTATAGGAAAAGTTAAAAAGAATTAAAAGAGCCAAAAGGAGGGCAATTATGGTATTGAAAATATAATAACCAGACATGATGTGATGTAGGGACTTATTTTTTTAATTTTATTTTCAGAAAGAAAAAGGATGAAACACAGACAATAATTTTGAAGCGCTAATATCAGTTTTTTTTTTTTAAAAATTATAAAACATTTTAAATTGTATTTCAATACATTTGTTCTATGTTAAAAAATTTAAAACAAATGAGTCCAGACACTATTTGAATGTATTGAAGTTTCCTACATGACCGCATGTCTAGGTGCTACAACGAAAGATCTAAATTCACTCATGTAACTCTTTAAGTTTTTTTTTTTCCATTGATTTTTTTATGAAGGTGGTGTTGAGTTGGTTAAAACACCTCATATTATCATAGACATGCTGACCTCCCATCCCCATTGAGAAGACAATTATTGAGAATAATTACATTTACCACCCCAACAAACTCTCTAAATAATAGGAACTCTTATTATGATTTCAAATATAACACTAACAATCACAGTTGATTTTTGACTTGAAGTTGTTAAAAGATTATTATACCGTTATTATAAAATATTAGTTTCTTTAGTGACAAAATAACATTTTCAAACTTGCTAAGGATATTATTGTATTCTAAGCAAATATTAAGTATATAACATTAGCAGATAAAAGTGTGTGATTTTATGATTAGGAAGGTACACGGATCTAAACCAAACGATAATTATATTTAAAACTAGATGAGAGGTCCTTATTATTTTGGCAATCTACATTATTACTCCAAAATTTAAACTTCCAAACCTGAAACTTCTAATGTGGTGTAAGAGTTTTGTCATTAAGGTAAGTTATTTTTAAAAAGTACTTCATCAAATAAACTTTTGATTTATTGTATTCCTACATTCTTTTACTAAATCAAAAAAATAAAAAATAAAAAAAATAATGGTTTTGAAAGGTAACCAAATAAACTTTACTTGCCAAATGAAAATTCAAGGGACATCAATAATTGTTCCTGAAGGGTATCCTGGGTATGTAGAGGAAGAAAATAAGGAATGGAAAGGTTCCTAAATTCCTGAGCCATCTAATGCAATGTATGTATTAGGTAATCAATAAACACATAATACACATTAGGTATGTGTCATGAAATGGATATTATATAGGAGTAACAACAACAGATTGCTGCATATGAGCTGGTACACCCACCGTGGGAGCTTCCCTGGCTCTTTCATAGCCGCATTATGAAGCGTTAAATATAGCATTTTAGTAGTTGTACTCCAATTGGTTTTTTTGCCAAACATGGCATTTACACGAATCCACTGAAACGACGTCGCTGGAGAAACATCTGGAACAGGGTAAACGGCGCCGTGCCATTAGTAATGTCGGCCACTCTGTCAGTCCAGCTAAGACTCCGTTGGCGACATCAATTGCCATTGGCCGCATGCTCCAGTGGGACCCATTTTGGACTGCTGCTTACCAGATCGCTGCATGCATCACACGTGCACAGCTCACTCTCAGGACTCCTAATCTGAGTGCGCACACAAACACCCCCTACACCAACTACTACTGGAATTTTACCTCATCCCACCTCTCTCTCCGCCGTAAATTGCTCTTTCCATTACTGCTGCAGTAAAGCCCTTTCACTTTTCATCTATACTGGAGTATATATCTCAAGCCACCACCACCACTATTTACGTGAATTTTCTCTCCCGTGAAAAGGATATTATCACTTTCTAGCTGCTGCTGCTGCTACTGCTACACACTCTGTATATATTTTTGGTATTTGACAGGAAAAAAGGAAAAATCACCACCCCCAGTTCAAAACTCATTTTTAATCTTCAATTTCGTTTCTGTATGCAAAACAACGGGCCGTCTGGGTGAAATATTATATATATATATACACACATATATATATATATATATTATAATAATAATAATTATTATTATTATTATAGATATATTTATAAGCCAAAAACATAGATTTGCCTTCCTTTCTGCAAATTTTGCAGACCTTTCTGGTCTCAAGTATCGACCTTCCTTTTATCACAAAAACCCTCTTGCTTCTGTCCCTTCTCGCTCCGTCTCGTATATAAAAACCCTTTACCATTCCGTTGATCACTTGTCATCCAAAAAGCCATGTCAGGTCTGTATAATTCCAACTTTTCGCCTGCAAGAGCTGTTTCTCCACAAATTAGAGGTACCCCAGATGTTGACAGGTACTGTATATCTAACTAACTATATGGCTAGTCAATTTTCAATCTGGGTAATTTTTTTTTTAGTCTTTTTGAATTGTTATTTGGTTTTGATCGATGTGGTTTTGTTATTTATTATTTGTTTTTCGCTAGTAATCACTACTTGTCAGAGCTGTTGGCGGAGCATCAGAAGCTTGGACCTTTCATACAAGTCCTTCCGATATGTAGTAAACTCTTGAATCAAGGTAAGTCTCCAACTGTGTATTCTCTTTCTCATTTTTGGATCTAGGTTTTCTGGGTTTTTTGCGGGTTTTAACTGCATTTCTGGCCCTACGACTGTGTCTGTTTTTTTTTTTAATATTTTTTATCACAAGTACAATTTAGATCCGCCTGTATTGGCGTTAACTTTTATGTACCTTGGCTGATATGGTTTCTGCTGTTCTTCATTTTCATTTTGTAATTAACCTGCATTTATTTACTTTATCTACCCCTATCCCCAATCAATCCCATTAGGATTGTGTCTAGAGCTTAACTCAATCACATATCTGATTTTAGTTTTTTGAGGGGGCATTTCGTTTGTTCGTGGAAATGGAGTCATTTATTGCGTTTCTCATAGCACCTGAAGTACTTTTCTTGGTTCTGTGTGAATTTATGATGAAGTGATGATGAGTGAACGACTGGATTGAACTATTTTCAATCTGAAAAATAGTTGACGACTGGATAATTTGCTTTTGAAACAGAAAATGTATGCGCAATGTGTTCCATGTGTAGCAAAATTATTTTGATTTAATTTCCGTGAGAAGGCAAAGTAATTCTTTCTCTTGGTGATAAATATATTTGAGTTTTATTGTATAATTAGTTGTTTGGTTAGTTTTGGTGGATTAGGAGGCAACTACTTCATTCAATATAATTTTTGACTCGGGAGGGATTTCCAACCACTTAACGGCCATATTTTATCGTTTTTATACTTAGAGTTGGCCCAGTAGCAATACTAAATTTTGATATTTTGCTAGGAATAAATATGAGATAGTGGAACAATTTTAAAGAACTGATCTTTTAATTGTGTTTGTTTAAATTGAAAATATATGTTTGTTCTAAATTGTGTATTTGGTAAGCTATGGTGCTTAATGATAATTTCCTCCCCCCACCCGTGCTTTAAAACTTTTGGCCTGTGGGTTTCAGAAATTTTGAATAGATTCATTTGTCAACAAAACAGCTGGTGCGAAATCCAGAAAAGATAAGTAGAAATTGAGCTAATGTAGATGACAAATAATTAATAGGCTTGGATACTTTGGAGTTTTGACTGGTGTTATAGACAGCATCCTTTCATCTAACTAAAAGGGGCTCCAAGTAGAGCTGTGGCAAACTTGAAACAGAAAGGTGTGGCTGACACTTTGAACTACTAGCTTGCTTTTCCTGACCAGTGACCTGAGTTTGGGGTGTTAAAATTTGTGAATTAGTTAAGCTTCCCTTGATTCTTAATCATAAATTTGAGCAACAGTGTTACATCGGGTTAATAGATTGCAGGTAAATGCATTGCTATCTTATCTTTGTGGTTCTCAGTTGACATGAGCTTTTAAATAACATCCGTTTTTCTTGATTGTAGCCTCTCTTTCTATTCTTATCTTCTTGTTCGTCTTGCGTTGCTCTTCATGTCTCCACATTTTTGTATCAATGACTGAATCTTGTAATGAAAATAGTTTCAGCCTCATTTTCCTCCTCTTCTTTTCTTTTTCTTTTTCTTTTTCTTTTATTTTGCTGAGGCTTAAATTTAATTCTTTTATTTTTGCAGAGATATTACGGGTCTCAGGGATGTTGCCCAACCAAGGTCTTGGTGAACTTGACCGACTAAGACATAGAAGCCCCAGTCCGATGGCTTCTTCAAATCTTATGCCAAATGTTGCTGGAACAGGGTTTGGTGGCTGGAATGGCCTTCCTCAGGAGGTAATGGTTCCCACTTTTAGTTTACAATCACATTAAATGTCCATCCTTTTATTATGTAATTGGTAATATGTAATTGGATACCTAATTGTATTTTTCATGTCAATGATATTTACTTGCTTTTAGTCCTGCAAAGTTTGATTTTTGTCTGCTCAGGACCAGATATTAGTTCATGAGATGAAAAAACATTCTTCTATTTTACTAGTATACCAATCGATGGCCCTTTAATGAGGTGAAAAGATGGTATTCATGTTAAAAGGTTTGAGTTTTTCATTTTTTCATAACCTACAGCAACTTCATACCCATGACTTCCTCGCTCATCGGCCTAATATGTGATTGTTTTGAGAATCAGAGTGCTGATCTTCTTCAATTTGAAACACATTTTAGGCAATTCAGATTTTAAAATAGGACAGAGTACTGAAATTCTTCTTCTTGTTTTCATACATATTCCACAGAGGCAACTTTGAGATACATGTGATATATATTTTCTTTCTGAAATACGTGGTGTTGAAGATGTCTTACTTGATATTAAAAATTGTGGAATGTCTGTGTGAAGACTTTATTTTAGGGCTGATCATGTATTAATATACATAAAAGGGGGACATGATCCAAGTGCAGAGGACAGCAGGATTTCACCTTTAAATAGGACCTAGTAAATTATGGGCTGCAACATTATACATTCTAAATATCTTGAGTCTTGAAAAAAAAAAAAAAAAAAAAAAAGAGCAGAAAGTTGGAGACACATTTTAGCCTTCTTAATGTTGGGTAGGTAGGTGGAGCCTATAGCTGATATCACTAATCACTTGACAGTTCACTGAACCATCGAATCCATTAGTAGGTAGTTGCAAGTTCTTTTCAACTGCTAGTTGATGCTTTACCAAAATAAAAAGTATATATCAGGAAAAAAAAAAAACTGCTAGTTGATGCTCAATATCAGAACACTACGCCATTAGGCTTCAGTAGTAGCTGCCGTCTGCCAAGGAGCCCAGCAAGATGTTGCAGGCTTGCAGCAATAGGTGGAGAACTTTTGATAGGGAATTGTGAACACCCAAAAACACCTGCATATCCATCCCTCCTATGCAGCATGTTACAAAATTGTGTCCATAGGTCACAGAATAATTAATATGCATCTGAATGCTGAGCAATTTTGTTTCAATTTTCAACAAAATCTGGCATCCATATTCAACACACTGGAAATGATATTTGTTGCTGGATTATCTTTTTCTTTTCATTTTGTTCCCAGGTTCTTTATTTATTTATCTATCTATTTGAAATTATGTTTTGAAGTAATGCTAACTCAGAACTCAAGTCTATTTTCTTGATGTATATTGTTGGTAGAAGGAAATAGCATGGGGTGGTACAGCAAATGTCTGGTTGGAGTAATTAAATTTAAAATGTTATATATATTTTGGTAGAGTTGTATCTAATCATTTGAATTTGGTGTAAAGTAATTGACGGCGCTAAAAATTTGATAAAGGTTTGTTCTTTGGTTATTCTTTAGTTAACATTTCAAGGAATTTGATCTTGAAAAGATATACTGAACATAGAATGATCAATAATCCAAGTACATAGGGAGTAAGTTCTGTAACCAATCACAATTTGATGATTTCAGCCATTTGAACTATGTCTAGTGATTGGACACTGTTAATACATTCTCAAAAGCCTCATAAAAATTATGCAAACCAATTGGTTAAAACTCATCTACTCTTTGCTGGTTTTTTGTGTACTTCATCTACCGTACAGGACTTTTCTTGGTAGATCTCTTTTCATATTTTATGCCATAATGGTTAGATGCTAGTGGTAGTCTGTATGTAAATTTCTTCAAGGAGCCAGACGTCATCTAATTTGTGAGGAAGCCAAGAGCTCTTGGCATTGAGATAAAAGAATTGTATGGAAAATAAGGGGACTGAAATTACTTTTCCACTCATCAATTTTTAAAAATAATGATAAAAAAGAATCGAAGATTCCTAGAGGAGTATTAACAAATAAATTTTTTTTGTCATTTTTCATCATTCTTTGCTGATGAAATATCCTTTTCCCCTGTTGTCTCCAATGAGGCTGCGAGTTGGTGACATCTCTTTCTAAGTTTTATATGTAGTAAATCAGCAGGCCTGTTGGGAATGGGTGAGAAGTTGAACACATGCCTATGGTCTTGGTATATATGACCCCATAACTCCATCATGCACAGAAAGGTCCATGGCTTCATTGAAAGTACAAGGATAAGTTGTAGGGTGAATATTTTTTCTTGAGTTGTGTCCTAACTCCTAATCCTGTACTTTATCTGCCAAACTAGCAAACTACATTTTTCTGGGATTTTCATGAGCTCCAAATATTATTTGATGTTCTTGTACCTGATTGCCATCCATTGAAGTCTATATATAATGCTAAAGAAGATTGAAAGAGTGTTTGGCTGGCCAAGTGACCTGAAGGTGGGGTAGTTGCAACTGTTGGATGTAACATTAATGAGAAACCTTGAGTTCTTTCTCGTGGTGCAAGAATTAGAAATCTGGGTGTTATTCATTATGATCTTATATTTTAAGTGTGAATTAGACACTCTAGATGCCTAGTAGATAATATAAATATAATCTTGTTGGATAGAAAATCATGAAAGGTAAGAATTCTGACCTTTGACAAGGGCTTTTATAGTAGCCATTTTGCATGCTTGCTGCGCATCTGCACTTGCTGTTCTTTTGGTTGCATGGAAGGTTTCAAGTAGTTTTTGGGGTTCCGAATTAGTTGATTCTGCTTTATGGTTAATACTGTACCCTTTGTTTGTTCCTTTGGGTGATTATTCTGCTTGCTACAGAATTGCACAGTTTCTTGTGTATCTAAAAGAACCTTTGTATTTTATTTTTTATCCTTAGCTTCTTCTTTTTCAAAAAATAAAGATTTGTAACAATAAGAATCAATTACATGACAGAGATTAAGTGGACCCACTGGAATGACGATGGACTGGCAAGGGGCACCGGCAAGTCCTACTTCATACACTGTGAAGAGGATATTGCGCTTAGAAATTCCAGTAGATACTTATCCAAATGTAAGATTTCTAGTCTGTTACTCAAAGTTTGATTGGTTAATGTCACTCATGCTTCATTCTAGTAAAAGCAAAGGCTTAACTGAGCTATTAACTTCTTTGGTTATTAGTTCAATTTTGTTGGAAGACTTCTGGGACCTAGAGGCAATTCATTGAAGCGGGTTGAGGCTACTACAGGATGCCGTGTATACATTAGAGGAAAAGGATCGATAAAGGACCCAGACAAGGTATGACATATTATTTTTCTCTTCTGATTCTATTAAATAGTATTATTTCTTTATCATGGTTCAGCCAAAACCGAGAAGAGAGCATGATATTGTGGCAAATCCATTAAAATTATTTCCAGTGATATTGGTTATAGTATTTGAGCTTAATTATATATTTATGATTCCAATCTGAAGGAAGAAAAGCTTCGAGGAAGACCAGGCTATGAGCACCTGAATGAGCCGCTCCACATCTTAATCGAGGCTGATTTACCTGCCAATGTTGTTGATATAAGACTCAGACAGGCACAGGAAATTATAGAAGAATTGCTCAAACCAGTGGTATTTATCTCAAACCTAATGGTTTATCTTGTTATTTATTTATTTATTTAAACATCAATTTGATTTCTCAATTTGCAAAGAATGCCACACAACTACTATTTTAAATTTTTAATTGAACTAAATTTTTTTAAGCAGAAGGAAGATGTCGCAGAAAGCTGAAGCATCCATTTAGTAGACCATCAGGTCGTAAACTATTTAGGTGGTGGTAACATTGTGTTATATATGATTAAGCTTTAATAAGTTGATCCCTCTGCATGACAAGTCTTTACCATAGGTTCTCTTTGAAGTATTTTAAAGAGAGTGGATTTGGTTATACCTTAACAGATTTCACCTTGTTATGAGCCTTAGGATCATAGGAGGGTTTATACTCCTAAAAATTCTGGTATTCGGGGCAGCAACTCAACTCTTCTTGCCTTGAAAAAAGGGTAGCAACTCAAAAAGGAAGTAGCTACCATTATTTTCTTGGGAGAGGTTACGAAGGGTCACATTGACTTATTTGTGTGTGTGAGACTGTGAGAGAGACTTGTTGACTTTGGAGGTTTGAACATTCAGTTAAACATTCTATGCTTTAGAGACTAGAATTTTGTGCGCGTGTGAGAGACTTATTCTTCCATATGCCAATAGATTTTTTTTTTGTGGCATTTAGAGGTGGTTGATGCATAGCAAAAACACCAGACTTATATTTTCCAGTTTGCAATGATTGTCTTGATTTTTGATTTCTTATTTTATCTTAATCTTTCCGTGTGCAGGATGAGTCCCAGGATTTCATCAAGAGGCAGCAATTGCGAGAACTAGCTATGCTTAATTCAAATTTCAGAGAAGAGAGCCCTGGTCCAAGTGGTAGCGTATCGCCTTTCAATACCAGTGGAATGAAACGTGCAAAAACCGGACGTTAAGACATGAATCCTTACTCAGTGTCCAAACTGCTGGTACCTTACCTGCTCTGGTTCGGAGAATCATGCTTGAGTATACCTCCCAATACACCTCAATTGCGCACAGCTACCTCAAAAGGAAGTAGGAAAAATGTCTAACAGTTCTTGCGGGTGAGCTTTATGGTTATCTTTTCTTTTTGTTTTATTTTAAACAACAGGGAACAAAATTGAAGGGAACTCCCAAAAAAAGGAAAAAAAAGAAAAAGAAAAAGAAAAAAATGAAGAAGCACATGTTTTTTTCTTTAATTTATATATATAGTTGGATTTTGGGTTTAGGTTTGGTGGTGTCATAACCTGTAAACTTCATTCATTGGATTTATTCTTGTGTTAGTAAACCTTGAGTAGTGTGGAATATATTGTTATTGGTGCAGCTGAAGGATTGAGCAAATTTATTAGATTTCTAGGTTTGGTGTTCTATAATCTGTGACATCTTTCACATTATATTAAAAATATTCCATTGAATGTTTTGAGAGAAGAAGGTGATACTGGAGCTCCAGGAAAAGCTCGAGGCACTTTACTTCTTCATTGTATATTATAAGAAGCGGAGAGTCCAAGGCTTTTTCAGGAATAAGCATTGGTACGGTTCATAATGTCAAATGTAGGCATTTTTGGGGCTGCTTCTTTGATCTTACTCTTCTGCCTGTATTCCTCGCAACGAGGACCATTGGAACTTTTTTGTTCTGCCTATACTTATTCAGGAGTATTAAATAACTGTAATAGTTCTTTTTTTTATTTTTTATTTTTTATACTATATAATAAACTATTTTATATTGTTATTTCTTCTCTTTTGATTGTCGTGTTGGAGCACAAAAAGACTAGTAAACTATTTTAAATTAAAATGATTGAATAAAGAATAATATAGAGCCGTCCTCCTAACAATAACCAGACAATTTTTGGTAAGATTGTTTTGACATGGACGTTGATTACTCAGTTAAAATCATAGCAAGGCATCTTAATCTGTTGGTCATAGACAATGGTTCTCCTATTATTGGAGACGTGGCCTTTTGTTTTCTCCACTCTGGTTCTAGGCTCCATTTTGAATTGAATTGCCGCGCGCACACTGTTCTTCCATCTTTGTTGTCTTCGTCGTCATCTGTTTTTATTCCAATCAAATTGAATCCAACACATAGCAACTTAGTGTATATATATATATATATATATATATATTTGGATTGGCGTGTTTGTATGGTCAGTGTCTAAAATACTGAAGCTTGTTTTGTCAATTTTCATTATTCATAATTTCTCCCTCCCACCTCGATGGCTAAACTATCAATCTTACCTTCTATTGATCAATTTTTTAAAAAATACCGATTAAACTGGTGGAAGTATGCTTGCTCAATTTTAATTAGTATACGTGGTCAATTTTAGTTAAATATTTAAAAATAATAATACAGTAATGATTAGGCTGATTACAAGATAATCCAAATCCATTAATCTAATTACACTATACTTTGGTTTCTTTCACCCATACTGAGTGCTCGATTAATTTGAAAATTTGTTATATGATTTTGTTTCTGCATGTCGCCAAAACGGTTGCACACTTTGACAATCTCTTGATGACTTACCCTCAATATTTGGAGCTTTTTACTTCCATAACTTACACCCTCATCTATTATTTCAGCTCAAATATTTACAGCTATACAAAACTCTCTACTATCATAGAATCTTCTACTCCACAAATGCTATCCGATATTTGTACTCTCTCTACTATCATAGAATCTTTTATACTTCACAAATATCTACAAGCTATTCAATAAAAAAATTATCTTCTCGAAGGCATTGGAACTCCACTTTTCTCACGTCATGCAAACGCAATGTAAAGTCCTCAGGCTTGTGTATCGCTTATGTAGCATAATCTCTCTGCAAATAGGCGGGCGTGACAAGTTACTCCAATAACACTGAGCGCCTATATAGCATAACCTCTTCACAAATAGGCGGGTGTGAAAAGTTGCTCCAAATAACACAGAGGTATGAAACATAACCTCTCCGCAAATAGGCGGGCGTAACAAGTTGCTCCAATAACACTCAGTGCCTATGTAGCATAACCTCTCTGCAAATAGACGGGTGTGAAAAGTTACTCCAATAACATAGATATATGAAGCATAACCTCTCCGTAAATAGGCAGGCGTGACAAGTTGCTCTAATAATATTGAGCGCCTATGTAGCATAACCTCTAAGCAAATAGATGACGTGAAAAGTTGCTTCAATAATTCAAAGAGAGAACTGAAAGGAGTGTACAGGAAAAATAAATGCATACCAGCTATGTACTTAAACCATCAATAATCTTCATGGTTTTCTCAACTTTTTAGATCAACTCAACTGACATTTTTTCTTTTCTTTTTTTAATTATAGATTCGGGAACTTATTTATACCTTTTTTATTCACGCAATCATTTTACATTGTTTGTGAACAATTGAATCTTTACGAAGTTCGCACCTTGTTAATCACTAACAAAGTCTCTCATACAGGTAGGAAATAAATTAAGAAACCAGATAGAAGAAGATGGAATAGTTAATAATTATTTATAAATAGTAGTCATAATTAAATATATATATATATTCAATTTTATTTTAGTAAACTTAATTGTTTGTTCTCTAGAATCTATTTCACAAGAGTGCTACTGAATCGGTTTGGGATTTTTGTGTAAATGAGATTTTTGTGTATCAAGGAACTCCGTTTGCCGCTGTAGCGTTTTGTATCGATGCTGCTGTTCATACATTGGTGTAAATTAACAGCTGTAACGAGAGCTCCCGTTCATGCTGAAAGTGAGAGGACTTTAAGACTTTGTGATGCAACTATAAGGCTCGGGTAAAATACTTTTGGGCAAATTACAATGACCTCCTCTGAAGTTTGGACTATATGCAACTAAATCTGAGGTTTGCTCTATTTTTTTGCAACGACCCCCGGTCAGATTTTGTGATGAATTTACTTATCTACCCTCATTACTATAATTGTTAAAAATAATCAAAATATCTAAAAATGTCAAAGGACTATTTTGTCCCTTAAACTTGCAACCCAATTCTTGCACTTCGTCAACCAGCCCCTTCCCGCTACCACCACCAGCCACTACCCACCGCCACCATCATCACCCCCACAACCACCGTCGACACCAAATCAAACTAAAGAATTTCACTGAAAACACAACATCGTACAAACTAAACAATCACTGTTTTAATAGAATCCAAAAATCATTTGAATTAACCTAACAAAATTCAAACACTGTTTTAATAGAATCCAAACACCACCTCTCCAACGCTGCTCTCTCTCTCTCCTCCACTACTCCGGCGACTCTAATGGCTACCTCAACTACTTCTCTCTCCATTTCTCTGTTGCTGTAACTAAGGTCTCGACCCATCTCAATTTGTCCATAGTATGGGTGTTGTGACTCTCTCAACCCTCGAAAATGGAGCTCCAGACGTGTTCGAATCAGTGGCCGTCGTCCGTGGCAGCCAATTGAGGACTGGGTTTGGTGCGATTCTCTGCCGGCACCCATTTTCCCTTCACAAAATAAAATCCAAACTTGTTTTTCTCGTTGATTTGTGAAATTTTTTCTAGGGTTTGGGCAAGGGGTGTGTGTTTGGTTCAATCAGAAACCCAAACACCAGCTAAGACACCATACTTTTGACTTCGCCAGAAAAGCAGTCGTCGTTCACTCACCGCCGGGTCCTTATACAGAACCGATTCCACCTCCACGCTGCTCAAATTCTGGCCGCCACTGATGATTACATCCTTCGATCGCTTTTCCATTCAGTGTAGGCCGATGTATGAATTTCCTTCGATCGGTCTTTGATTGGTTGTTGTGGTTGATACCGAAGATAGCCATGGATGGCAATCACGAAGCTTTCAAGTTTGACTTGGGGTTCCTCTAGGTTCAATTGGGTTTGTCATGGGTGCAATTGGGTTTGTTGTGAGTCCGATTGGTTGGTGATAATGGTGGTAGAAGTGGTGGTGGTGGTGATATATATATATTATTTTATATAAGACCAGCCATTGTGGGTTTGTTTGGCAGTGATGGTGGCTGCCGATGGAGTGGTGGTGGCCTCTTTTTTAAATGTATTAATTTAGTATTATGAAAATCCCTAATTAAGGGGTAGTTTGGTCCACACATGGTTTTTTTGGTTATTTCATAACATTATAAGGGTAATATGATCTTTTAAACTTAGTTGATGGGTGCTTTAGTCATTTCAACCAAATTTTATGACAAAAATGATTGAATTTTGTACACAGGGGAGGTCCTTGCAAAAAATAGCAAACTTCAAGGGGATACATTGCAAAAAAATGACAAATCTCAGGTTCAATTGTAATTAGTCCAAACCTCAGGAAAGGTCATTGTATTTTCTCTTGTTTAGTTGTCGTAATACATTTACGAAGGAAAAAAAATTAGAACTTAACAAAAATGATTTATTCATCAATTTTCGATAAGTTATTTTACACTCCACGACACTCCACGACATCAATCTTGACATAGACTTTTGCAAACGCCCAAAAATAAAAGTAGAAGAAAATATTTTACCTGAGAAAAAATATTTTTGCATCGATTTTGATCGAACAGATTATGAAGAACCACGTGGGGTACGGACTAAGATGCAAGCTGCGGCAACACATACCAACCCACAAGAAAATGAAAGAAGATCGATTCAACTTGATAATAATCTTTCAGCACGTGCTGTCTGAATTAAAGCTCTTTGCACCCTGTAGAGGGATGGTAAAGAAACACAAATGTACTGCCGTTGGGGGAAAACAAATGTTATATGCAAACAAAAATAAACCTCTATGGCAAGAGTACAATAAATTTCCAGCATAATTCTTTCCTTCATCCCGATTTCACAAAAAAAAAAAAAATTAAGCGCTTTCTTAGGAGTCCTCTTTCCATCAATTCGTATATGATCTTGGGTGCTTTTGGCATGGCTCTCCCAACTGTATTCACATATCTAACTGCACCATGCATGGTATCTGACATTATCATCTGACAGCCTCTGGTGCAGAGTTGCAATATGGTGTGTGCAAGCAAACCAACTTAGTGCTCATTAGGCAAACACTAGCAAACCCCATGCCCATCATGAGCCCAAAGCTGCTCTTCCGCGTATCCAAACTTACAGCTCTCCTAACTATGGCCCAAAAACATGGCAATAGCCCGCCACATGCAAACACCATCAGGTGGTCAAGACCACTATAATCAATTCCACCGAGTATAGCTGCAATTGCAGATGATGGGCCCACAAATCCAATCAGCACAGAGGCTGCAAGGGACCCATGCCAGCTGTTAGTTGCACCAAAGATGCAGCTAGCCACGGCAGCTCCCCTTGGGATTCCATGCAGAGCGACTGGAACGACCATGTGTTGACCAAAACCATAAGCTTTAGGTGCGGCCACCCCTAATGCAAGCCCCTCAGCCAGAGCATGAAGAGCAACCGCCATACATGACAAGAATGACTGCAGAGTGGGGGTACTCATGGAGAAGCCTGTTACTGCAGATATGGTACTTGCGGAATTCTTCCTGCGACCTGCAAGCCTCAAAGCATTGGAAGTTGAAATATGAACGAATGCAGATCCCATGGCAAGCAGCAACATGAGGGGGAAAAATCCAATCTTTGAGGACACAAGTAGCTGTAGTGGTCGCCAGGCACCAAGGACAAAAGCAATGCCAGAAGCTACACCAGCAAGAAGAGCATGCTGAAGATGGAAAGCAAGAGCAAATGCAACGAGAACAATGCCACCAAATAATGGTCCAAGGCCAAACAGTAATGAAACAAATAAGCCAGAAGCGTCCTCTGAACTGCAATAAAAAGCAATTGTAATAAGTAATGGGGATGGAGGGCAATTACAATTGTGCCACAATCTGTGGATATTCAACCCCAAATTCTGAGTGGTTAGATGTTCTTTAGGTGCAAGTATATTGGTATTAAAATAATAAATCCAGTCCAAAGCTGAGTAGAGCATCTTGAGAATAATCACTATTACAAGGCTTGACACATTCCATAACACAGAAAGCTAATCCTCTGGTCTGAGGCGCAATTCATCTTCGTGGGAAAACTTTATGTTGGAAAGTCACAGTTTTTCTATTTATAGGAAAACCAGGACAGCTGTAAATTAGTGGGAAAATCTTCGACTTTTTAATTAGTTGGAAACTAATCCTCATTTAGCTAGTATTCTGATTTAGTTAGGAAAATCCCATATTTTATGGGATTCAAACTTTATTCTTTTTCTGATTGTACAGATTGTATTTGGCTATATATGGCCAACTCTCCGTGATGTATTTAATTCATTCCCAAGAATAATAATTTCAATTCTCGCTTACATGGTATTAGAGCTTTAGGCTCTCTTCCAGTCTTCCTGGGAATCAATCTTTTTGTAAAAGGGCGAACCAATGATGTCAGATTCTTCTGGAACAACTGGTCAATCCGAGGAGACGACTACCCATCAGGCCACGGGTGAGTTGCAGAACATTCAAGCCGCATATCGATTAAATGGTAAGAACTATCTAAAATGGTCCCGATTTGTTCGAACTTTTCTCAAAGGAAAAGGGAAACTTAGCCATCTCCTTGTAACTGGACCTGACACCAAAGACCCCAAATTTGCCCGCTTGGACGAGACAGACTCCATGGTTATGTCTTGGCTTTGGAGTGCAATGGTGCCAGAAATAAATGACACTTGCATGTTTCTGACCACAGCCAAAGATATATGGGAGGCAATCCGACAGACGTACTCCAAGGTGAATGATTCGGCGCAAATCTACGAGATCAAGACTAAACTCACAGCCACTAAACAAGGTAATCTCTCGGTCACTGAATATGCCAACTTGTTAAAGAATTTTTGGCAAGAGATGGATTACTATAGATGTATCAAAATGAAAGATGGTGAGGATGCTGCTATTCTTAAGAATTTTATTGAGAAGGATAGAACATATGACTTTCTGGCGGGACTCAATATCGAATCTGATCAAGTAAGAGTGCAGATTTTTGGAAAAGAGGAATTAACGTCTCTGAACGAGACTATTGCAATCGTTCGTGCTGAGGAAAGTTGAAGAGGAGTAATGGTTATTACTCAAACCATTGGAAGGCTCGGCTTTAACTACAACAGACCCGAAGGAACCACCTCCAGAAAAACCATTCGCTGCCAACACCGAAAGCAGACGTCCAGATCCAAGAAATGGGAATAGGACAAATCTTGTATGCAACTATTGCAGGAAGCCAGGACACACTAAGAAGCAGTGTTGGAAGCTTCACGGGAGACCACAAGGCTCTGGCCGAAATGGTGGAGGATCAACGAACTGGCAACGAAAAGGGCAGGCCAATCTGACACAAGCTAATGATGATGGTTCCAGTAATCGAGAAAATTCCAGTGGCAATGAATTCAACAAAGACGATATAGAACGGCTTAGATCCTTGCTGAACTCTCTGGAAAAACCATTGGGTATGTGTTCATTTGCACATTCAAGTATGTTTTCTTCTTCTCATGCCCTTAGTGCCTCAGATCACAATCATTTTGGCTCCTGGATCATTGATTAGGGAGCAACCGACCACATGACACATATGTCCCACATGTTTTCCACATACAGCCCATGTTCTAGTAATAGAAAAATCATAGTGGCTGATGGTTCTTATGCTACTGTAGCAGGTTAAGGAAATATTCACCTAAGTTTTTCATTGATTTTAAAAAATGTCTTACATGTTCCAAAACTTACCACAAACCTTATCTTTGTTCAACATCTCACAGAAGACCTAAACTGCAATCTAATCTTTTTACCTACTACATGTGTTTTTCAGGATCAAGTTTCGGGGAGGACGATTGGGTGTGCTAAGGAAAGCAGTGGCCTCTACTACCTGGATTTGCCGAATAAAACTATGAACAATAAGGTCAATTCATCACAATCTTTGCTATCCGATACCAAGTCATCAATAAAAAACCAAATTTGGCTCTACCATATACAGTATGGGCATCCTTCCTTTAGATTTTTGAGTGTCATGTTTCCCTCCTTGTTTAGGGTTGTTGATATTAGTCAATTTCATTGTGACATCTGTGAGTTTGCTAAACATAAATGTGTTCCATTTCCTGTGAGTAATAAAAGATCTTCATTACCCTTTTATTCGATTCATAGTGATATTGGGGTCCCTCAAGAATCGCAAATATTTCAAGGGCTAGATGGTTTGTCACTTTTATTGACGATTGTACTCGTGTCATGTAGGTTTTTTTTTTATGAAACAAAAATCTGATGTGTGTTCGCTTTTTCCAATCTTTCACGACATGATAAAAAATCAATTTGGGGTTAAAAAAAAAAAAAAAAAAGATCTGACAATGCAAAAGAATATTTTAATCAAGTTTTAGCTCCTTACTTTCAAAAGGAAGGGATTATACATGAATCCTCTTGTATTGATACACCCCAACAAAATGAAGTGGCAGAAAGGAAAAATAGTTATCTCTTATCAACAACCCGAGCACTGCTATTCCAAACAAAAGTTCCAAAATATTTATGGGGGGACACTGTCCTTACATCCACTCACTTGATAAACCGTACTCCATCCCGAATTCTTGACTTTAAAAGTCCCTGGAAAGTGTTATCAATTTTTTTTTCCAGATTTTACCTCTCACAACCAATTGGCTCCTCGGGTATTTGGGTGTGTTGCATTTGTTCATATTCATTCCAAGAGTCGTAGCAAACTTGATCCTCGAGCACTCAAGTATGTCTTCATAGGGTACTCCTCGACGCAAAAAGGATACAAATGTTATCATCCACCGTCACGTAAAACCTTCATTTCTACTGATGTTACCTTTATTGAAAATGAGAATTTCTTTCACCCTTACCTTCCGGGGGGGACTTTTATTAGGGAAGATAAGGATTTTAGTGATCTTGGTTTTCTCATGGACCTTCCTGCTCAAAACAGCCACCCCATAACCTCACCCAATTTGTTACCTACTGAGTCACTTGATCTGCTGCTCGAACAGCCTCAACCTGAAACACCAAAACAACCACATGATCCCGAGACTCCAAGACAACCTGAAAATTTGATGGAACCTGTTGTCACTACACCATTGCGGCAATATTCAAGGAAAAGAGGTCCCGCTGCTAAACTAAAGCAAGCCCAAGTGTCCAAGCCAATTCTCGGGAATGAGGTAAATACAGAGGTTTGTATAACAAATGTCCCAGTTCTTCTTGCTCTTGATTTATCCTCTAAAGTAATTGAAAAAAAATGACCTGCACCTACCCATTGCAGTAAGGAAAGGCACTCGAAATTGCACACAACACCCTTTGTCTCATTTTGTATCATTTGAAAAATTGTCATCTTCACATAGAAGTTTTCTCACCCACCTAAACTCTATAACCATACCACAAACACTGTCTGAGGCTCTAGAGAAGGAAGAATGGAAACAGGCTATGAAAGTGGAAATGGATGCACTTAAGAAGAACAAGACTTGAGAGTTAGTAGAATTACCCAGCGGAAAGATGCCAGTTGGATGCAAGTGGGTGTTCTCAGTGAAGTATAAGGCAGATGGATCGCTGGAACGGTATAAGGCCAGATTAGTTGCGAAAGGTTATACACAGACCTATGGAGTTGATTATCAGGAAACATTCGCACCAGTGGCTAAGATTAATACAGTGAGGATATTGTTGTCTTTAGCAGCCAACCTGGATTGGAGCTTACATCAATTCGACGTAAAAAATGCTTTCTTACATAGTTACATGGGGATCTTGAAGAAGAAATTTATATGGAGAGGCCCCCAGGGTTTGGTGTTGATACTAGAGGGGAGAAAGTATGTAAGCTCAAGAAAGCATTGTATGGATTAAAGCAGTCACCAAGAGCATGGTTTGGGAGATTTGCAAAAGCAATGCGAGGAATGGGCTACAAACAAAGTCAAGGTGATCACACGCTATTCGTAAAGCACTCGGACTCAGGGGGAGTAACCGCCTTGTTGGTATATGTGGATGATATCATCTTCACTGGAAACGACATAAGAGAAAAGGAAGCACTTAAGAGACGCCTTGCAGAGGAATTTGAAATAAAGGATTTGGGAGGCCTAAAATATTTCTTGGGCATAGAGGTTGCTCGGTCAAGGGGAGGACTATTCATCTCACAACAAAAGTACGTGCTAGACCTTCTCAAGGAAACTGGAAAAACAGGGTGCAAACTAGCCGAAACGCCAATAGAAGCCAATCATAAGTTAGGTGAGGGTACAAAGGAAGAATCAGTGGATAAAGGAATGTATCAATGCCTGGTGGGGAGACTGATTTATTTGTCCCATACTAGGCCTGACGTATCATATGCAGTTAGCGTGGTAAGCCAGTTTATGCACAATCCTAAGGAAATACATCTTCAAGCTGTATACCGGATACTACAATACTTAAAAGCTAGTCCAGGCAAGGGAATTTTAATCAAGAAAGGGACGAGCTTGAACTTAGAGGTATATACAGATGCGGATTTTGCTAGATCAGTTGTTGATAGAAGATCGACATCAGGTTATTGCACGTTTCTGGGAGGAAATATAGTGACATGGACGAGTAAAAAACAACCAGTGGTGGCCATGTCGAGTGCAGAAGTGGAGTTTCGAGCAATAGCACTAGGAATTTGTGAACTTTTATGGCTCAAGATAATTCTGGAGGATCTCAGAATCACGTGGGAAGGACCAATGAAGCTATATTGTGACAATAAGTCAGCTATCAACATTGCTCACAATCCAGTACAACACGATCGAACAAAACATGTGGAAGTGGATCGGCACTTTATAAATGAAAAACTTGATAGTGGTCTAATTTGTACTCCATATATCTCAACAGCAGGTCAACTCGCAGATGTTCTAACGAAAGGACTGCCCGGACATGCATTTCAGAAACTCATTAGCAAGCTTGGAATGGAGAACAATTATTCACCAGCTTGAAGGGGAGTGTTGGAAAGTCACAGTTTTTCTATTTATAGGAAAACCGGGACAGCAGTAAATTAGTGGGAAAATCTTTGACTTTGTAATTAGTTGGAAACTAATCCTCATTTAGCTAGTATCCTGATTTAGTTAGGAAAATCCCATATTTTATGGGATTCAAACTTTATTCTTTTTCTGATTGTACAGATTGTATTTGGCTATATATGGCCAACTCTCCGTGATGTATTTTATTCATTCCCAAGAATAATAATTTCAGTTCTCACTTGCACTTTATTCTAATATAATTAAAAAAGCTGAACTCAATAATTGTGTTTCAAGGCCTTAGGCACACACCTTAAAGTCACACTTTTGAGGAATAAAGTACGCCGGATATGGAATTTCTTGGATTACCCCTAGAGGTCCTTGACCTAAAGTTTGAGGCAAGCCTCGTACGCCTTACAAAACGATGGTCTTTTAACTTGTACATATATGACACCCCATCCTCAACACATGTATCACGTATCACAGGAAAGGTAATCATGTAACAAAAGGTAAGTTATGCATGCCAAATGAATGGTGGAAATGTGCCAGTGATAATTTTGTAGAACAATAAGGAATACACACTTGAGAATGTATCACATAACGTCATTAGCCATATGGACACCTTGAGGCAAAAATAAGATGGCAAAAATACACATTAAGAGACGAGTTCTTTGTCGCACTTAGAAGGTCAACAATTTGGCATTAAAAACTTACTTGTAGTTATGGCTGAAATTTTGGAACACAACACTCAGAGCTTCCATAAATGCAACAGAAAGTGTAGCTGCAGATGCAACATGAGATGGAGAGGCTTCCTACAAACCAGAAAAATAATCCAGAAGAAACTAGTAAAAGGTTTGGACAGGATGAAGTTGAAATGATCACAAATAGTATGACAAACTAGAAAAACCATACGGGGTATGCGGATTTTTTTTTTTTTTTTTTTTTTTTTAACTACAAAATCTATGTTTTATTTTTGTTGGTGCAATGGGGAGGGAGAGGAATTTCAGTTCAGGGAAACTTGCATCTCTCAAGAAGTGAAACATTTCGTAGAAGTCTGATAAAATATGAACATAAACAGTCCATATTTCTATAGAATAAATTAAATTGTTGTCAGGATATAAAGAAAGACTGCAACAAACTAGGAAACTAGTACCACAACAAAAAATTAAAAAAACAAAAAAACAAAAAACAAAAAGAGGATATAATAAAAGAAAAATCACCATGACTAACCGCTAAAGGAGCAAAACAGTAGGCATATAGAATGAGCATTGCGACTTATAAGCCAGTCAGTTTATCCATTTCAACTGGAGAACGAAAATGGAATACGTAGCAGTAGAATAAGTTGTGCATGCACATGACTCGAAAGTCAAACTTCCTTGCCATAAACAATGTAGTGCGCAAAAGAACTCTGAACTCAAAGTTCTTTGCATACTGTAAATTATGCATGACAGAAATTGAAGGATAAGGGTTTTGCACTAGTAATGAATCTGATAGGTAAGGTATATCAAATGAAGAAAAAAAATTCATTTTAAAAAGATAAAATGGGACAAAGTTAAATTAGCAATCCTGAAGATATTCCCCTATTGGCTTATTCTATCCTAAGTTCCCCATCTTAAGCTATCCTAAAACAGTACATTTTTTTTTGGTTTTTCTCTCAATGTTCCACATGAATTCCTTCAATATATATATATATATATATATATATATATATATATATATATATATATATTCCATTTTCTTTTCCTTTGTTTCCTTCAGTTTTTCAGACAAAATCTTTCAGTTCTTAATGTACACATCTATTGACACTACAATTCGATGCTTTGTTGTGCAACCAGGATTTCTCTTGGTTTACTTTGTATAATACTAAACTGTGGTTTGTTAGCTCTGAAGGAAAAAAAAAAATCTAGACATTGTCTGGCACATTTTAGAGGTTATAATATGTTTCTCTCTATTTAAAGCATGTGCTACAAGATCATCCATCACTGAAAATTCAAAACATCATATCTCATGCCTCATTCCTTTCTTGAAATGTACATCCCCATGTAAACTGGGGGATACATATGCATTTCCTGAAAGATATGTTACCATTAACAAATATTAACAATAAAAGTTCAAGCTTTGTTAACTAATGTTTACTACATGGGAAAAAAGAAGTGTATAACACAACGGGAGAGCATTAGAGCGGAAGATTGTTAAAGAATGTAAACATATCATACACTGAACAATGGGCAAAAATGAAGGAATAGTATACGACTATACGGCCAACTTTTTCTTTTTTTTAAAAGGAATATACTGCCAACTTTTGATTTAAGAACTAAGTTTTTTTTTTATATTTTTTCACCTTTTGCTAGGTTTAAAGGAAGTTTACTAAAATATTACTAAATTGGTAATATTTTTGTGTGTGTGTGTGTGTTGGGGGGGGGGGGGGGGGGGGGGGGGGGGGGGGGGGGTTGGTTGAAGGGTGGGATCAACCACAAAACTCATTGAGTCATGTTACCTTGAATCCGTCTGGGAGGACCTCTGCAATGACCATCCAGATCATACACCCAGCTGCAAAGCCCGTACAAAATGGCAGGAACTTGTTAAATGCATCTGCACATATGAATGAAGGAACTGCTACAATAGGCTGCAGCAAAAAAAGATGAGGGAGAAATAAGCAGAGGAATCAAATAAGAAGAAGAAGAAGAAAGAAAAGAAAATAAGTGAAAAAATAGCCACTCCATATAAAATTGAAGGGTTTGTTTTCTTCTTAAGTTTTTTCTCATTATGCATCAACAAAATATAGAAGTTTGGACTGCAAAACAATATATGGTTTTGAATAATGTGACATTGAAGTTAAAAACTTTGTACAGATCCAGAAAGCTTTCAGAATGTTAACGAGGTCTGGTTCTAATACATGCTCACCGGAATTTGAGGTATCAAATATCTATTGCCAACTACTGGGTTCTATGACATCAATTTGATCTCTACAATCATTTGTCCATCCTTTGATCAAAAATACCACAACCCTACTCTAACCAAAAAGCATAACATATTACCTGGGGCAATGACGTAATTACACTCCATAACATTGCATTCTGTGGAGAAACCCCCCTTGATGCAAGAACCATACTCACAGCTAAGCCCTCTGGAATGTTGTGCACAGCAATAGCCAAAGTTACCAAAAGGCCCTGAGATAAACCTTTTGAACCAGCAAAAGATACTCCAACACCAGAGCCCTCTCCAAAGGAATGAAGAGTCATGATGCCAACAACAAGAATAACTTTTGTTGCATCTGCTCCTTTAATGTCCAACATACTTACTTCGCCAAATTGCTCCAGAACCTGAAAATAATAAAAAAAGTAAAAGGAGGAATGTAAGACAGTAGTATGCCACCATGCACACTGAACTAAAATCAACAAGATAAACCAAATCACAGTTGGCCTATAAGCTGGATCACTTTGTGCAAAAGACCAGCACCAAAATTTTACCGACAGGAATTGACCGTATGTACAAGATGCCTAAAGAGGTAAAATAGATTGACAAGTTGTAAGAATCTCTTCACTTTCTTAAACCACTTCCAGTTGCTTAAACAGATACCTCTCCAATAACAGTCCCACAATATCTCTACGCACGAGTTAAAATTTTTGACTCTCTCACCTAGAGATGAGTTTGTTTACATGAGGGCATTCCCACTTTATAAGAAACCACATAAACCAGTATAAACAGATATCATTCCAATAGCAGTCCCACAATATTCCCCCATGCACAAGTTCAAGCTTGTGACCCTCTCAGCTAGAGATGAAAACACATACATGATGACATTCCCAGTTGTCACTCTTTATGCACGAGTTTGTTTCTTTGTGCCAACCAGAGGCATAGGTGTAGTTATTTTAAACCACAACTTACCTGCTAATATAGTCTACCTTAGTCCAACATATAAGAAGGTGTACATACCCATATTCTACTATTACTTCTCGATACGTACACCACACAATAATTCCTCATTGTAGCATGGAGGTTGAACATGTAACTTGATGTAATTCAAAAACCTTTGACGCTACTGTATGATTTCATTTGCTTACTACGCTATTTAATTTCTCCCAGATTACAACTGGGATTTCGCTACATGCTGTTCTTGAACATTGAACCACGTAGAGGGCCAACTAGTACATGAAATTCTGAACAATGTAAGAACTCTTTATTCCCGATTCGTTCACAATAATAAAGTTTTCAAAGTAAAGATGTATCATCACCAAAAGCTTTATTTTGAATACTCATTTTTTTTAAGACAGATTCACACATTATTAAGTTTTTAATATTCTGTATATAATTCAATTTACATAAAACATATCTATATTGGACAAAGGGGTGACATGTTATTGGCTTGACACGAATCCGTCTGCTACAATAAAACAGCATTGATATAGAAAAGCAAAACAATACTCATCGATGTTTGATCAGCAACTTTGAGTAACAATCAAGGGCTAGAAAGCACAAGTGCACAACCATGAACTTAATGTGATATAATCTGCATAAAGTAATAATCATGAAGTGCCTGAATATGCTTATGATTCAATGGAAAATTAGCACAAAGCAACCTTCATATGACTTACACATCACAAGGCTCTCTCTCATAGGAAAGTCAAAAATTGGTAACCAATATATTTGACAGTCAATAAGTGGAGAATAAAATGTGTTTGACAAAATTAATAAATAGAAAAAGTTAGGAACTTCCAATGTATTTGACATACAATTAACACACGATATTCATTCTTTATACTAAAGAGGTAAACTATAGAATTGAATATCTAAATCTAAACAGAAACACTCATTTTCTAGCCTGACTATAGAAATGAATATTTAAATCTAAATGGAAACACTCATTTTCTAGCCTTCCTTGCCATGTTAGACCTCTCAAATGCAGGTTTATTACATATATGTCAATAAAACCATTGATATAGAGCAATTCAGGTTTTTGAATAAGACCGTGGCAGACACCAACTAACTATGCTTACACAATTGTTATTTAAAATTGCATCACATATTAGGAACAGTCATATAATAGGAACAATAGTTATAATTCAAAGGAATGTTAATCTGAAACTACTTAAATTAAAGATGCGAAAAGTATACACTGATGACGAGGAAACAAAAGGACAGCGACAACAAAGAAAATTGTAACAATAAGAAAGATGATTAGTGGAAAAATAATGAAGACAATTACATGGCAATACAGGAACAAAGTATTACCAATAGAAGCAAAAACATACATGTCTCCACAATAAAAAAAGCAGCTGCATTATATTAAAGCAAAAAAGGACACATTGAGCATACAAGACCAGAGTCATTACCTTCTTACAAAGCCAAATGAAAATGCCACCTGTCAAAATTCCAATCACAACCCAGTTGCCACTACCATGGTCTTGTCCTTCCTGTATGAGGTCAAAGCTTGCAGCCAACATCACACCAGCAGCCATACCGTTGCATATTCCGGCCCACTGGGGATCAAGCTCCAGAAAGAAGAATGGGACCGCACCTAAACCAGTAGCAGCAGCCATTGCCAGTGTGCACAATGCAACTGTGGATACTGAAACTCTGCTATTCATTCCTTTCCTTTCACCCTGTCCATCCGTAGTACTATCAGAACTAAAGGACTTCTCCGAACCCGTGCCATCTATAACACTATTTCCTGTATTCCTCAATGTTGGAGCTCTTAATCTTTCTGAGCTTTCCTTCTCCAATTCTGCTATAACATATCCATTCAATAGTACAAGAAATAGCAAAAATAGCAGGACCTGTTTGACTTTCGATCCCATTCTCGTTTTTATGTACATCACAAAATAACCATTATTTCAATATATGCAATATCAGGTCGAAATAGCCAAAACCATAGATCGCTCAAAAGCACACCAACTCAATCTCATCCAAACCCACTTCACCCTGATCACCAGGAGCACAAACTTTATCAAACAAAACTATTAAGGAAAACTAATAGTTTTTGAATTTCAAAACTATTCAGATAACCATCATACTAGTAACTTGTTGAATTTCAAATCCACTTGAATTCCAGTTAATAGCAGCTAAACACCAGGAACTACCAGCTACTGTCAAAAACGTGCTTGGATCAACTTCCGCTGCAAGCCAAATATGAATTCCCATAAGCAAACAATCTCACCACAAAAAAGTTTAAACTAATATTGATATCAAATCACGCGCAGATGAAAACATCAATAATTCATTGATGCTAATCAAAACTTATTCAATTTTCAATGGTCAACTCCCCATCAAATAAAAGCCGAATTCTAGAAATGCCATAATTCCATCAACAACGATCAATGTGACCAACAAAACCACACACCCACCCCAAACAAAAATTGATTTCACAAAGACCTAAAAAATTCCATCATTGCGTAGAGAAGAAAAAAAAATCAACAATAAAACCACAACGTATTTGTATACGCATAATTGGAGACATTAAGCATGAATTGAATTGATCTTGATGAGTTAAAGCCAAATTGAAATCAGATAAACCCAACTCACCGATGCTTCGCCAAGCCCTCCTCAACGAAAAAAGAAGCGAAGTTTTTAACGGACAACCACCCTAGATTCGAGAGAATAAACCCTAAAACTGGGATTGGATTATATGACAGAAAGACGTGCAGTAATAGTAAAATAATCGCTCGTTCAACGAAAAGGGTTAAAAGAGAAGGGAAGCATTTAATAATATATTAATGGACACCGTTGTTTTCAGAATAAAGAAAACCGCTTTACCTGAAACAGAGGGCAACGAGTTATTGCACTAATCTGGCCGGAAAACCGGTTTTCAACAGGTATAGACCGGTTTTCCGACAGAGAGAGATTTGAATTGAAGTAAAACAATTGGGTGACTTTGGATTTGAGAAAGACGCCTAACAAAGAAGTATTGAGTCTATTGACTTTGGTTTACAGCTCATAATACGACAGTGTCCTCGTACGAGCGTCCAACGATAACGGAGCTTGCGCGTGACCATCAACAATTGATAGTCGCAGATATAGCATTTTTGTTATTTGTTGGTTCTATTAAAAAAAAAAAATTATCAATTAAAATATAATTAGAAAAATGTCAAAACTTACCTTTAATTTGGCCAAGAGAATTTTTTTTATAAACGCAGTCGAAACGGACCGACCTAATATGTTTTTACCACTCCTCCGAGTAGTAAAAAATTAAACCTGATGTGTTACAAATCAATGAAGCCCACGCAGGACCAATAACAATTAAGGAGGAGGCCCTTGGAAGTGGGATAGGATTCATTTTGTAACACCCATTGCTATGGGCCCCTCTCTTGGGCTTGTTCTCTTTTCATCAATACATAAATTTGGTCAATTGAAGTACCCAACGTGAAAAGGCAATTGCCTTGAATGTTTCCTAAATTTTTCAAAATGTTATGTTTTTTCAAAGAATTGGAAACAACTTTCTACTCAAAACTTTTCTTGCAATCAATGGTAAAAATCCGGGCATTTTTAAAACCCGACAAAGTTTCAATTTCAAGATAATAATTTTATACAATCCAACGTAGCATCGTAAATTATAAATTTGAATTGCTAAACCTTCTGTTTCCAATCACCATTTCAACACCAATTCCAGTACTGAACAGTGGAAAAAGAGGCGCGCCCTTTACTTTCTAATAGTACCAACATTCAGTAGACCACTTGCGGCAGCTTCAACTTATTTTGTTCGGCAAATTCTTGAAACGATGTAAGAAATAAGTCATTTTGTATCTTATCCTTATTTTTACGACCCTTCTTGACAGCTTTTTGCCTAATAGGTTGTGAAATGTCACGTGAACCTTCGTCAATGGCCGGTGAGTCGTCATCGCCAAGGTTTACCAAACCCGGTGTTGATATTACAGGAGTTGACTGAGTCGATGAACTACTTGGCAATAAAGCGAATAATGCTGATCTCATGAGACATATGATGAAACATTTGTGGAATCAATTTGGTGATGAAAATATTTAAATTTGGTATAATCGAATAAAATGTAATTTTTATATTATTATACGAATTAATTAAATCATTACGTGATGAAGATATTTTAATTTATTACTCGAATAAAATGTTATTTTTTATATTATTATGCAAATTAATTAAATTATTATGTAATAAATAAATAAATTAAATTGATAAGTGTACAAACTTTTTTTAAAAAAAAATTTAATTAAATTCTTATGCAAATTAAATGACTCTTTTTATTTATTTAGGAAAAATGATTCTTTTTTAATTAACTAAATTATGACTATTTTTACATTAATTAATTAATACGATACACATACAATAATTATTTTACACAATATCACTCTTCCATTGGACGCTAAACCATTGCTTATCTGTGGAGTGTGAAGTGTGTGATATGACATGGGGCACACTTGTGTGTAATGTGCATTGTAAAGACTTCATTGGACGCTAAACCATTCCTTATTAGGGTATCAAACATGTGCAGAAAACAAGTAACTATTCCATGTAAGAGTCTTGTAGTATAGGCTGTTTTTCAATTTTGCTGAAACTATTACATGTAACTGTCTTACGATAATTGTCATACCTTGTCACCGCCTACTAGGGTTTCAAAATTATGTACGAAGAAATATATATATATATGTGTGTGTGTGTGTGTAGAAACAAACCTCTGAACCCTTGAATGAAACTTCTCCACAGGCTAAAGGTTTCTCTCAAAATGTTGAGGGATCTCCCCCCGCCTGAACTAATATTTCAGAAAAAAGTTCATAAACTAGGAAGAGAATTTGGATTTTAATATACACTAAATGTTTTAGGGTTAACGGGTTTTTACGTTAGAGAAATAAGAGAGGCAAAGAGAGAAGAAGAAGGGTCAAGAAAGAAGAGGCCGGATCAAGAAAAGAAGAAATTGGATTTCAAAGAGACATCGGAAACTATTTGGGTATCAAAAACGTGTAGAAAACAAATAACTATTACACGTAATAGCAGTGTGAATTGTGTAACATGACATGGGACACACTTGCGTGTAATATGCATAGCAAAAACTTTCATTCAACGCAGTATCAACTATTGTACACTATTGCCTTACGCTGGGTTGCTCTAAGTGAATGGTGAGCATGAAATTGTACTTCAAAGCAAGCATTAATTTCCAATGATGGGTCATTCTAACCACATTTCATATATACATGGTTTTATTTTTTAATCAGATAATAACACCACCAAGTATCACACTATCAAATGTAACTTGAATTCTATTGACCTTTTATGGGGAAAAGATATGAAAAAATGTGAATTGAATATCAAAGTATGGGGCAGCCTGAAAATACTCTTTGAGACCTTGACTTGTCCTTGAAGATAATAAAAGGTTTACTTAGGATCTTGATGCTGCGTGACAATCTTTAGCGCTGAACTGTTTAGGTCAATAATACTGTGACGCGTCTTTTCAAAACAAATATCTATATTATACATCTTGTGCGTTTTTCTATCTTAAAAGAATTCAAATTCCGCATAGAGAATACTGTGCAATTATTTTATATGTTGTTTAGCATTACTTTTGTCATTATGGTAGGATAAAAATAAAAGTGGAGCATTTATGAACTTTGCTTATTATGAGTTCTATAGATTTTTGAGGATGTTTCCAACCGATTTGTTAAACTCTAAGAGTATATTATGTGTTTTTTTGATCCAAATATGTATGTATATACTATCTTTCTTCCTTATTAATTGTTCATCTTTGATTTTTTAACTTTTTAAGAGGACATACAATTAATGCATTGTATTATATTAAAATTATCAAATTGTCCTTTTAATTTAAATATATATAGTTATAAAATTTGAAATTTAAAAAAAAAAAAAGGACAATGATGAAAATATAAAAAAAAGATGCTTTAATTTTTTAAGGAAGAAAACTAATTTGAGACATGTAAAAAGAAAAAAATAGACTACTAATAAAGGATGAAGGGAATATATATTTAGTAAGGTTTCTTGATTCAAATATTTTATATATATATATTTAGTAAGGTTTCTTGATTCAAATATTTTATATTTTAAACTGGTAGTTCTCAAAACACACAGAGAGAAGAAGAGACTAGGTGTGAGAATACTGAGTAATTTTTAATTAAAATAATTATTAAGGTTATTTTTGCTATTTAATTATTTAGCCAACATATTAAAACGTCAAAGATTTTATTGGAGGCAAGAATATTAATTCCCTACGATTTTTTTATTTTTTATTTTATGTTTGTTCACGGACTCACACATACAGACATTATTGCATTGTGCATGAAAAAAATGGCGACCAACCCCTCCAATAATTGCTTCTTTATTGAGTTCCGTGTCACTGTCACTTCTATATAATTCTTTTTTTTTTTTTCGGAAAGTACTTCTATATAATTCCAATCCACACTCTTATATACACTCGCTTTGCCACTGCTTTAATAGCCCATGTCTTTCAACGCATTTACGAAATTGCCCCCTGCCTCCACATTATACTACATACATACGTAATAAGATGCATAAAGTAGTCTCTCTCTCCATAATAACGTACACTTGTAATGTCTGGACCAGAAATTTAAAATTTGGAATAATATATATAATCAGAATGGCGTGAGTATTCATAATCATTCCGAGAGTGACATATAATATGATTTAAAAACATTATCTTTGTATTCCTTCGAGAACAGAACAGAACAGTATAATACTATACTATAATACAATACAGACACAATAATACAATACAAAGGAATGAAAAGCAAAAGGAAGGTCTGCTTCAGAAAAAGTAAAAGGTGGGAGTTTGTTTTTATTTGTTTTGTTGTAAATCGATAAAAAGCACAAGGCTATTAACGTAAGACCAAGATTCATATTATATCATTTCATTCTACTATTCCCATTTCTAGTCTCAGATGCTGTTGAAGCGTCAATGTGAAAGTGAGAGACTGAGATCGAATAATATGCTTTCCGATAATTCTCTCTCTTCTTCCAATCGTTCTCCTTCTACTCCCAACTTCTCCAACTCCTTCGCTAACCGGTACTCTTCACTAATCATCTCTTTCTCTCTCTATATCTATATACACAAACATGTAGTATGTACTCATATTGGTTTAGTTTTTGAACTTCAAATGTTGTTTTGTGAGTTTATGTTGAGAGATTTAGTTAGCTTTTTTTTATGCCTTATAATGCTTGTTCTGTATCTTTTAATTGTCTGATCCTTCTTAGTTGCATATGTTATTGTGATTGCTGAACTAAACTGGATATGTTATTTTGTCTTCTAATTCTGAACTAAGTATTCCCCCCACACCCCCTTTTTTTATTTTTTATTTTTTTATTTAGTTTTCTATGATTTTTATATAATTGGGTTTCCATCAGTGTTATTAATCTTCACATTCTGTTTAGAACTTAAGTTTTTGATTATTTATTTTTGATTATTTTAATTTGCTGCATTTATATATATATATATATATATATATATATATATATATCATTTCCTTTTGTAATGATACTTTTACTTAATTATAAGAGGTGCAATCCATTCCAGAAAATTAGTCCACCATTTTGACCGGTTACTTAATTTACCTCAATCTAATTAATATTTAATTAATCAGTGGATTAAAAAACTATGTTGTTATTTTAAACTGTGTGTTTGAGGTTATTTTAGAATCCATCTCCTAATTTATGTACACATCATTCGTTTTGTGAATGAAATCTACGAGTCACCTTCTGAAGGGAGGGTGGATTATGATCTTCAATGCACATTTTGTTTTTTCAGGTTATGGATTCAAGCTTGATTCTGATGATACCATTTGTTGTTGTGGTTTCTTTTCTACCTTGGCAGCTCAAAACTTGTTCAAAATTTGTATTGAGTCCTAATGGCAAAGTCTTAACAAGTTTCGGTTCATATAATTCGTTAAATCTTGGTTTTACTACAACTGTTAGAGTTGTGACACTAAATTTCTTACCATAGTTTTCAAGTGATCTGGTGTGATTTCTGATCCATTTAGGCATTGCAAATGCATCTACAAAATCTATGATTAAATCTTGAATTATATGTGATAGCCTCTTTGTACATTGTGTAGTTCAATATTAATTGTTCAAATCGCAACATGGATGACATGTTCTATTTACGCAGCATCTTTTCGGATATTGCTGGGGACATTACTATTGTTGTTGATGGAGAGCCGTTTCTACTGCACAAGGTAAATTTTTTTGTCTGAATGTTCTACAATTTTGTTTCAGTTTAAAGGTCTCTGCACTATGTTACCCCTTGATGTGATAACATTTGGAAGCATATAGATATGCACACGTCCCATTGGGGCTTGAACCCTCAACCTCCCCTTTTGGAGGGGTGAAGGACATACCACTCATTCAAGGCTTTGGTGGTAATTCATGCTTGCTTTGAAGTCCAATAACATGCTAATTTTAATTTTTGTGAATATCAGAGTAACTATAAAAAATAATAATAATAATAGTGTATAGATTGTGCAAATATGGAATGCAGTGAATGAGAAACAACATCTATTAGTACCCCAAGGGCTGTAATCTAGTGCTATCTTCGCTACCTCTCAAAGTGGAAGGCAAGGGGACAAACGGGTGTGTGTTTCTTGCCAAGGAAAAGAAAACATCTATTATTTGTATGGAGGATCCTAAATTGAAATACTTATGGAACAATAGATTTGCATGTTCCGGAGCTTCAATGTGCCCAATTGCTTGTGTATCAGTGATCCAAAAACGTAATCAGAAATGCACAATTTTGTATTAACAAATTTGTTTCCATAAATATAGTTACATATAATAGTGAACAAATATATATGCAATGGTTTTCTAGTGTCTTTCTTCTGTACATTCTCAGAAAATATATTATTTCTCCATGAGTTTTATTTTAATTTCTACCACTCGACTACTTCAACATTGAGAAAACTGTAATATTTTTTGTTTTTGTTTTACTGAAGTTTCCCCTAGTATCTCGAAGTGGGAAGGTTCGGAGAATGGTGGCAGATGCCAAGGACTCTAATATCTCAAAATTGGAGCTGCTCAACTTTCCAGGTGGACCTCAGACATTTGAAGTTGCAGTGAAATTCTGTTATGGCATGGACTTTGATATCACTACTGCAAATGTTGCACATCTGCGCTGTGCTGCAGCATACTTGGAAATGACTGGTGACTACCGGGAAGAAAACCTCATTGCGCGCACTGAAGCCTTTCTGAAAGAGGTTGTGGTTAGAAGTCTTGACAAATCGCTGGAAGTTCTATCGGCCTGTGAGACGCTACTTCCAATAGCAGAGGTGGTGGGAATACCAAATAGATGTGTAGACGCTATTGCCATTAATGCTTGTAAGGAGCAATTAGTATCTGGTTTGTCTCGTTTGGATTGTAACAGTGGATCTGCAGAACTAAAGGGTGGCTGTATTGACTGGTGGGTTGAAGAGCTGTCGGTCTTAAGGATTGATTTTTATGAAAGAGTTGTCTCTGCAATTGGAAGAACAGGTGTCCGACCAGATAGCATTATTGCATCTTTAATGCATTATGCCCAGGTGTCACTAAAAGGCATTGGAAAACATCAATTTTGGAATCCAGCGAAAACAAATCCCGGCACACTGGACAGTGGCCAGAGGGCTATTGTGGAAACTCTTGTAAGCCTTCTGCCAACAGAGAAGAGCTCGTCTATTCCACTGAGTTTTCTATTTGGAATGCTGAAAATAGCCATTATGTTGGATGCTACCATGGCCTGCAGGCTTGAGCTTGAAAGGAGGATTGCTTTCAGATTCGAAATGGTTTCGCTTGATGATCTGCTTATACCATCTGTCCAGACTGGTGATTCTTTATTTGATGTTGACACTATCCAAAGGATATTGGTGCATTTCCTGCAACGGATTGATGAGGAAGAAAATGAAGACTGTGGGTATGAATCGGAAGGCCTTGGTTCTCCAAGCCATGGCTCTTTGTTGAAAGTTGGACGGCTTATTGATGCATATCTAGCAGAAATCGCTCCTGATCCATATCTGAGTCTCCAAAAATTCATTGCTATGATTGACTTACTGCCTGATTATGCTCGTGTCATTGATGATGGGCTCTACAGAGCAGTTGATATATATCTGAAGGTAATTTCTCAACTTCAGTGATGGAATTTTTTTGTTAAGTTCTACTTGACCATTTAATCCTTTCTCTAAGAAGAATCTATACTCATTTACAGCAACTCCACACATCTTTGTCGTCCACCTGATTTTCATATTTTCCTCGTACTATTTTGGAACCACATATAAATTCAAATAGTATTCCAATTATGTAGAAGTTGAATCCCTTGAGGGAATGTCAACATCTATATGTGGCTAGTGTTGGGGGCGGGGGGTTGGTGTATGCGCCTATTTTTATTTTGGAATATTACATTATCAATTTGCAGAGAAAGCTATAATTCTTCTCTGTTTAGATGATAATCTGATTGCTCTTTGATTATATTTTTGACTTGGGATTTATTATCTTGTTTTTCCTGATTAGGCCCACCCAACTCTAACAGAGCACGAAATTAAGAAGCTCTGCAACTTCATAGACTGTCAAAAGCTCTCTCAAGAAGCCTGCAATCATGCTGCACAGAATGACCGACTTCCAGTCCAGATGACAGTGCGAGTTCTCTATTTTGAGCAGCTCCGGCTGAGGAATGCCCTTTCTGGAAGTTCCGGAGATGGCTTTCTGTCGCAAAAAATCAGCAGTGGCGTCCCTAGTGCAGCTATGTCACCTAGAGATAATTATGCTTCTCTAAGGAGGGAGAATCGAGAACTGAAGCTTGAGATTTCAAGAATGAGAGTAAGACTCAGCGACTTGGAAAAGGAACAGGCATTCATGAAACAAGGGATGATTGAGAAATCAGGCAACGGTAGGACGTTCTTAACTTCAATTTCCAGGGGAATAGGAAGGATTGGAATATTTAGCGGTCCAACAGGTGGGAAACACCATAAATCTGGGAGGAAGTCCAGAGTTAAGGAAGGGAAACCCGGTAGGAGCAGGAGGTTCTCTGTTTCATAGAGTATTGTTTTATCTATGATGTTCGATTTTTACACAAACAAGTAGTATTCTAGTGCAAATGAGTGAATGATTCATGAATTTTTGTAGATGTTAAGATAGGGCAGTTCTGGGGCTCATTTTCAATCATGTAATGCTAATGAAGAAGCAATAGCACCTTCACTATGATACCCAACAGTGTTTGGTCTCAGATCAAACTTACGAGCTTGGCCAGAAGTAAGATTCAATTGTAAAGCCACTAACTGAAATGGATCTAGCAATATAAAGGTCTCCATTTTAGGCATCAGCCGTTGTGAACGGAAGCATTCTTAGGTTTAAGCGTACTTTTAACATGCAAAGGCTTCAGGTATTTTCAGAATTCTTATTTCAATTAACGATTGTTCAAATACAAGTCTCCAGTTTGACTGGGAATCTACTTTTATCTATGGTAAAAGTTGAACCATTCTTCTCAGATGCTATGTCAATACTTAAATCACCTTGCACCAATGGTTTCGACTTAAAATAGGAAAATAGAAGCTTGAAATTTTAGCTGTTCTTGATGTGGATAACGATAATATATACACATTACTATCACTGGATACAGAGAGACAATGAATATTTGTGAATGGAGGAGGACGAAGGCCATTATTCATATATTTAACGAACAAGAGATCCAATTTATTACAAAACATATATAATATTAGGATCTGAACAGGCAAAAAAAAAAAAAAAAAAAAAAAACTGGGTCCAGGATGCCTAAAACATCCCCAAGAAAAAAACTTATGCAGGCCCCCAAGCGCAATGGAAGATTCCACATTGATCATGCACTCATTTTATTATAAAGACGCTTGCGTATCTGCATGGAGGTAAAAGAAAAAGTGAGAATATTAAGGAATAAAACCATAATTAAGTTCAATAATTAAGAAAACAATATAATGCATTTCATTTCTTCTTCGTTTTTTTGGTCCTAGATCTTTTGCAGATTTTCTTTTATTATTATTATGGAACAATATGTAGGCCACAATTCCAGTAGACAGATTAATCTAGATGAAACATAAGTTAATCATCAAGTGAAAGGAACTTTACAATGATGGATAGCCACTGGTCTGAAGCCGGAGCGTCCCTTGCTATAGCCCAACCAACCCGTTATTAATTAGCTATGTTCTCCATCCGAGCTCGATTGGGAAAGAATTAGGTGATAAGCCGTACATGGTTGGAAAGCTCTACAAATCTACTTTCCAACAAATGATGCGCAATTCGGAGTTCTCTAGCGGGAGTTATGGCTGTGTTCCCATAAAGAGTGTCATAAAGAGTGTCAGGGCTTACTGAGAAATCTGCACCCAAGAAATTCGTTACTCCTATCCTGTTTCCATCCAACTGGGCGTCAGCATATCTTTGTATCACTTTCGCAGCTGATTTCTATGTTTCAAGGCATCACTTCAAAACCTTTAAAGTCCTCTTGCCCATTATTTAAACAGACTCCGTAGTTTATATTTGAGTTAAAGAAGTCTCGTGTCTTTTCATTTTCTTAACTTGGTACTTGTTTGTTTTGAAAAATATTTGTATCTTTGGAATTCTACCTATGGCAGGGAGATTGTTCCATGCTAACTCTATTTTAGCACCTGCTAATGTACTGGAAAGTAACCTAGATGAATTTTAACATCATTTGAGCTTTTGGCTTGTTAGTTCTTCTTGTTATCAAAACAGCAGAATCCTTGGGTTGGGGAGTATCCTCGCTCTTATTCGTTGGGTGGATTCCTTTGGGTGGCAAGCTTACCTACCTTTGAGCTTACCTCCTATTTCTCCGTCTTTCTGGCATCATGGTCTTGAGTAAAGTGACCAAGAGTTAAGTTTCATATCTAACCGTCCAGGACTAAAGTTGTACTCCTCCTAGAAATGCAAATGATACCTAGGACTTAAGTTGCAGTTTCTCATAACAAACCATAATGCAACTTCTGGTGAAAACCTTGATCATCAAAGCCCTTTGTCTTCTCCACCAATTCTAGGGTAAAGGGCAGGCGTTTTACACGACACAAGCTGGCTACTATAGTGTATTTTCTCAAATTTTAAGCAGAATTCCCGCAAGCTTGAGGGGCAAAAAGAAAAAGGAAAAAAAAAATCCTCCGATAGAAAATTTAAAATATTGGATATTCTTTCTTTCATATATTTTATTTAGAAAAAAAAAATTCCTACGTTCGGAAATTTAAAATATCGGATATTCTTTCTTTCATATATTTATTTAGTTATAGTGACATGCCTTACAAACTTAGAGTTGCTACAAGATTAAGGAAAGGCCAAAAAGAAGTTAGGTGTGCCTGAGAGGGCGTAATTCGTTTTACATTGATATAAAAAAGAGCAAAGTTAAAGTACTTTAAGAATTGAGAACCAGTCAAGTTATTTTTACATGACGAGAATGCATACCTCGGGTAATTTTTGCCGGAAAACAACATCCAATCGAGCATCCAGAGTGTTCTCACAAACAATCTTCCCATCTTGTGAAGCCAAAACTACCCCTCCCGAGCTTTTCACCATTAACAAAGAAAGAGTAACAAGAAAACCATAAACACTATTAAGCACATGGAATAAAAATTAGGAAATGAAATAGTACAAAAAGGAAGAAGGAGAACAGATAGGAGCACATATGATGTATCATGCATACAAATTGGACCGTACAACATTCAGCAAATAATGTATGGTGCATTTTTTCAAAATAATAATAATAAAAATAATGTATGGTGTTCTCCCGTGCAAATGGCATTCATTTGGTGCATTCATAATATGGCATCCATTCCCATGGAATTTGAAAGCACTAGCCTGTCTCTGATATTAATGGACTTGGTGAAATGGGGCCATCAGCACCAAAAGTAGCAAACTCATCAATCACGAATTATTTTGTAATATCCTAACTGTGATTTTAAACATTTAATAACAAATTTTCATTTCAAATTCTATAACAAATAGAAGACTTGACTTTATATGTCATTAAGAAAACAATGGAAAGATTTCAATCCCAAAAGGATGACTAAATTAACCCTTGGATAATAAAATAAATTCAGTGATTGTAATGGAATTTGACTGCAGAAAGTTTTGCAAGTAGAAGGAGCAACAATTACCAAGAGAGACCGTGAGCCTCAGCGCTGCTTGGAGGTGGTGGGAGATATACAGTGTCAATGGTAACTTTAGGGGCAAGCACTTTCGCTTTCTCAGCATATTCTTTTTTGGCATCCTCCAAAACAGACCCAACGAGCTTAGCATCTATCTCTCTGCAACGCAGCAGCACTAAAGGCTCCTTCAGCCGTAGCAAACACTACGAGTTGCAATTAACAGATTATCAGACACAAACTAAGTGAAACAACAAAAAAGAAAAGAAATTGATTATTTTTTTATTTATTTGGAAGGAGGGGGGGGGGGGGGGGGGGGGGGGGGTAAGCAAGCAAGAAAAATGAATATTCATTATGACCTAACTAATAGGATCATGTCATGAGTGTCAAAAAAGGATTTGTCAGGCTGCCCAATATGGAAGAAAGTATACAAATACATTTCACAGAAGTTGAATGAAGCTGATGTATTGAGGAGAATTTTTTTTTTTTTTTTTTAATAAGCATGCAAGTTGAATTGCAGACATGGAGGAAAACAAACCAATTTAATGCCGGTTAAAGCTAGTTCTGTCTCAGTAATAATAATCCTTTTCTAACAAATTTCTTTCAGTAATTCGTCAGTATTATGTTCATAATACAACTCAATAAATGGACAGTCGACATTTTAACCAGCAGATTATCTCATATAAGTGAAGAATTTGGCTACATTGACCGTCAACAAAGTAGCAAGGGGCTGAAGGAAAAAGAAAAAAGAAAAAAGAAAAAAACTCAAAACTATTTATTTATTTGTCTTTGAAGAAAAAAAAAAAGGCTGCAAAAGTTAACTTTTTTACAATAATGGGTTAGTTGTTAATGTTGAAGGTCAATGATAGATTTCGCTGTGTGCAAAGTTCGCTTAACTCTTTGCGCAGTTTCATAATGAACAAAAGTTGTTCAAACTTGTCCACATTAAATATGGAAACAGAGAGGGCACCTGCACAATCAATCCTTTGAGAAGCTTCTTATAGGCATTTTTTTCATCAGCAACCTTCAGAAGCTCCTCGCTGGCAGAATCCTTCATGGCATTTACCACATCATCTTGTGCCTGAAGAACTTTGATACGGGATGCATTCAGCTGCATAGAGTACTCACTGCATGGAAACACTTTTAGCCACTAAAATTTCAAACTGACAATTTTTTAATAAATAACATAAGCAATAACAAATTACCATGTCACATCTTCAGAGTAGATAAGTTTAATCTCTCATTTACAGATAATCAGGGACGGAGCTACCCTTAGCCCGGGGGACATTTCAACCCCCCCCCCCCCCCCCCCCCCCCCCCCCCCCAACCCAAATTTTGCAAAATTAGTCTAAACACAAATCTCTCTCTAGATATACCCACCCCTCTCTCTCTCTCTCTCTCCCTCCCTCTCCATAAATACCGATTTAAATATATAACATTATTTCTATATATATATTTATACCTCTGTTCTTAGATATCATATATATATTATTAGCACAACATTACATTTTTTTTGGTCATTTAGGGATTTTATCTAACTCTTCGCTATTTTTTTTATTTTGTATGTTGTTTCCTATTTTTGTAGATTATGCTAACATGCTTTATTTGTTTGTTATGTAAATATAAAACTCTCACCAGTGAATTGTTGAGCATTGTGTGTTTTACTAAATACATACATTTGGGATTTTTATTCATAGCTCAATTTAGTAATTAATACTTTGATCAATTGTTTTGGTTTGTGTAGATTTAAATATGCTTATGTTCAATTCAAATGTAAGTTAAAAATCCATTTAATTTGTTAATGTTTGCTAGATTACATTTTATCATGACAAACGAATCTGTTATATATATATATATATGATTATTTTGTTTTGTGGGCAAGACAACATTATCTATTGAAGAATTTATCTTACTTTTGGGGGGCGGACTACTACTTACGGTGCATGGTTACTAAAGAACCTAAAAAGACCGTTAGATCTCATCATTGTGGCCTACTGAGTATCATATTATTCTAATTTCATTTTGGAATGAAATAGGTTATCTTAAAAATTCTTTGCATTGTAATTTAATTCTATATATTTGTCATGTTAGTTGAAAAACAAAATTATTTTATCATGTTGAGTACCACCATGAAATAGATTCCTGCAGGAAAAAATGCATGCTAAGTCTTTGCAGCTGCATTAATCTAAGATATCACTCTAATTCATTAAGAATAAAAATTCCAGTAAAAGACCAAAATACAAATCAGGCGTCCAATTTGTATTTATAACATCAACTATAACATGATTTAGACTCTAAATAGTAGTGAATCCTGTGATTCTATAACATGCATTTAAAATTAGATGACCCTACTATTCTACTGTTGCGAATCCACAATTTTATTTGATTTGCACCTTCCTCGTGTCTTGTGCCTAAAATCCAGAACATCTTGGTGCCTTACTGTACCTAATGCCTTTAGTATGAATTCAGCAATTCAATTATGGAAAATCAACATGGAAACTATGAAGTGGGAACCAATTAACAACATCCTTGGTTTCAGAAGAACTACTCTTCCACAGCACCATTGAACTCGTGCTCTAAGTAATTCACAAACAGGGTTTGAGGGGCATGATATAGCTCTAGAAGGAAAATTGGTCACCGATAAATACAGCACGTGATAAATGGTGGGAGATGTATAAAACTCACATTTTCTTACGAACTTCCACCTGCTTTGTTTTCCGCTCATACTCCTGCCTGATCTTTTTCTTTTCAGCTTCAACTATTTGCAATTTCTCAATGTTGAATTCCTGCAGGCAAGAGCCAAAGAGATGACCAATAAATCTTCGTGAAATTACTGATAATTAATTTAGAATTACCATATTTGTACAAATGTAAACCTAACAACTTTTCCACGACAGGCTTTGACAGATTATTACACATTATGCTAGAAAACTTTAAACATCTATCAAAGGGGAAACAAATTCAGAGCAAGCACCATCTTTAAATCTTCGACTTTCATGGTTATACTATCGAATGGTACTTTAATATAATTTTCCCTATATAGTCTATTAAATAATGATGCTGTTACTAGGTTGGTCATATAATATAGAGCCATCACCACTTACTAATATATATATATATATATATATATATAAAGAGAGAGAGCCATCACTAGAATCACCAAAATAAACATCAGCATAGTAACCAAAGCTAAAAAAATCACCAGAAAATATCCTGAAATCCTGGAAAAACAATTTAATTTAAACAAGTTTCAAGGATAACCAAATGACTCATATAAACGCAAGCAAAATTACTAACTTAAAATCCTAAGTAAAATCATCTATGCGCCATCCAATGCAACCATTAGTATCAATTCTGGAATCAAACATAGCTGACTGAACCCTGAAACGGGTTTGATTTCAGTATCATCACTTGCTTTCTTGAACTTTTATTTTTCCTCTTTGAATTCAGAGCATATAATTAACAATGAACGACTCTAACCAATTAAACACGGGATCATATAAACGAAATTATCCGGAAAAAAAAAAAACACCGTTCAGTTAAACATTATATGAATGAAATTAAACAAGAAAATAACCTCCTCAGCAGAAACAGAGATCTCGTTAGCTTTCTCTTCGGCCTCCTGCCGAATGAATCTGACCATCTGCTGTATCTGCTTCGAGACATCTGTATCGTTCATCTTTCCTCCCCGATTTCTAGGGTTTTTCTTGATGTATGATAAATGTGTATATGTGTGTGTTTGCGCGCGAGATAAACAGAAAATCAAAGGGAAATATATAAAGAGAGATATTAATTAATCACTACCCCGTAGAAGAGAAAAATAGTGAGATTGGGGGGACGAAAGTAGGATTCTATTTCTCGTCACCGAATAAGGAGAAGAGAGATAGACAACGTCTTGTAGGCTGGGCCCACCTATGTTTTGGGCCATTGCTGCGAAGCTTCTGCCGAGCCGAGCTCCAAGTCCGGTTTCAACTTTGAATAAGTCCAAATTCCTACCAATCCTACTAAGATTATGTTTTGTCACCAATAAGGTGTTGCCTCCCCCCGCTGCAGTGATGTAGCAATAAGTCAGATTATTACTCCGTACTGCTGAACGTGGAGAGAGTAGTTGTTGCTGGAACGATGACCGACACTTACCCAAAAAAAAATATAATAATAAAATAAAAATAAAAAAATGTAGTATGCTTTAAGATGATAGTTGCGTTAAGTAAGAATGCGAGAGGTAAGTCTAATGATTTAAATGATAAGTATATTATGGAATCAAAACATGTGCTATAAATATATATTAGAAAAATTCCTACTAATCCTCAGTCACACCTATATATATATTTTAGAAAAATTCCTACTAATCCTGTCACACCTGCTAATTGGTTTTAGTGGGCTTGGGCACATCCCTAAAAAAAACATCAAAAATTTACTAAAAGTATTAGATAGTTTCATTGGCAATTTTTGAATTTGCCCTTGCTCTCTCAACAAACCCATGTATTTCAAACAAAGTGTCCAATTGTCCATACTCATAGATGCAAGTTTCATAATTAAGGAGAGCTTTGCCCCTACGTATCATCTTTTACTGCATAGTTAAGACGCAAGTACATTATTATTGTATGGTTATATGCGTAGTATATTTTTTTGGCTGACTGTATAGTTATATACATATTCTTCTTCATCATGTCTATTTCTCCATCATAATATATATATATATATATATATATATATATATATATATATATATATATATTGGAAATATGGGAGTTAATTACATCAACCAGACATCAAAAAATTTAAATGATCAGTCTCATTATGTTTTACTAGAGAAAAATGTTGTTAACAAAATGCAGGAGAAATGTCTGTTACTTTTTTTTTTTGGATAAGTAAGATTTTATAAAAAAATCCTCAAAAGGAGAGCGAATCCCAAAGAAACAAAAAGTCACAAAAAACCTCAAGCTTTCAAAGGGTCAAAAAAAATAACAATCTCCTTGGAATGTTATTGTTTTTTAATAATTTCTTTCTTTGATTCATTGATCAGAAATAAAGTAATTTATAAAAAAATCCTCAAAAGGAGAGCGAATCCCAAAGAAACAAAAAGTCACAAAAAACCTCAAGCTTTCAAAGGGTCAAAAAAAATAACAATCTCCTTGGAATGTTATTGTTTTTTAATAATTTCTTTCTTTGATTCATTGATCAGAAATAAAGTAATTACAAGCTAGCAGCTAGGCAACACAACATAAATCTTATAATCATGCCACTTAAGGATGAATCTATCTCTTGTGAGCTAGCTTAATTCATTGGCACGTACTATTAATTTCAAGGAACAAAGTACATGGGATTAGGAAGTTTAAAAGTCCGATTGCCGATGCAATCTCCTTGAAGATCACTCCACTGATCTCCCACATTGCCCCATATTCTGTAACCTTCCCCTTCCAGCTGCTTCCGAATTTCGGATTTGTACACCACCGCGCCTAGTCCCTTGTAAGCTGCTGTTCTGAGGGTAGAAATAATATTGCAAACACATAATTGGAAATGAATAGAGAATTAGTCTTATAATTAAGAAACACCAGTCCCAAATATTATATATCTTACCTTAAAATAAGTCGCTCATAACCAACAAACCCTTGATTGTGCAGATTATCAAGAGTGGCTTGGCCTAATGTTTCATCATCTCTGCCCGTAACAAGGAATACCTTGAATCCACTTTCAACCAGCTTGTTGAACAATTCTAGAACTGCAGGAATTGCTGTACACCCTCCTCTCAATGCCCAAGCCTTAAACCCGTTCGGATCATAAGGGTCACACCTACACATTCAAAAGAAATACACCGTTATCGAACCAACTCAAGTTAATATTGTTCGGCCATTGAGTATGATCTTAATTTCCAGAGATTAAGTGTTCAAGATCGAGGTCCTGCTAGAAACAGTATTGTGAGTGCATATGATACAAATACGCATCCGAGCAAGGGATATAATGGGAAGTTTATATGTGTGTATGTAGGCGTGTGTGTGTGTGTGTGTGTAAAACTTGCCTGCACATATATATGCAATAGTGACATGATTTTTGTAGCACGAGATTTAACTACAGTTGAATACAGACTGTTTGAATATATATATATATATATATATATATATATATATATATATATAATTAAGAGTAATAGAATAAGGTTTAATAGTTAGGTATTAGGTGATATATATACACACACACGTACCCATATCTCTTTCCTTTGTAGTAAAAGATATTGGAGATGCAGGTGTCGTCAACATCTAGTATCCAAGCATCCAAACCATCGTGAGAGAGAAGTATAGCATCAATATAAGTAATAATATGGTCGACTATCAAGTTGAGGTCACGGTCATATTGGCCCCCAATCATGTAAGTCTCAATGTGGCGCAAGCACTGAGTTGGGATGGTGCGCCATGCACGTATGTTGTTGGCCTCCACCGCCATCCGCCAGCTCAGACAGTAGCTAGCTCGGTTGGCCACCGCCTCGCCCTCATATCCCCAGTGAGGCGGCTTTGTACTGTACACTGCCTTAGAAAATACGGCCAAGAACAAAAACACCAGTATCTCCCGAATACGTTGCATCATTCCTGAAATCATATATATGCTCTGTAAAACATTCAAACACAAAACATTAGTTCTTGAAACGTATAAAATTAATATTAGAAATTAAAAGCTAATGTTAAAGCATGAAATTTTTTTATGCCTATATATGGGCACAAAAATTTGAGAGATCTTAAGCCAATTTTTTGTGAAAAGAATGTGTCCCCCGAAGGCACAAAGAAACACCCACCCACAAGCACAAAGAAAGATAGCACTAGTTATCTAGATATACATATATACATACATACATATATATATATATATATAGGGAAAGAGAGAGTACTATTCAGTATGAGAGGAGATGGGAAGGGCACTTATGGAGGAGATGATTTGGCATTGATAGGAAAGATAGGCAACGGATGTAAGCAAAAGTAACACGTAAAGTGATCACAATTACTGTATATATATAAAGAGAAGAGGGAGCTTTTGTGGCAGGTGATGGCAAGGGATAACGTAAGACAGAGGGAGTTTGATCTATGTTAGCTAGGACTTGGGAGTCGTTTCCGGGTGGATTCTTTCAATTGAAAATGCTATTTTATAAGTGAAAAAGAAGGTCCACTCTTTAAGGGAATAATATTGGACACGTGTAAACAAATGTGCATGCGTGACAAAGAAGGTCCACACATGCAGTCATTTATGCTAATTAGATGTCAAATAGTTATTGCTTGGACCATCGTAATAATTTTTTATTTTGTTTTATTTTTTTTTTATGTTACTTTCATTGAAAACATTAGATGGCTGAGCTTTAGGTTTCTATAAGGAGTAATGAATCTAATTAATGATACCATTTTAATTTATTCCACAATATATATATATATATATATATATATATATATATATATATATATATATATCATACAATAGGGTTCCATTAACTTTTTATTTATTTATAAGGTAGGCTTCCTTCATCAATGGACTTGATTCTAGTCTAGCCATTCAATATTACTATTATAAACAAATTAAGAGAGAAAAATAAATTGATAGAAATTAACACGATTACTCGTCACACCAAACTAATATCCTTGAAATTTAGTAAGGCATTATTTATGAAGTTTACTTGGTTATTTTTAGAAAAAATTAAAGCACCAGTGCCCTCTAAATATATTTGCATTGTACAAAGCTAGGCTATCCTCCTATATAAATATATATATATATAGGAGGTTTGTTTTTAATGAATTTTCGAAAAAAAAAAAAAAAAAAAAAAAAAGAGTTTGTTTTTAATTGTTACCAGAAATTTGAAAGTGCGGTTGGCATCAGAGAGCAAAAATATAGTCGTGGATGGGTGAATGGGCAAGAGGAGGAGAAGATGACCGGCGGAGGAAGTAGTACTACTTGCAAAAGTGGGAATGGAGTCAGAGGGCATCAACTTAAAACAAAAAAGGTGGACTAGACCAACTGCGCGCCTTTAGATTCTTACCAATTACATGTGTTGGGGTACTACTCTTACGGGAAGGATAATATTACTTCAGATGATGGGGTGCATAATATATATATATATATATTGTCAGGATTTAAGTGAGTGGGTAAGTTAAAAAAAAAAAAAAAAATTAACAATAATTTTGACATGTCAATCAGCTGATCACCAGCGATAGGCCGTTAGCACTTAGCACCAACCATCAAATCAATAAGATTATAATCAAATCCATCACCAATATTCTGTTACACGCTCACTCACTGTGTGTAGTGCAAAAATGGAATGATATTGGTGCCACACACGAAAGTAAAAAGTTGATTCCTCATTTCGATCAAGAATGAGATTCGCAAGCAAGACTCAGTCTTCTGTAGATGGGAATGGAATACATGCATGACTCTTAGCAAACATTGGATTAGCATAGGGCACTGCCCACATTATGGTCCATAACATAATTAAATAAGTAGGATGTAGGTCACCATTTTTCAAAATGGAAAAACAACGCAATTGTCTTGTGTAATTGGACTAGATCATAATGCTTTTTACGTTGTACATGCACTCAAATTGTTTTTTTTTTTTTTTTTTTTTTTTTTTTATTTTTTTTTAATGTAATGTTTTCCCAAGAAACAGCATTTATAAAGATTTAACATCCTAATAAGCACAACTCATGACATGATAGGAATTCTGACTTTTGGCACTAACAAGCAAGATCAAACCACTTGGATGATCGAGCTCACCTAAATCTAAATGAGGATGTCAATTGTCAAAGGAATAATAATTAGAAAAGTACATGTGGAGCACACGCAAAAGTTTATCAACCTCACAAGTCAACCAATTAATTAATTGGTTGATCCATATACCGGTAGGATATGTTTTATGATTTTTATTTTATTTTATTACCTTAAATGATACTGTCTGAAGTCATTTAGCCGTCCCACGAATGACATGTATATATTTTATATCATCCATTACCATCCAACCACCTCCCTCCACTCCCACTACATGTGAGCATGGTGGATTAGAGTTGTTTTGTCCAATGAAACATCCACCGACCCACTTTTTAGGGTTGATGGTGTTCCAAAGTCTTGCTAGAGAGACTGAAACTACTATAAGTTGATTGGATAAATATGTTCAAATTTAATTCGTTGGTCAAGTGATGTCTGCTTCACGTTTCAAATAAGTTGATTAACTCATTTGGACTACCCACTCAAAAATGATCAAGTCCTCCTTCTCCCTAATTTACCCCAAAAAATATATATATATAGTTTGTTTTGGAATATGACATGTATCCAAAACAATTCTTTTAAACAAGATCCACATTTGAACTAATTATAGCAGTTAGCAACAATGAGATTTAAAAAGAAAATAAATAAAATGCAAGACCTAATAATTTGGATCTAAGTTACGTTATGTAAAGAATGATAAATCATTATTGAGTACGATCAGGACAAATTCTGGAAGTTGTGTGTGGGATTTTTTTTTTGTAATTTTAGAAGGGTAAAGTGAAAATTTTATAGATATATAATTAAAAATAAGAAAAATTAGTGGTATATAGTAGTTAAAAAAAATCAATGGGGACAAACTATGAAGTGGCTCCGTACCTGAGATTGTTTCTGACTGATCGACATTGTTACAATGTATCTGAGTTTGTAAGGAATGGGCTGCAAGCCTGCAACCCAATCCATCAATGAAACTTTCATGGGCTGAGGCACTTGTTAAATCATGATCAACTGCTTCAGTGTAATGGGCTTTACAGGACCCATTTGTTAACAATCCAATTTATATTTTGTAAATTACAATAATGCCTAACACACATGTATTGTCCGTTTGAATGTCATAAACTGCCATATTAGTCGCCTTTAATGAGATCTGCATGTCATTCACACCATATATAGAATATCATCATATACTGTCTCGTCAATTTCTTTGCTTTCAGTTTCGCTCATTCCTTTGACCACTCACATTTTAATTGAAGAACTCTATTCTCTCTCTCTCACACACGCATAAGCATGGAAGGCAAAATTACACACACACTGGTTTTTAATCTACAATAGTAAATTGTAAATACAAACCAGAAAAAGGTGAAAAGAGGTCGAAAATATAACTTTAAGAATAAGCAATGACACACATATTATGTGTCAAATAATGATTGGTCCGAAATTATTATGTAATAATTTTTTGTTAAAAAAGTAATGTGATGAGTCTCACCACACGCATGACATGATCACATCACATGATCCGACTTTAAAAAGAAGTATCATTACTTTAATTTATTTATTTATTTATTAATCAAAATTGAATCCCAATTTAATACATTCCTATGTTAGCTGAAATGATGCACTTATCTTTTATTTACTCCAAATCAATCGGTTTTTGGAAGAGAGTTTTTTGTGGTCCTGTAAAAAATACGCTGTTTTGAGTGTTTTGATTCTCATATCTCCTCTCCTGATCAGCTAAAAGGATACTATGTGATGATAAGGATGACACTTACACCTTATTTTGTTGTTATTTCTTTTTCTTGGGGCACACAAAGCACTGCATCTCATACTTCCCACATGGCATTGCCTCACCCTTTTTAAAAAGCTTAGCTTTGCTTCAAAGGAATTCCTGGTGGTTCACATTAATTTTCCATTTGGGTACCTTCCCCATCCAATATTTTACCCACAATACTATTTTTCTCTTTTACACATTTAGCCACAATATATATTTTTTTTCACATTTTTAACATTATCTACTTCATGATTTAGTCTTTAGTCTTTGTAAATCATTGAAAATAACACCCCATAGGATAAAATAAATATATATATATATATAAGTATATATATAAGATAATTATATTTATATACAATAGTGTTCAATTGCTCCTTAATGAGCAGGAGCAATATACTCACTTTTAATCATAGTCTTAGAATCTAATCCTATGACTAATTGAAATAATAGTTATTTTAGGTAATTGTCCTTTTTTTTTTAATTAGCCATTAATTATGAAATGACTATATTGGATATTTTTTTAAAAAATCAACAATAATTTTTTTAATCTGATTAAACTTTAACTATACCTCTTTCCACCACTGTCAGTCCATCACCACCACCCACCTCCTCCCCCACTGCCACGACCACCTCCCCCAACCATACTGCCACCCACCACCACCTCCATCATCACCATACTGCCACCCACCACCACCACATACACCAATAATTATAAGGACGTTAATTAATTTGTAGATTTGGTAATTGTTAGTCAAAAGTGTTGTGGTGTAGGTGGTGGTGGTGTGGTGGGAGAAGTGGTGGCGGAGTAAAGGTGATAGTAGCGGTGGGGTGATGGTAGTTCATTGTTGATTTTTTTTTTTTTTTTTCTTCTTTAAGAATGTATTTAATATAGTCATTTCATAATTAATGGTTGAATAGAATAATATTAATTTTCTAAAATAATTATTCTCTCCCGTAGCCGTTGGATTAGATCCCAAGGTTATGAGTAAAAATTAGTATATTACTCTCTATTCACCGGAACAATTGAACACTATTGTGAGAGAGAGAGAGAGAGAGAGAGAGAGAGAGCAACCAGTCCAGAGCTCTCTTCATCCGCTTGCCTTTCATTCAAGGCCACACACAAACACTGACACACATATATATGTAATCTTTTAGAAAGGAAACCAGAGGGAGGTGGGTAGTCCTACAGTCAAGATATGATAAAAGACCCCAACCATATATATAGAATGAGATGATAATTGCTCATGCTTTTCTCTAACTGTCAACTTTATAGAGGCTTACTGGCTTAAGCTAAAGAATAATCTTCCTAAATTTAATTAACAAATGCCCATTGTATTCAACATATAAAATTTTAAAATTGACGATCTGGTTCGGTGTCGCACATAATTAGAACTTCTACTATATCACGAGTTCACTGGGAGTTTTAACTATATGAGATTCGATTAGTATACAGTACAAATAATCACCATAATATTTCTGTTTGATTTTAATTGAAGGAATTGAATGAAACAGATGTGTATCATTGTATTTGAAGTATAAACACCCAAATGTGTATGTGTGTGTATATATATTAATTAATTGGGAGAGGAAAAAAATAATGGGATGGAAACGTCAAAGTCAAGAATATCAGTCCAGACATGATACATCATTTTAATATGCATGGTTCATAGCTAGTGTCGCATTCTTTGTTGAATGTTTGTTTCTTGAGGAATCAAAAGCAACACATGGTTATGCTGCTGAGTTCAGTATACCGACCCATACACATCGCACGCATCCTTTTCTCCTATGGTCCATCCACCATCTTAAAGTTGATCATAGTCAAGGACTACATTTATTGGATTGATTTTTGGTGCTACACATATTCAATATTCAATCTCACAATTAATTCATCAACCATATTTCATAATATGTAATTGAATTCAGCATAACTTGATAAGGTTTTTTTAATTATTCTTTCATTCACCCCGATCTCTCCTTTTGAAAGGAGAACTTCGTATCTGTTTTTGTAATTGTCCATTTAATAATTATTATTTTTATACGGCTCTTTCTCATTACAGTTATTGAATTGCAGAGTTTCTCAATTTATTTTATTTTATTGTAATTAAATGATACTTCAATTGTTTCATAAATGTAGGCGTTTTTAATTTTATCCTTTGTTTTTTTTCACACATCCATGACTTATAAATTACACACCACAGATGAAGTGTCGTACATTTAACACATTATACACCATAAGGAGTTATAATAACTATTGAAATATATATTTATTCCTTAAATTATTATAATATATATTTCAATAATAACAACTCCCAATTAAGCCCCATGTTTGTTGAACTATCAGTTGCATTGAAAATTATAAAATATACCATTTTTAATATATTTGAATCTACAATTTTCCTTTAACATTTATTATAAGAACTCTCCCTGTGTGGATCTCATATGCGCAAGATTTAGGTACACAAAATTCCAACCATCTGTAAATGGCAGCAGTGGCTAAATGTGCTACAGTTTGAAGGAGTGGTTAACATTGAAGAAGGAAATGAACAAAAAATTCAAATAAATAAATAAATAAAGAAGGAAATGTGCATAGGATTTGGATACGTGGGTAGCAATATTCTTATTATTATACCAGTGATAAAGATTGGAAGACTAACAGGTGGTTGCCGTGTCACTCAAATACACCATAAAACAAGATGTTAAATAAATTAGAAAACCAAGGCTTTTGTTCCACCTTTCTTCCCCTCCCTACCTTATTACCAATTGTATTTATACTTCTTGATGTCACCGGGCATTTCTTTCTTTAAAACCCTTCATACAAATAAATTTTCTTTTTTAAATTCATTCCGCCCCGAATCTTTAAAACCCATCATATAAATAAATTTTTTTTTTTTTTTAACTCGTCCTATCCTGAATCGCATCGAATTTAGAGTGAAACCGAGACGAAGCAATTAAATCCATTAATTGAGATGATTCAGGACTTTGCGGGTTAAATGTTTTTTTTCAAACCTACTCCTAATCCTATTAGGGTAATTTCAAATCCGTCCTAATAGGGATAGAATGGTCCCGCGGAATTGAATAAATTAACAGTCCTATTTATACCAAGTCAAGCAAAGCCCCAACTTCTATTCGTGGGCCATCAATCATCATGCATGGTCATTTTCCAACTGCAATGAAGTGCACAAATCACATGCAAACTTGGTAGCCTTATCGAGCAAAATGTATTTAAGGATATTGTACATTACCACTAGCAAAAAATCTATAAACACAGTGGACCGGTTGCCATGAGGCCCCTGTGATAAGTGGCATGAGGCTTTGACACTGATCTACATGACAGATCCTGATCATGATTACCAATTTTTGAAAACGTACCTTTTTTAAATTGAGTTTTTGAAAAATAGTTTTAAAAAATGAAATTAATTTTCAGAAACCGTTAACTAAATTCATAAACCAAAAAATTGTTTTATAAAAACTTAATCGAAAAAGCCCTACCTTCTTATCCTCTCTTGAAATTCCAGAATAATATTTATGTTGTAAAAATCTATATTATTATCAATTGAAATTTTTTCCAAAACTTATGAATATTTTTAAAATGATTCCAACTTTGTAATTGTGAAGCTTAGGACCTCAAAAAATTAAGAGGACAACTGGTCAATTATTTGGGGGACAACTTAATTTATTATTATTATTATTACTACTGCTAGTGCTACTTCGGAGTATTACTTATCCTGTACAAAGCTTTCTTGATCCTAGCGGTTTAATAAAAGCATGAATCAAGTGAGATTAGAATTCAGGATCCAAGACGGAATTAATGACACGAGCCCACTTTAGGGGAGGCTATGAGCCATATGAATATGATTACCAAAAAAATCTGTGCCATTTATGGCAAAGTAGAAAGAAAACCACTTATTTGGTGTAAATTATGGAAGAGGACCTCATTTTCTACTGCTAATAGTAGTACTAATAGGTTGTCTCAACTTCAACACTCGAGTACACATGAATACTCTCTCTCTCCACTCAAGCAAAGATGGAATAGTTGAATACTCTCTCTCTCTCATAACTTCATGACGTAAAAATCACCTAAAAGCTTCGTCTCTCTCATTGCATCTCTCTCTGTGACATTCACATGGTGGCGCATTTTGGTTTGGAGATGGTTATGGTGTTGCATTCTTAGAAATGAATCGTAGTAGTTTCAAGGGATCTGTGATCGGCGGGAGGAATATTACGGCCGGATCTCATCACCGCCGAGGTCTCAGTCTCAACGGAGTCCCCAAGGATGCGGACGAGAACTTGGATCTCTTCTCTAGGAATCGCCGGAGTCTCTCTGTTGTTTCGCCCGATGAATCAGACAGTACGATTCTTTGATCGTTTCACCGTATTTGATTTTCCTTTTTTTATTATTACTGTTACTAATCTCATTCGAAAATGTAATCTATATTATAACTATAGACTACAATTTAGTCACTTAGAGATGCTACTTGATATGTTTTGAGATTTGTAATTTTGTATATACTGGCATTGTCTCTCGCCGCAGAACATTCAAGACGGAGTCGTTTATAACTGGATGCCATTTGATCAGCAAACTATTGCCTGGACTATTTACTTGTTCAGAATCTAATTTATACTTGTTGATTCCATCTGATCATTTTTGAATTCGGAGTGTTACTGTTTGTTTTTTCTATTCTTCTTTATAATCAAAATAGTTTTATTTTATTTATTGTTTTTCACTACATGATTGCAGTTTCAGCAAAATTGGGCAAACTTTCTGTTGGATCAGCAAAATTGGCAAGGAGTGGGATAGATGATCTGTTGTCATCAACCGATGGGGGAAAACATGACTACGATTGGTAAATCTTCGACATTTCCTTGATTATTTAATTCCGGTGTAAAGTCATTCAACTTCAGATCTAGCTTCTTCCTGCTGATCACATATGTTACATAGTGTAGTTTCAAATCTTACTTAGCTGTGTCATGTTGACTTAAATGAATGCCAATCAAGAATGCCTTCTTATTCTGATTGTTTCAATTATATCGTTCCTCGCACAGTTTTAAATATCAGCTGATAGTGTCAATTAACATCTTCATGTAATGATTTGTTAGGTTATTTTACCTTCCTTTTTTTTTTCTGATAAGTAAATATGTAGGTTATTTTACCTTTATGTATCAATAAATTGGTAGGAATCTAAGTCATAACTTGTGGACCATTATGGTTGTCATTGCAGAATGTGAATTGACAAACAGGCTAAAAACCTGATAAACAGTAATAGTTGTGAATTTGTGTCCCATACTTCCTAAACGTATCCTAATTTGAAAATTATCTTTATATGCATCCGATACTTATCAGAGACTCTAAGACTTGTCAACATATATTGAACAATGAGATGTGACATGGGTAATAAAGATTGTACCCTGGAGTCTGCTCTTTAATAGCCTCTAACTTAGGAATTAGGATTAGGCATACGTAAGTTGACTAATATTGTGATTTGAAACCATGATTTATTGATGATTAGGTGAAACTCCACAAAGACAATAGTTTGCTTAAATTAATTATGCCAATGCCAGTATAATAGCTAACTTAATAAAAGGGATTTCAGAGTAAACTCTTCTTATGCGCGTGCATCGGTTTGTCATTTTGTCTGGTTAGCCATATTTACTCTTGAATGCTTATTTTCAAGATTTAACCTTGTTCATAGTTTGTTTGCCTAGTTGAAAGCATGGCTTTCGTGGATATAATCCACTGGATATATAGTAGTTTTTAAAAGCTCTTCTGATTCTTTAATTAATATGACTTTTGTCAATTTTATCTGGAATCTGAAGCTAATTGAACAGCTTGTGATACTATATACGATACAAAGAGAAGCCAAGCGTTTTCACTCTTTCCAGCACATCTGACTCAGCAAACCTGTAATTGCATTGAGAATGTTACCTTTACCCAATCCAATCTCCAAATTTAATTGTTAATAACAGTACTTTCTCTGAATGGTATGATTTATCTAAAAGATGCACAAAATATATATATATATATATATATATATATATATATATATATATATATATATGACCTCATTATAATTCTGGCACTTTGTATCAGTTGTGGGCTGGATACCATATTAGCAGAGCTAATGTTGAAGTTTCAACGAGAACTCTGTTTTCATGAGCTACGATTATGAGTTTGTCAAATCCTAGCAAGTGCTATTTAATAAGAAAGTAATTCTTTTTTCTGCTAAACATGATCATTGAAGACAATAAATAGCTCAATTTCTACCTTTACCCCATCTATCTCTTTTCTCCTTTTTGTTGTATATACTGATTTTATTTCTCTTTATAACTTGTGTTAAAAAAATAAAAATTTGTGAAACTGCTGTTAGATTCATAAATTGGGCGTGGCCAAAATGAATTTTTGAGATAAACTGTGCCAAGAAAAGAAATAATAAAATTAGAAGTGAATACATTCATGAGACGGTTGAAGTTACCACTAATTAAAGAGAGAATCAATTTAAAATGATCTGTCCATGTAGAGTGAAGTTCAACAATTGCAACTGTCAGAAAGAGTGATGTAATCACATTGAGAGTAATGCTGGGAGAAGGGAAGACCAGGACAACATGGTTGAGATATTAAAAAAATATGACATTTCATAGTTTAACTGAGGTTATTGCCCTAGAGGGAAATAACAAAAGAACATTCTTGTATCCGACCCCAAATAGTTGAATAGAGAAAGTTCGATGCAGTTAAAAGACACCTGTTATCAAGTAGAAATAGGCAACTGTATAGGATTTATTTTGAAGTAATAATCTTAGGATGCAACTTGATGGAGCATGGGATGAAGTTGTTGAGCAGCCTGGATGAACTGGAGCATAGGATGGTTGTTTACGATGTATACAGCATGGACAGTTCTGTTTTATCCTAATGCTTTTGCTGTTTCACAAAGCATTGCTTTTATTTTCATCTTGAAACACATTCCCATACCTATCTCCAGAAATTGTTCAAACAAAGTGAAACTCATTATAATGTGAATATTCACCAAATAGTGTTGAGCTTGAGATAGTTAAGTATTAAATTTGTTTCTGATTGATGATGTTGGAATCGAAGTCTAACTTTATGATTATTTATCATATTTTGTTTTCAAGTGTTTTGTTCGACTTTGGGTAACCTAGGTTTTAAATGTGGAAGTTGATCAGCCAGAGAAGAAAAAGAGTGATAGGGAGAATTTTTTTTTAGATATTTGAAGTGTAATCTAAAACTTAAGATTTTAGGTAATTTGGAAACTTAAAATTTCTATACAGGATTTATGGCACCTTGATGTTTACGTTGGTGAATATTGAACTAAAATTAGTATCTAGAGATTCTTATGCACTTCTGATTTATAGTTATTGTCCTTCTCTGTTACTAGGCTTCTCACTCCACCAGGAACTCCTCTTTTTCCTTCATCGGATGGAAGTGAGTCGCAACCAGCCTCGGCAGCTCCAAGAGGAAGTTCCTTGGTTAGATCAGTCTCTACAACTAAGTCTTCAAGGGTATGTTTTTATATTTTGTTTTGTTGAGTTTTGGTCCAAAATTAGATCTGTGCCAGTGTGTTTGCTTCATGGACCTACCTCCAGACAAATAGGAGAATTTATTCTTCTTGCTGCTAGAGGGCTCAGGAAACTGAAAATATGTATGAAATCGTGCTTGCTGATTCTGAAACCAATATATTGAAGTAAATTCATCCAATCCATATCAGTGTTTGGTCATTCATGAAGTTTGGCCTGGTTACATTGATCACACGAGACTCATTGACTATGTTCTTATCATATCGTCTGTTCAACTTTCCGTGACTCATTGTGAGAGTGGATTCTAGATAATGTCTGCTAAAAAACTACGACTGATTGGTTCCTCTTAGGGGATATTTTTGAAGGAACCATTTATACTGAATCATTCGAAATATCCTGTTTTTGATATGGCAGTTCCCTTGGAAAGTGTCAACCCACTCTGATGGTCCATGCTAGCCTGAATAAAGAATTTAACTCGACAAAGCCTAACCCCAGAATTAATCTTAATCATTTCATAGTTTAATTTTTGGGCAATCTAGAACAAATGCTAAGGCCAAGGCTTAGAAGAAAATTTTGAAAGTGAATACAATCATGGTCCTTTATGGTAACCTTTATGTCAAACTGGGTGTACTAACGCAATGAATTAGCACTGGTCATTGGTCTGGTTGACCAAGACCCAGCCTGATTCAGCTAAATCTTACAATGTTTTTTTGGCCGTATTGGATGAGTTTCACTACAGTTGAACCAACCCGGCTTAACCATTCTGACATGGGTTGGTGCGCCACTATGGTTTACCTGGTCAAACCAAGTTGTGACTTATCCAGTGATACCCCTTTATAGTATTATTAGTATATTGTAAAGCAGACATAATGCCACTTACGTTTCTCCTCATACTATTAAGATCCATATTTAATATATCTTTTTTATTATCTAATGAGCATATTCAACAATGATTTATTACTGGTGAAATGCTATTTAATATAGTATTTTTCCAGGTAGTAAAATTAGTTTGGAAGCTTGAAATTATGAATTACTAGTTTTTTCAATTTCAGTTTTCAGTGTCACAATCGGAGAGCAACCATCCCTCAAGACCAACTAGAAGCAGTTCAGTGACTCGCCCTTCCATCTCTACAACACCACATAGTACCTACTCGAACAAATCCACCTCAATACTCAACACAAGCTCAGCGTCAGTCTCATCTTATATTAGACCATCCTCCCCTGCTGCCCGTTCTTCATCTGCAGCAAGACCTTCGACTCCATCTGCTCGTCCAGCACTATCGCGAACCTCAACTCCTTCTAAAGCCCGTCCAGCCCCCGCCAACTCTTCCATTGACAAAACCAGATCATTCCAAAACTCAAGACCTTCAACTCCAAGTTCTAGGCCTCAAATTCCTGCCAACTTGAATACCACGGCCACTCGCTCAGCCTCTCGGCCATCAACACCCACTCGTAGGAGTTCAGCACCATCTCTGTCTCCGGCAGCAGGAACTTCATCCTCATTTGAGCGAAATTTGTCAAATGGGCGAAATGTGTTGCCCACATCTCGGCCAAGCTCCCCAGGTCCACGACTTCGTGCCCCACCACAGCCAATTGTTCTACCTGATTTCTCCCTTGAGACACCACCTAACCTGAGAACAACTTTGCCAGATAGGCCAATTTCTGCTGGTAGGTCCAGGCCAGGTGTGGCTGTTACAGGTAAAGGGAGAATAGACCCCCCAACCCCTGCAAATTTGCCAAAAAGACAATCATCACCTATTGTCACTAGGGGAAGACTTACGGAACCCACTGGAAGGGGCCGTTTGCATGCCAATGGGCAGGTTGTTGATCCATTGGAGTCCCGTAAGGCCCCCCATAACTCAGAGTCATCAATGCGGAAACCCGTAAAGAATTCAACAACCTCCACAGAGAGCACAGGATTTGGGAGGACTATCTCAAAGAAATCGCTTGATATGGCTATTAGACATATGGTATGCTTACTCTGTCCATCCTGTCATTATATCTAATTTTTTGGGCCCATTTTCCGAGATGTCTACATTTTCAGTTTATAAACTTACCACTTTTTTTCTGTTGACTTAATTCCATAAATTATAATTTGTCCTGGTTTCATTGTCTGCTCATCTTATGACTGTCAAGGTTGGTTAGAAAGTTGTTCTATCATATATCACTTGATCACACCATCATCACCACTGTCATAGTGCCCCTCATCTTTATCAGATATGCAACATGACATAATGAAGTTATCCCCATTAACAGCAACGTGATCATTTTTCGTCAATTGTTTGGCATCAGTAGTATTACCAGCTCTATCACATTCATCGTATCATTATCATGATGATCACCATATATTTTTTTATAATCATGACTGTTGATTACTGCCATTAGATTCATTACATTGGCATCTTAATTTGCCACAATCTGCTTCTCACCATAATCATTATCTTTTTGATAACATTATGATCATAGTCAGTTTGTCATATCACCGTGTTGCTTTACCATATCAATTACTGCAAATCTATCAGTGTGATGTCTAAGGGAAGAAAATTTTCCTGTGAGCTCCATTATACCAAATGTGACATTTGTTCTGAGTAGATAAATCATTAAATCGTCATGTCATCAGGTCGGTTCTTTTGTGGCATTCAAAATGATTTGGAGTGATAATGGCAGTGTAATATTTGGTAGTTTCCTGAATGTCGATGCAAAGTATGCATAGCATTTTTCTTTTCCCTGTTCTTCAAGACATAAGTTTTATGATATCAGTTCAATCATAAAAATATCTGTTTCATCTCATAGGACATAAGAAATGGTACCAGTAGCAGCCGTCCACTTTCAGGCACAACCCTCTTCCCTCAGAGCATTCGATCCACCAATCACAAAAGCCAACCTGGTCGTGCTTTAAGTGCTCCACCATCTGTCAATGGGAACCCTCCTGTCAGCAATAATGGTGTCATCTCAGATTACGGAAATTACGTTAATAGGTCTCCTGAAAATGGAACCAAAGAAGACTATCAAATTTCAGCAAAACTTACAGAAGCAGACATATATGAAAGCTCCCGTTATGATGCAATTCTGCTGAAAGAGGACTTGAAGAACACAAATTGGTTGCATAGTGTTGATGATAAGACTGATCAAGAATCCATATTTGACAACGGATTTGAGCCTCTACCTGAACCTTTTGGAATTGGGCCCTCGTAACATCTGTGAAGTGGTGGTGGTTCATGTTATTTCTTTATTTCAATATTTATATTTTTTGAATTACTTGGCTGATTTTTAAAGAACAGAATCTGTCAATTTTGCAAAATCATAAAATTGTGTCATTTTTTCTCGTTTGCTTTTGCTTCGGGTACCTGAACAATGAGAGGAAGATGACAAATCTGTGTTTTCTGCACAGAAAATGATTTATTCTTTGGTAATTCTAATGCAACTAAGAATTCAAGCATTTTATCACTGCACCGAAAATTTGCCCCTTGTTGGGAAGTAAACTATATAATAATTCCGAACATATAGCTGACTAGTGAAATTAGGCTGAATGTGTGTGTTAGAGAGCAAATTTTCATGGTCAACCCAAAAGAGTGGAAAGCAGAAATAATTTGTTTTTAAAATAAATAAATTAACTATTGAATTATATGATTAATAATAATTGATTGGAAGAGATCCTAGGAAATTCATTTTAAACACAATCTTTTAGCTCCTCTACCTTGCGTACCATCCAAATCTGACCAATTGAAAAAATTCAACCATCTGATCGAAATTGTATATAGTAATATGATAATATCTGTCAGGCAGCCCAATCAAGCCACCATTAACTACCAAAAAGACGGCCCAGTTTGATAAGCCTGTGTTACATTGTAAGAGTAAGACCATGTTAAAAGTACCTGAAAATTTTGGTAAAAAGCTCAGCGGACTTTATATCCTCCGAGAGTAACTCACATATTTCTATTACAAAACAATGTGTATTGCTGAATTTGACTTATCTTTAATCTCGATGAGAATTCCACTTTAAATCCAATTACAATAAGTTAGACCCAGTTCAATGGTGGCGAAAAACCGCCCTTAGTTAACAGAGTTCTTATTGACCAAATCAGCCCCGCTAACGTATCTAGCAACAAAAGATATTAACCGGAAGGGAGCACCAATAAGCGGAGCATCTGTCATTGGCACATCAGCCTTTTCTTCACTCTGAATGACCTGCAAATCCAGATCCCGAACTTCATTCTCATCGAGTGGAATTTGCACAATTTCTTCACTGTCTATGGTCTCCGGAGTGTTTTGGATTAAAGCAGTATCCTCGGTATAAACATATTCACCAGCTTTTCCCTCATCTTTAAAAGAAACATCTTCCAGGGACTCTGTCTTCTTGTTTGATACAAATGCCCTCTCACTAGATTCAAAAATGGGATCAGAGGCATGGGCAGAATCCCTGGCAATCATGTGATCAACACCGTTCCTCCCATCTTTGAGTACAATATCTTCTTGGGACTCCATCCCCTTGACTAATGCAGATTTCTGCTCACTAGTTTCAGAAACAGGATGAGCAACGCGTGCAGTTTCAGCAGTTCCAACCATCAGATCAGATCCAACGATTGAAGAAGATGGGGCAGTTACTTTCCGTCGATCAAGCTCAGCATATAACTCATTGACCTGAAACACAAACGTGAGAATGCGTGTTCAAGCCTGAAGGCCACAGAATAATTCCAAAAGTTCAGACTTGTACCCAGCCCACCCTATACGACACCCTCAATTAACAAGAAATAAAATTAGATATTAGGTAATGATCAATGATTTTATAATTCATTTAGTTGAGATAGAAGAAACAATAACCCTTGGAAAACTTAAATCTCTTCGAAGTCTATTTTTCGTATCTTACCAGTCTGATAATTCCTCCCAAATTTAACTCATTACAACTGTGTATTGCACAAGACTCTAATGAACGACACTGATTCATACCAATCAAACAGAGCACCATTTCATGATTTTAGAAAACAGTTGCATCAGTGGATCAATTTAAAAGCTTGTCTAAATTGACGGCATTGCAAACTAAAAAGGGATGGTTCATTACCTTCTCAACAAGCTCTGCATTTTCAGTGACCAATTTTTCAACTAGTGCACCTGCAGCTTCAATCTGAGAGTTCAAGTCCTCATTTCCAGAAGCATGCTACAAAGGAATAAAAGGAGGAAAATGTCGGAAAACTTCATCACATGATAAGAGACATCTAAATGCAAAAGAATTTGGAACTAAAGAAAACACAAATTAGAAATCCAGAAATTGATAAATATTTACCTTAAGCAGAGTGTTTCTATTATAAAAAAACTATACTACGATTTTCAAAGATATACTTCATGTCACAGCATACATTAACTCAATAATGACGGAATATCATCAGTATTTACGCTCCATCCAACAACATAGTACATTTTATTCAAGTTTCTTCTTTTTGTTTTCCTGTATGTAGATCATGGGGTTTCAATTCTGGTATCCAATCCATAGTAGCTCTACCACAATAAAACTCACCTACCCATTTTCCTGATTTTGATTACCCAAAAAGAAAAAATGGAGCTTGTAGAACACGTCACTGAACTGAGATTGTATGAAAGAAAGAGCAAGTGCTTACATTCTTAACATTTTCCAATTTTCTCCAGAAGGTTAACAAGAAATCGAGGAGTATGTTACACGGATTCTTCAAGATTAGGTGAAGTATCCATGTTCGAAACATGGGTATAGGATGTGTCTGATACTTTAGTTTGGGTATGGACCTAACAAACTCATCCAGTATATTATTGCTTTTTTTGAAGTGAAATGCCTATATTGAACACCGTTACATAAACATTATTTTGCTCTAAAAAATAAAATAAAAATATCACATAACATAAATATTTAGCAATGTCCATGTGTCCTGTTTTGATATTTGACACACCCAACACATAAATACATACCCGCCCCCAACACACGTACCCAAGTCCATTCAACATAGATCGAGGAGAATGTAAGGCAAAACAAGGTTCATAAATATATATATATCAACATGTTCAACAGAGCAACACACACAAATATACCCATAAATGTAGACATATATTGTAATAAATCCCCAAAGTAGTGCCCTTATATGATGAGGCAAATCATGCACCACAAAAAGCTTAAGCCTATCTGCAAAAAATCATAGGAGGCATGCATCTTGTTTAACAAACAAATAGCACTTCAAATGTAATTTTTTAAATAAATAATAAAATAACATGCATATAGTGACCATGATTAACCAATTCTGACCACAGTGAAGAAAGCAGATGTAAGACGACAACAACTCATCGTTAAATCCTCTTCGTATAGAACGTGCAGTGGAATTTTCTTCCCCTTCTTATGAATGCATGCAATGAAATGGTTGCTTTCTCCATCTTATTTTTTACATATGCATAGAATCAACTAGATAATAAATTGATGCAGGAGCCAATTCTTCCTTCTCCTTTTGAGGGGAGAGAGAGAGAGAGAGACTAGGTTGAGGAATTCATCTTCTTTCAATTCTTTTTTTTTCTGTGAAAAATATTGAGTATTTAGAATGACAAAATAAAATAATATCACACCTATTGTCAGGCTAACACCTAACCTTTCATTTTCACCTTGTACAGCACTTGAAAACTTTCTGTAAGCTTTCTATTACGAATTTTTCAGACAAGAACTTTCATGAATGATGATCACAGATCAAATTAAGATCTGAAATTATGTCCGAGAGTCCTCTGAATTGCTTACCAATTTAAGGTAATAGACTATGGACCTATTATATTGAGAAGCCACGTTTTTCAATAGTCCATGCTAAACATCTCCAGAATATGAAGTCAGGAAAAAATTTAATGATCGCAAAGTAATTTTTTTATTATAAGGGTGGCAATTGGGCGGGTCATAAATGGGTGGGCTGGGTCACAAACCCGTTTGTGACCCGCTTGTAGTGGGTCATAGTCGGTCGGGCATTAAACGGGTTTGTCAATTCACATCCAACACGACGACCCTTTTTTTTTTTTTTTTGCCTGTGAACCGATTTTATAACTTGAACCATCGAAAAAATAATAATGATAAATTAAAAATAACAATTCTCCAAATCGATAGAATGAAAAAATTCAAAATTTTTATTTAATATATTTTTTCTCACATTTAGACTCTGTTTTGCCAATATTTTCATCTTCAGCTCTTCCCTCTATCTATCTCCCCCTCAAACGTCACCTCAGCTAACACAATTCAACAAACACTTCACATACACATTGACAATAACACATATCACGCCACAAAATTTCATTACTTAACAACCTGATCGCCGTTTTGTTCTGTAATTATGGCAACACCCAAAAACCGGCAACGACTTTTCCTGGTCAAATGCACAAAAAGAACCAGAAATTTCACAAAAGTCTTCCCAGCCGTGACTACACAATGACACACTCAAACCCAAACTACACTAACAACCACCTCAGAAGCTCAACGTATGCTTATACATACCCAAACTTGCGAGCCATTTTTGAACTCATCTTTTCAATGGCTGACACAGATTTGACCCCAATCACATGTTAGGATTTTGTGTGTAGCATGAATCAGTATAGAGAGAGAAAGAGCAAAGAAGAAAGAGAAAACAAGGAATAGAGAGAGAGAGAGAACAAGGAAGAAAGAGAAAGCAAGCAAGAGAGACGAATCAGTCTAGAGAGAGAAAGAGCAAAGAAGAGAGAGAAAGCAAGGAAGAGAGAGAGTGTGTAACTTTATTTGGGTAACGGTTATGGTTGTGTTGAATTGTGTTTGGAAGACCCTTGAGAAAAATAAAATTATGTTTGGGCAGGTTGAAGTGGGTACCCAATCTCAACCCACTAATTAAATCAAATTTTTTTTTAGTCAACTGACCCGTTTATGACCCTCTGAGTTAAGTCACTCACCCAATGATCATTAATTAGCAGGTGGGTTTGGGTAATAATTGCCACCCCTAAATTATATACCATGCAAATCCAAATGAGGTATGCCTCATACTCATGTATATTCCTTTGATCTAACTTAATTCTCTAACATGTCTTACCAAAAAAAAAAATTCCAAGTCATGTTATCACCAATATCAGCTACAGGGGAAATGCATGCTTATCCTAACCCTTAAAAGATTACAATGATAATGCCAAGGTTGTGGTATAGCTCCATAAATGGATCCTGGAGTATTTTAACGGCAAAGTTTTTAATGATAGAAGGTGAGATAAAGAACGGGAACCACAGAGTACATGTCAAAACACCATAAGCCAATACGATGGTGGATCCACAGGATACCTCAAACCATCAGCCATACACAAGAATAACATAATGTAATAATGACACAAATACAAAATTTAACAGCCAAAAGGAAGATCCAAAAACAAACCGTTGGGGTCACAGATGACGAACGAGCAGAAACTGCACTCCTCTCATGGTCCTGGATCTGTGACTGCAGGACAGATATATTTTCCATCAGCTGCTGGTTTTCTTGTAAAATATTGTTCCTGGATTCTTCCAACTCCATCACCTGCCAAGCTTTGATTTTAATGTCCATATCAGAATAAATACAGACACTAGCTGTTAATGGGCCATGAACAAGTGAGAAGATGTGCATGAATTACTGACATCCATTCGAGTTCAACAACTATAATAGATATTTATAAATCAAAATAAAATAGTCATCCGAATATCAGGAGGAAAAAATAATCAAAAGCAAAAGACAAAACAAATAAACCAAAAGGATCCCGTGAATACCCATGATCATGACTTAACTAACCTTATTAAGTGTCTTCTGTATTCATAAAATGCCTGGCTAATGTAAAATGAAGGTCTTAAAATTGGATGCAGCATCATCTGCCCTCAGCACAAAAAGCTCCCAATCAAAACACAGTAATTGGTGATTTTAGACCTTCCTGTGCACCGAAAGCACCAACATGCTCTTGTGCCCAGAATAGTACAATGGTTTAGCTTTGTCTGATTGTAATAGGCTCTGAAGTATGCCTTGGACAACCCTTCTGGGCTTAAGGTAGGGAAGCATTTACATAATTATGATACATGGACTCCCATGTTCTTTCCAAGGTATCCTTGCCAATAAGACACTTTGCGGGTATAGGTATGGGAACTGTGTCTATACACAAACCAAATAACAGGCCAATTAGCCACATAAGATGGTAGAAGAAAAAGAAAAAACTCATATTTAGTAGAATGAAGTGTGACTCACTTCTCACATGGAGAGAGAAATGAAAATCCCTTTTTTTTTAGCCACATCCAGATCATTTAAATTCTAATAATTACATTGATAAATAACAAAAGCATCATATAGTACAACATTAGAAAAACATATAATATATTTAAATGTGCATATCATGTCTACATAATTATATTCAACTTTTTGATACATTTGAGTTCAAATCCCCGTACCCTAAGATTTGAGATTCAAGGGTATCCAAAACCTGGAAAAATACTCGCACTTGATACGTGTATTCAAGTCTTTGTAACATAGTATATAAAAGTTTCATAAAATGTAATGCATTTATTTTACTGAAGCTATGTACCTGTGCTCGTAACCGTGTGTTGCCATCGTTCAGGCTTGCAATTGTTTCTTTGTTTGAGTTCTGTTAAAAAAGAGGGATCAAAAATCAGAAACAAATATGCCTACACCTTTATAGTTTATTTATCCATAAATAATTTAGAACGCAAAGAATGTAATGTTAATTACTTGAGAAAATGATGGATGCATATGACAGAAGTCACACAACAAGAACAAATATATCTTAAATTTTGACGACCATTAAAAGAAAAGGCAAAAACATAATCTTAATCCCTGTTCTCGCGATCAGAATAAAATGTTTAAACGAAGGGGAGGTGAGAGGAAGCAGGACTCCATTACAGAGTTAGCCACTCGGCTGAAGCATTATGCCAGATAAATGTAGACATTTTGAGACATCCAAGAAGCACACAGTTTGATATATCTTTGGAAATGTAACCCCGGTATAACCTAATAATTTACATGTCGTATATGATGATACGAGGAGTCATGACTGAATAGTCTGCCTGGAAACAATGTCTTATACGAACTTCTTTTTCTTTTTTGATAAAAAAATAAATTTTATTTAGGGTGAAAAAAGGACAAGACCCAACTAATTTCATCTAGAACCTTCTTACTCAAGCCCCTGATATTTTGGTTGTCAAAACCTCCAAGCCTACTGGGCTGGTGGTTCACCTACAATTTTTAAGCACATTAAATAGTCAACTACTCTTCAAAGTCATATCATTAGGAACCACTGTTTGGAATAGTGGTAAGAGATAAGGCTGCCAAGCATGAGAATCCAAGTACAATTTTGAAGCAATCACAGTCAGTATGATATTGTCAAAAGATTAGATTTGTATCCCATCCATCCCTCTCCCATCATCCCGCATTGGTATGATCAACAGTGGGAAATGACCTTTTAGGAATAGCCTATGCAAACAAAAAAGCTGGTACCTCCTGTTGGACCCACGATTCTCTCTCTCTCTCCAACTGTTTGATCTTTTCCTCCAGGCTAACCTGTACAACATTGCAAAAGTTAATTAAATCTTGTAAGCCACATTTTCTGACAAAAGAACTTGCAAAAATATATGGAATGCGGATAAACGCCAAAAGTAAAGAACATACAATAACTTCCAAACAAGGGAAATACTAATTAAGTTGTAAAATTATCAATTACCCCTTTCAAACTCAAAGTGGCTGTTTCATCTATCAACTGATCGATTTTCTCCTTAAAACCAGCCTGCATGCAACAAAACATTAGATTACCATCATCCTAAAGAAAAGTCTCCAAAAATCACAATTTAACAGCTATCAGAATATGTATAGTTTTTATATCAAAATGAAAGTTTATTAAAAGATAACTGCAAACATAATTATGAAAAACAGTGGTGGAAAATCTGTTGTTAAGTGTATATTGCTCCTGGGTTCCAGAATCTACAAAATATATATCTCCATCATAAAATTAAAATCATATTTTAACAAGCAATCAGAATATGTATAGTTTTTATATCAAAATGAAAATTTATTAAAATATAAATGCAAACATAATTATGAAAAAAAAAAATTGGTGGACAATCTACTGTTAAGCGTATATTGCTCCATGGGTTCCAGAATCTACAAAATCTATTCCTCCATCATAAAATTCAAATCACCTCTTTTTGAAGCCAGGAACCTTTCTCACCCTGTATTTGCAAAATTTTCATTTCCAAGCCAGCCTGCAAGTTATGCAGTAAAATGGATTGTTAGACAGACCAACATGCAAACACAAGTATATAAAATTACACATGCATGTAAAAAGTAAATTAAGTGCAACAATTAAGGTCTTTATTGCATTACATCCCAATTTAAAATAATTATTTACTACCTCTTTTTCTATGTGTATATCCTTTTCTTTTTGTAATTGTTTGATTGTCTCTTCTAAGCTGGCCTGCAAAAACCCAGTAAGGTACCAATCACCTCAGAATATGTCAAGAACAAAGAATGGAATGTAAAACTTTGATTGGAAAACAAAAAATTATCACACCGAATCAAAAATCACCTCTTTTTGAAGCCAGGAACCTTTCTCACTCTGTAATTGCAAAATTTTAATCTCCAAGCCAGCCTGCAAGTGATGCAGTAAAATGGATTTGTTAGACAGACCAACATGTAAACACGAGCAGATAAGATTAACACTGCCTGTAAAAAGTAAATTAAGTGCATGCATTACAAATTTATTCCCAAATTAAAAAAATAAATAAAAAAAATTATTTACCTCTTTTTCTGTGTGTAAATCCTTTTGTTTTTTAAATTGTTTGATTGTCTCTTCTAAGCTGGCCTGCAAAAACCCAGTAAGGCACCAATCACCTCAGAATGTGTCAAGAACAAAGAATGAAATATAAAACTATGATTGGAAAACAAAAAATGATCACACAGAATCGATTATCATCCTCACCTCTTTCTCCAACCAGTATGATTTCTCAGCTTCAGCTAAAATTGACTATGCAACAAAATCAAGAAATGCCAAAAATTAAAATAAGGGAATACAGAAAACCCATAAAAGGAGAGAGAAACCACAAAGAAATTATGTACTCTGGGAGAAATCAAAATGAATGGCAACAAAACATCTCGCTGCTGCTTATTATTTCAATAGAAAAAGCTCACTTTCAGCACTTAAAGAAAGAACAAGTAGAAATGCAACAAGACTCATAAAAACCAATTAAAGGTTTCAAGAAAGTCTCTTCTCTCAAACAAAATCAACAAAATCTGTTCTCAATACATCTCAAATGAATTCCAAGCAGAATTGTGTTTTATAGTTCCATGTAACCAGGCAAACTATATGTCAACTAAATACTTTTTACCCAAAATGAAATTTTATAAAAATAAAAAATAAATAAATTAGAGAACAATTTCATCACTAAAACACAATGAGGCTCTTAAGAGAACTACATGGTACATTTGGGTGATGATCACACATTTTTTAGAGACTTCTCTGGGAATCATTATTATGGTAGCTCCTAATTTTTTTTTTTTTTTTTTTTTTTTTTTTCTTTTTGGTTTTTTCAGAAACTTGGTACAGAACCTTGAATCCTCAAACTTCAGGAAGGCATGGCTCAACTATATATGCCATTGAGGCAATGGCCTAAGGCCCCCACTTGAGAAAACCCCATTATAGTTGTGGCTTCCATGGTAAGTTTTCTCAGTTGTTAACATTAATAGAAAAATTATCCAATTCAACCGAATTTAAATATCTGTTTTGGAAGAACAATGTTACGATAATATTACTACAAATTGTAGTCATAACCTGAGAAAAAAAGTAAGTTGTAACATTACTAATCTGAAGTACAAGAAGAAAATAAAGTGGCAATCAAAAAATAATCTCATGCACAGTTGCAAAAATCGAAGTCATCATTGGGATCCAAAAATAAGGCGGTCTTTCTCAAGAGCCTTATTCTTCATGCTACCTTTTATTGAAATATCAAGTAATCTTAGTCATACTTGTCATTCTTAATGTTAGATCTATGAGAAGTATGCAATGAATTTTCTGTTTACCTTCCAATTGTTAATCTTTAGTTCAATTCAATTAGTTTGTTCTTCAAGAAAGTAAATTTTGCAAGCATGCTATTATGTTCCCATTACACAGAGTGCAGGGAACTTTCATTTTCAGTCCTCTGCATCAGATCATAGTTTGAGAGAACCATTCTAAGTATATGCATGAAATGTTGACAATAGTTTGTATGTATAGTATCAAAAGTGTGTATGTATAATATCAAAAGTCAAATCTCATACAAGTTCATACAACCACCGGTCACTAAATCATAAAACACTTTACTCACCCATTAAACACTTTACTCACTATTAGAAATGGCCACTTTAAGTACTACCTTACTAACCAAACAAGTAACAACTTGTTCTTCCAAAAACACAAATTCATCTCTAACATCAGTAGCCAGGGGTGGAACATAGGTAAGATCTTTTCTTGTATTCTTCTTGTTTTCTTTAACTGGGCTAGCCTGATTCTCTTCATTGTCTTTCAAAGTCATCACAAGATGTTTGGTTTCAGATTGTCAATGCGATTTTTGTTCCATATTTCTGGTATGAAATTTTCTTTTCTTTTCTTTTTTGACAATACATATTATATATATATATATATTGTTAATGTGATTCCAACAATTAATCAAATATATCTTTTGGTTAAATGAAACTCCATTTGCAGAATGTATTGTACTATATGTGTTTAAGTAGGAAAAATAATTAGAAAAGAAAGAAACATTTAATCTACAAATAATATATATATATATATATATAGTAACCAGCTATATGTTTTTTTCTAGTATCAATAGTCACTGAAAGTCCACTAATGATTTCTCCTAGATTCAGATATTATATACAATCTAAAGACATTGCATGCCATTCACTAAATTACAGAGAATGGGATTTGGACTTTTGATACTCAGGATCCAACACAATGTTAAGTCCTCACAAATTTTGCTCAACTGAGAGCTATGTGGTTATATTTGCACTTGATCATCCTACTGGCTTCAGATTTTCATCGAGATTGACAAAGGCAAATTCAACTGTCAAACTAACAGCAATGTCATATACTGCCCAGTTTTTCAATAAAATTATGACAAGTACACTTTCGTTCAAGTAGTGCTTTTCTTGATTATATTGAAAAATTCAGACTGTAATTCTTAGTTGTGATTTATGAATTTTTTAATCTTCATATCGTATCATTAGTTTTGGCCCCCCAAACAAAACTTGCTGGGTCCGGCCCCTACTCTCCAAGTACAAACAAAAGGCTGTACTCGGTGAAACTAGGGTTTTCCTTCATTCGGGGCAGGCAACAAGAAGTAATTTATAAAGCATATTTTAAACTTCACAAAATTTATCAACCTCATCGTAATACATTACAAAACAGTTACTTCCTTCAAAATTGACCAAATAACCAAAATTTCTCAATATTGTAAATAAATGAGAAAAAATAAGTATAATTTTAGAAGTTAATAGAGGTGGTTGAACCAAACCCTAATTATTGTGTACATGGTGTCTCAACCTAATGGTATAGGCTGCTATGGAACAGACTTTAAAGATTCAAATATCGTCTTTAGAGAAATAAGAAGTCTGTTTGATTCAACACAACAAATGAAACATAAATACAAAAACTAAAGAAACAAAGTTTATTCCGATCTATATTAGTAATGAAACATAAATACAAAAACTAAACAACTGAATTCATGAAAGGTATAACATTCTCCCAACTAAATTAAACTAGATTTAAGATAAGAATTTAGAATTTAGAATTTAGAATTTTTATTTTAGTATTAGTCAAATAAATAAATTCACTGTGAAAATAAAAGTTCCAGTGCATAACAATTACTCTTCTCCTTTTCTTTTTGCAATTGTTCTTTATTTAACTTGCAACAAAAGTCATACGAGGTTGCCTCGCTTCCAACAAACAATTTGCCATCTTTGAAATGATGTTTATACTAATTTTATTAGTTGTGAAACTCTTTCATCAGCCTTTGATCTGACCTTTGATTCTTTAAAGTGAGGGGAATAATTATTCAAAAAGATCCCAAATTTTTAAAATTTGAAACAAACTACCATTGGTTAATATCTTATTGGTGTCACTTGACCCCATTCATGACCATGTAGCTCCACCTATGGGTTTTTTTTTTCCTTCTGGTGGGATACCCCAGCCCTCAGCCATGGTTACCTTCTGAATGTAACACTATATTAACCAAGAAAAAAAAACACGACTAATCATCAGATTTCCACCCATGAGAGAAAACAGTTGTACAGAGTACAATCTGCATTCCATGGAGTTGACCAATATTCAGCTATAGCAGGCAGTTTTGAAATCAAAATTAGAGAAAATCGTGACAATATCTGGGGTCTTTGCTTTCAATCCTCAATTAGCATCAGCAATAAAACTACAAAAACAGATTCAATCAACAACCATTTGATTCTGAGTGCACATAAGTTCACATTCACATCTCTTTTTACAGTGAGTGCAAAACATTACAGCATAATCCTGCATTCAATGCATTTGTTGGATTTCAAAAGGACAACAAATTCACTAGTCTCTGATTGTGGATCCTACTGGGATTCAATGCTTAGTAAAACACATAAAAAAATTTATTTACCAGGGACAAAATGAGAAGTTGATGGTTGGATTATTTGAATTTATACATCACAAAGAAACCATTCACATTTAGATACTGCAACTAAACGCAAGCATTATATATTACAATTAACAATATAATCAATGTCAGCATAATAAACCTCCACATAAATAACTCTTTTCGATAAAGTTGTACTTACACCCCCTGTGCCATTGGCCTGATGTCCATCCTGATCCACATCTGCTTTTTGCTCTAGATTGCTTTCTTTTTTAACGTCTGCAGTCTCAGAAACCTGATTGTGATGATTCTGCAGAATGACGTGATTCTGCTCCACAGAGGCCGATTGTCCAACAGAATTAGTCGCATCATCTGTTATTTTAGTCTGCTTGTTCTTCTTTTTCTTGTTCCTCTTCTTCTTTTTTTCCTCCTCCATCTATTGACAACTTTAGCTCAAATCGCAAGACTTGAAAGCCACTTGATTGAATACGCCACAATCTGTCAAATCCACCACAGGTTTCACTTTGAATGAAATTAATGTCCTAATTTCTCTACCGGCAACAACATAAAACACTAGGCACCAATAACCAAAGTTGTAATCTAAATCAATTGCATGTCACTCAATCGGGAAAACAATTGGGTCTTCAATATATAAGAAAACTGATTCAGCATAAGATCTTATCTAACTCAACATCACATTATTTAATCACACAATGTTTAAAGAGTTAGTTCAGCATCAAATCAGGGAGTATTTTAATTGATAAATAGCCAATTAATCTGACCGATTCGAACACATTCATATTCTGAAATCAAAATTAAAATCTGGGTAATGATAGAAATCTAAACTTGAAATGTATAATAACACCTAAACCATATATATGTGCGTGTATCTGTGTGCGCGCATATATAAGCGAAATCGTCCGCATACAGTTCAGAATCTTCGATTTGAATGTTAAACATAAAAAAGGGTAATACGATTTAGAGACATACCACGCGGATCCGACGTGTTTGTGAGAAAACGGGTATGACTTTGCGAGGCGTTGGAGAACAGAACTGATGCTTGAAATTGAAGCTTTTCAGGAGGTGTAAAAACTATGGAAATAGATGGAGAAAGGGGGAGAGAGTGTAACGGCATTCATTACGTTCGGTAATATTATTATTAAAATTAGGGCAAAGTGCAATAACCGGACTATTCGTGTTTTTTAGCAATAAACTCTACTCTACTATTTTTTTTTAATCAAAAAGACTCCTCCAATATTCAATCCTCCCATTCAAGGGATAGTGGATAGAAAATGTTTTTGGGACAAAAATACTATTATTCTTATTATATAGAACAATTACATTAAATCCTCCTATACTTTGAATTTTTTGTAATAAACTTACGTGAGAAAAAAAAAAAAAAAAAAAAAAAGTTTGTACATAAAACCTCTTAACTATCTAATTTGTTACAAAGTGATGTTACAATAATTAAAGTGTGCCTTAATATAAATTTAACAAAATGGTGTTCTTTAATATTAAATTAAATGAATACAAACTCATTTGGCATAGTTCTGTTATAAAAAATTCAGTCAATTTTTATTAACATATGCAAAATGAATTTTTATTAATTTTAATTTAATATTAAGGAGCACCATTTTATTAAATTTACATTATGGGTCACTTTAGTAATTATAACATCACTTTGCAACAAATTTAATAGTTAAGGGTATTTTATGTAAACTTTTTTTTTCAATGAAACCATTCAACTTTACCTTTAAATGAAATTAAAATACTTTTTTTACTTTTCTTCTTTTTTGCTTTAGGAAATAAATTGTTCCAACTCTGGTAAGTCCTTTTTATTATTTTGTTTGGATGTTTTCTTGTACCTCTAACTGATATGTCATTTGTTATTTTTTTGCTCCAAATCTTATCAAAAGTTGAAGGATTATTCATATCAAAGAAAAAATTCACACGTTTACCTTTTGATCGAAATAAGAATTTATTTTTTAATTATTCTATTTGCACTGTTTTCCTTATTATATTTGCATTGTTTACCTGTGGTTTTTTTTTTTTTTCTGATCTGTATGTGGTTTTTTTTCTTTTTTTTTTTTAGAATTTTCATTCTTTCTTTTAGGATGTTAAAACTTCAATCAACTCATCCCTGAAGTTAAAGTCAAATTCATTAAATAATAGATATGTTGTTCATCCCTGAAGTTAAAGTCAAATTCATTAAATAATAGATATGTTGTATATAGAAGTTATATGTATATATTAGAAACTTGGTAAATATGAATTCAACTCAACTGATAAGTAAACTTTTTTACCTTTCACTGAACGAATTTATAGCGACTAAAGAGGGTCTTTTTAAAATAAAATAAAATAAAAATATATATATTTGTGAATGGTGCAATGTTTTTTATTTTTTTTATTTTTTATTAAACAAAATAATATGTTATTAAAGTTATTTTTTATTTTTATGTAAAATATTAAAGTTGTGTTTGCTATCACTAAATCCACACCTTAAAATTAAAATCTAAATAATTTTAATTCAATTTTCAAAATTAAATTCAATTTTATCAATTCGGTACTTAAACCCAACAAACAGAATGCTTTGATCGTAGACTAAAGTACGATTTTATATTATTGTTGTACCCATTTAATATAGGGTTTAGATACCATATTGATTCTATATTTTAATGTATTGGCCTCTTTATATTGCACCAAAAAAAATTCTCAATTTTTATTGAGAATTGAGTCTTACCATACATCAGACTCAGTCTAACCCTGTTTTAAATATTTCATATTGTCTGTAATCGCAATTTTTAAAATTAAATTTTTAGCCGTAGGTGGCAAGTGCCAAAAAAAAAAAATCATTAGTTTAAAAATATATGAAATAAGTAATTTTTTTTTCCTAAATATGAAATAAGTAATTTTTAAGGTTGTGTTAGATAAAAATATAAATTGAGCATTAGAAAGCTTAAATTTAAGTGCCAAATTTGTAAATTGAAATTTTCATTGATATGTTTTAATTTTAAGTGTGATATTGTTTGATAGCTTTTAAGTGGGGTGCACACTGAGGTGCCTGGGGGCACGCTAGGGGGTGTTGGAAATGCCACCACGGTTCCATTTGATTATAAAGTAAATTAAATTAAATTAAAGACGAAAAGTGAATACCGAAATAAAGAGAAATCTTAAAGTAATGGCCCTGCCCGCTACACTAATATATAATAAATTTATTATTTTTACATATTTATATGAAATATGTATATGATGCCCCTCTTATATTTTTTATTTTCTTTTTTACTCTTTAAATTTATTTAATTTATTTTGTAAAAAAAAATTATTTTTGAATCAAACTTTAAAATTTTTCATTTCAAAAGTTCTCTCATCTTTCTTTCTTATTTATCTATCTTATATTATTCATTGATTGACTTAATATTTTACAGTAATTTTTTTCATTCTTTGCCTATTGATTTGAACAATCTATAATTTTCATGTTCATTGATTTATTTAACTATTTATTTTTTATATTGCACTCTGGCTCTACCCCCTATCAGCAATTACATATATGTTGTGCTTGAAAATATGAAAACATCACTTTGAATTAGAAAAAATTAATTTAAAGAGTGAACTATTTTTTTTTTCCCTTCTATCCAATTCTAAGACACCAATTCAGTACCTTAAAAAATAACTTAAAAATAGAATGTGTGTTTATATAAATTAAGTAATTGTTTAAATCTTATACGTTGAGAGTTTAAACAACAGTTTTTAAAATAGAACTATAACATGGTCTACGAAATGATATGCCTTCGAATGCATAATTTCGGTTACCAAATTATTTTCTTCAAAAAAAAAAATATGAACCAAAAATTGTGGTTATAATTTATAAGATACCCTAATGATACCATCATTGTTGAAAAAAATACAAATTTTAATAACTAGTGTCCAAGAAAATATTTTTATACAGTATCGCTAATTTTTAAATTTTAATCTCAATGATGGCCACATCTAACTAAAATCTCATTTTAAATTTTTCTTTGAAAAAAAAACAATTAAGAGAAAATTATAGAGATAATCAACAATTACATGACACAGACGACATTATGGATAAATGTTAAGGGTGGTAACGGTATTATAGTTGTTGGGCGTCTTTATTAACACAGGCTGTAGGTACCGTTCTCTTTCTCTCTCGTGCAAAAGTCTGGGCGAGAGGAAAAAGCGGTACGTTTTAGGTAGGGGTGGCTCAACCGACCTTCTCCTCAGAGGCCTCTGTGTGTTGGGGTTGGGGTGGATCTGCTTGAAAGCCGTCTCTCCTTTCCCGCTTTTTCCGTCCAATCGCCATTTCCAAAGCCTTTACACTTTCTCACTCAGGTATTTCATCCATTCTCTTCCATTTCATCCATTTAGGGTTGCCCAATTAAACGTCAACCCTTTTCATCTTCTTCTTTTGCTTTCAATTTTCCATCTGTCTGTTGATTCACTCCACATTTCTGTGATTTTTTTCTTGGGATTCAGTAAGTAGCTGTCCATGTACTTTGTATATGGGTTTTTACAATTCCGAACTCTTCTGATAATTGAAACGTTGATTCCATTTGTGTTAAGGCTTGTTAATTTTCGGCGTGTGCAGTTCTGCAGATCCAAGGTTCCGAAAAAGTTCTATTTATCATCGTTGTTGAAGCAACATGGCTTCTAAGCGTATCTTGAAGGAACTGAAGGATTTGCAGAAGGATCCTCCTACTTCTTGCAGTGCCGGTAATGGTTTTTCCGCTTTATTGCTTTTGTAACTTGTTATGGACCCTTTTCTCAGTCACCCCAATTTCATGTTTGTTTGAAATGATGATTTGGGCACAGAGTTTTTCCTGTGTGCTTGTACTTGTAATTAGAAGGTATTTAGTCAATAAATAAATAGACTACATGTGTTTGTAATGTGACATCCTATATTGTCTAGTGTGTATGTGTGGACATCCCCCGACTGTGTAGACTTGAGGAAAACAGTGAGCACCCAGAACCGAGTGTGCAAAACTGACAATATCTACATGGGAGAGGTTCGACGACACATATATGTGTGGACATTCCTAACTATTGTATAGACATGTTTTGAGAAAACCGTGAGCACAGAGCACCCGAGAGGAGTGTGTGAAAGGTGGACATTATCTACACAGGTGGGGTGGGACTGTATATAGTAAATTATTTGATGATAGATGGTACCCAAAAAAAAGAAGAAAAGACAAAAAAGAGCCATCATTGTAGGCAGTTTGTTGCATATCAATGTACTCAAAATATTGGGCTAATCCAAAGTTTTAGAACAACAAACAACAACAAAATCTCTCAGCAATAAGTTGTAAAAGTTATGCCGTTTCTTCCTATTATTTTTTAAATCTTCTATATCTCTTATTTTACATCCTTTGAAGTCGTACATGGGATCATGTGGTATCATTGAATTTGTATATATATATTTATGTATAGACATGTTGATTTAATTTAAGTATGGTTGATAAGTTTTAGTGTAATGCCCCCATTTCCCTCCTGCTTTATTACAGAAGTATCCCACACTCTTTCAGGTGATGCAATTTTTGTTAAAAAATCCCATGCTTTGGCCAAATATTTCGTGATAGCCTTCTAATGCTTCTTTTATTTTTAATAGGTCCTGTAGCTGAAGACATGTTCCACTGGCAAGCGACTATTATGGGACCCGCTGATAGCCCATATGCAGGAGGCGTTTTTCTGGTTACCATTCACTTTCCTCCAGATTATCCTTTCAAGCCCCCTAAGGTAACTTTTTGAATGTTTGCTAGTGTTCCTCAGCATTAGTGCATGGCAAGCAATGTTTGGTCTTTATGTAGATCCAATTAGATTGAGGAAGTCTAATTTTGCTATAAGTTATTGTTTGATATGTTGTTATTTTTTTCTTCCTTTTGTTGTAAGGCTAGCACTGGCATGCACTTTGGATGTTAAATAGTTTTGGAAGTTTATCAGGAATTACTGAACAAGCGAGAACAACTGTGGAGTTTTATGCATTTCCTAACTGTTGGAAATTTATTAATATTATTGGACATTAATTCCTTTATTTAGGTGCTGATGTTAACGGCATAAAAACCTCATGAATGGATTGTAGCTCGATTGGGATTTTGTTTTATAGTCTTAAATGCAAGTTACTAAGTGAAAATGTACTATAGTAATTGCAGCATGGAATATATGTACTTGTTAGCATACAAGAATTACCAAATTTTTAATCCACTTTTATGAAGGGAATCACCAAATTTTTTACTAAGATTGAGAAAATAATACTGCACGAAATTTAAGGCCCGTTTGACATGCGTTATGATATTGTTTTTTTGATATTGGTATCCAAATTTGGGCTCATATCATGTTTGGGATGGCTGATATTGGTTTGGAATAGTTTATAACATATCATATTTTTTTGCTCAAACCCATATCACCAAATTGGTGATATTTTGTTTTTTGGTATTGTAGCGGATGAATATTTTGTGTTTTGGTATTGTAGCGGATGAACTAAAACAAAATTTTGAATTTCCCAAAACAAATTTTCGTTACCAAACATGGTTCCGATTTCTACCCAAAACACTCCTACAACAAAATGGTTGTTTTGATATTGACCAAAAACATAATGCCTAAAACATTTCGCATGCCAAACGGGCCCTAAGTTACTGGAGTAAGATGTGGCATGAGGTGTAAGGTTTCTTATGAAGTTTTATAATATTTGTCTTTTGATGATTTTTGTTAGTATAGCAGCAGGGTGTCTTCTTTCTTATTTTGTGATAGTTCTGGAAGTGGTCGTTTTTTACTTTTTGATCTAATAGAATGATTTTGCTGTATCCAGATTAATACCAATCCAACCCATTTAATGAATAAAATGTGTCCTATTGTTCCTGAATTCAGACCTCATGTATGTAGTACTTAGATGTTTAAGGCTAATGATTATTTGCATTCAGGTCGCGTTCAAGACTAAGGTCTTCCATCCGAACATCAATAGCAACGGCAGCATTTGTCTTGATATCCTTAAAGAACAGTGGAGCCCGGCTCTTACTATCTCAAAGGTTTGAGTTTTGCTCCCACCAATTTACTGTTTATATTTGGAACATATTTTTGAGTCGCTGAATTTATATGACAAATGACATAAGAATTATGGTATTATTTATTTATAACCAGTCAGCATGCTTAATAGATTACTGGCTGCAAGTCCTTGCACTTAGTATTTACTATTTACAAATGATATGGTGATGTATACTGACATATGATATCTGAAACATAGAATTACAAAGACAAGTGTGAATATGATAATGCGTTGTGATAAATTCAATTGGAACATGGAATTTGTAAATAATCAGTAATGTTAATTGTGCACCATATGCCTACCAACTTATGGATGAAAAATAGAGGCATTGATATTAGAAAGGGGTGTTAGGTAAATGAGGAATGAACGTTTGATCGAGAGATTATTATGTCTTGTACATGCAAGAAGATGGAAGGGGCAGGCCCTTTCCAAAAAACTTACGGCATTGTGTTAAAGCTTTGTGAGTTATATCATATGAACTTTAGCTAGGTAGGATTACTTAATATTTTTGGTTAACTACTATCATGGATTGTTTTGAGTTACGGTTTAGTAGGTTTGGCAATGGATTTGATTCTTTTGCATCGTCTGCTACACTTTGATCCCAATGTGTGTTTTAAATAGGTTGAAAGCTTTGGTTTGACATTTCCCAACCTATCTAAATCTGTCCAGTTTTGAATGGGTTCAGGTTTTCTAGGCTCCTAACTTTGAGACATCATTAAGGTGTTTCAATTAATCATAACCTTTTAGAATCCTATTTGGACTCTTAACCTAAGCCTATTAACACCAATTTTATTAAACAGAATGACAAAATGTAAGGAATATGAACAATATTTTGAAGTTCCTTAGCAGTGCACCATGTTGATGCATGATCTTACGAAAATAGGTTATCTGAACTTTCCAATATGTTAACAATCTCAACTTGGAATTTTTGGCACGAGTAAATGGTTTTTTTTTTTCTCCAACTTAAAAAAAAAAAATACACACACACACACACACACACACATTAGTTCTACTAGTACTGGTGTAACATTTCTAGTAATGCGTGTCAAGAATGAAATTAACGCTGATATGAACACATGGTTTGTATTTTTCCTGAACTTCTGGCATAACTTCATTCTGTGCTTTGTTTTATAGATGCATGTGTTAATCATTTTCCCCTCCATTTCTTTTGGGGGATTACTGATCGTAGTTGCCTGTAAATCAGGTACTGCTTTCTATTTGCTCGTTGCTCACTGACCCAAATCCTGATGATCCCCTCGTGCCGGAGATTGCCCACATGTACAAGACTGACCGAGCTAAGTATGAGACCACTGCCCGCAGCTGGACACAGAAGTATGCCATGGGATGATGTGCTCCTTTTCACCTAGATTGCACTTCTGAAAGCATGTATAAAACTTGGTTTTTGGCTTTTCTCACAGCGGGAAAAAGCATGTTCAGTTAGATGGATCATTTATTTTTGTGCCGGGAATTCTGATTTTGAGGACTTGTATTGGGGGGAAGAAAGGAAAAGCTGTAATGTTTGTTTTGGACCTTTGGTAATATGTAGTAACGTTTTCCTTGCTGGAGCTCGTATCTTGCTTGAATGCCATAATCAGAATGAGTAAAATGTTGCAGTTTGTGATTTACTTATTTTGTTAGCGTAAATGTGTGATATTGCTTTTTAAACTGTCGTCTTTCATACATGCATACATATGTATGTTTGTATGAATAAACATCTGCAACACTATTAGTCTTACACGGCGATGTTTTTGTTTATTGATGGGCAAGCTGCTCGTGTGTTTTTTTGGCTGCTTATGTTGTAGAATGCGTTGTTCTGTTCTAACTATTAAAAAATGAATTCTCTGCTCCTTTTTTTCTTGGTTGAATGAATTGTTCTGAAGTCATTATTTGGCATCGTAGGTGAAAAAAATGAATGTGATTTTGTTGTTGTTGTTATTGTGTGTGTGTGTATTTTTTTTTATTATTATTATTTTTTAATATGAAAATGAATTTTATTTATTTTTTCATGGAGGGTGAAAGGTTCAGATAGGGGATCAACCACACAAGCAACACAACACTTGCTAATTAAAGGGAGTTGCTTTAACTTGATCGGTCTGAATAAGCTCTTTCAATCTTCCCGTTGAACCATCCAGGCCAAAGGCTCATTGGGCAATTGGTCCTACTCTTGTTTTATGACAATTCTTGATATGTAAACCCGTGTGTACATCTCCGTATAAATATATATATATATATATGTAGTGTTGGTGTAAAAAATAAAGTATATAAAAAAAGTGTATAAGATGGACAAAGAAAAAATATATTATTTAAGAATATAAATATTTGGCCCATATTAAATGTGTGTAATGATTAGGGTTTGGTTTACTCAACCACCAACCGAGAATGAGGAGGAGAGAAATTGTGAAAAAAATGAGATATTTGGAAGATAAATAAAAAAAAATGAGATATTTTGGGAGAGAAATAATTTCAAATGAAAAGGCATGAATGGATAAGGAGAGATAAAACAAAAAAAGAGGAGTTATTTTAGGACGCAAATTTTTTAGAATTAATGTTCAACTAGGAAATAATTATAATATATTATATACAAGGTAACTATAATATTTTGGGTGGTTGGGGCCTTAGGCGACCGCCTAACTCGCCTAAGGCTCGAGCTGTCCCTAACTATAAGCTCAAGAGTTATTTATAGAATATGGATATATTTGATAATAACTAACATTATTATTTTTGGTTTCCAGAAAAAATGTAATCCGTGAGAAGAACCCTCCCAATCCAGTTCATCGACCAATTACAAGGTTCTAAGATGACCATTTTGCTTTTGATTTTTCATTCCTTTTCTTTATCTGGAAAGCTGAGTTTTTGGATCTGTATGTCATCTTCAATTTGTTCTAATTTGGTTCTACTTTGATTCTTATTCACAGAGTTCTAGAGGTTTTTGGCTTGCCTGACCACACGATTAGACCCAATCAAATATGGGTTCTTGATGAAACCATTCATATATGTCTCTGTGTATGTGTGTGAGTGTGTATATATATATATATATATATAATTTGTAAATTTACAACATTTTAGTGCTATTTTAGTCTTTTTAATCTTATTCTCTGAGATTAATGGTTGGTTGACAAATTTCAAGGGTGATTAAGTCATTTTACATCATGTCAGAACTGTTTAACAAATTCCAAGGGTGAAAGTTTGTGACGTGAGTAATAATTATTTTTAAAAGATATTTGAGAGTTATATTTGACCAAATTTCAGTAAAATTAACTCTTAAAATTATAATATATTAATACATTCTACATTTTAGTGGATTCAATTTTTTTGAGTGGTATTAAATCTTTATTTTGCAAAGGAAGGTTAGGAATTAAAAAAAAAACCCAACATGCTAGGCTTTACGGTATTAGACCCTCAGGTTAGTTTGGTAAAATAAAATGATCATTCTTTTTGTTTGAAGGTAGAATGATTTTAATGAAATTATCATTCTTCAAGAATAGCGAGGAATGATTATCTTAACTTTAAAATTGACGCCGAATACAAAAATAGAAAAAAAAAATATCATTCCATCCTACTTTTTTTTATTCCATCCCACGTACCAAATTAGCTCTTAATTTTTAAGGAGGAGGTCAGATATTTGAGTTTAGGGAAAGCACGTGTATAAGTACAAAAAAATTGAACGAAGAGAAGTTCCACGAGGGTATAAAAGTAATTTCAACCAAAATGACATTTTGCGCCAACCAAAACAGATTAATCGTCTATTTTCGCCGGCAATCCTCTGTTGTGTATATGCATGTGCAAGTGTTCTCCGAATGTCAAACTTTACGAAAACTCGACGAACAGTCTAAAGTTCACTTTTTTAGGGATTTGATTCGAATTTCCGGCCTGTAAAGCCCGAAAAACTAATTAAGATCAACACAAGAAGCTCAAATCAAGGTTAATTTTCCTTCATCTTCATTGTTTCTCACATTCAATTGGTTCAGTTATAATGTAGTTTGATATTTTAGTTTTGCAATTTCCTCTTTTCTAATACCTTCTCTAAAAAAAATCTGAATGATGCGTGTTCATACTTCTTATTGTTGTATCACTCAAATTATTTGGAACAAAAAAATTAGCAAATTTGGTTGAAAAAATAATGGGTTTTGCCAATGAAATCTATTTAATGAGGATATATAATAAACAGCTGATATTAGCACATTGGATTCATGTATGTTAAATAAAAAAAGACACTATTTTATTTTAACTTGCTCTGGGAAGGTTTTATAGAGGAGAATGTCTACATGTATTTGCTTTCAAAAACATATTGACAATAAAGTTGAAGTGAACTAATGAACCATTTTCTATTGATAGAGGCTTAAAATGTTCATTTTAATTTAGAATAGTTCCCCTAGTTAATCTGTGTTAAAATTTTGACTTTAATGCTCTGCCATTTTCTTTAATTTAATTTCACTTTCAGGATACTCTGGGTAGTTCAGCATATCTAGTTTCTGAAGATCAAAATGGGACTTTGCTTAACTAAGGTAATCTTTTTTAATTGATACCTGCCTAATTAACAGGTTCAAAAAACTCAAAACAAAATTTATGCATCTAGACTATAGATTTAGTGATTTCCTTTATCAGATTAGTGTTTCTCTTCAGTTACCTGATATTCTGGTTGTTGGGTTTGTGGTTCGAAATTAAAATTAGTTTCCTTTTCCATATGGGAGTATTTTAGAGTTGTGACTGATATGGTAACTCCTTGTACTCAAGTTGTGGAATTCTTGTCCCACAAAAAATTGGGTTTTGAAGACTATAAATAGAGATGGATTTGGGTAGAGAGGTAGAGAGAGTGATATTGTAGAGACAGAAAAAGTGAATTGAGTTTGTGTTATCAAGTTTTGAAGTAAAGATAATTGTTCTTTGCCCGTGGATGTAGGCAATTTTCTGAACCAAGTAAATCTCTTTTTGCTTGTGATACAGCAGCGGGTAGGGCGATTCGAAATCAGAATTCAAGTAGAATAAGAAAGAGATTGAGAGAGAAAGGGAATAAGAATAGAGGGAAAGAAATCAGAAGAGAAGAAGAATTTAGAAGAGAAGAAGAGTTCAGAGGGAGAAGAAATCACAGATAATCTCAAATTCAATATCAATAATAATCATAAAAAGCTGACTTTCACAATGTCTAGACCAACATATAAATAGGCATCGAAGAAAAACCCTAATCAACCTATTACCATAAATAATACCCTAAATTGCTGAAATATCCCATAATAATAACAAAATCCCTAATTTTATCTTTCTTTCCCACGTCTCCAGTAGTAGGCGTGGGCCATGTGGTTTTCAAGCTCTCGGGCCAGGTCCGGTTCTCCATCATTCTCTCCCGGTTGAGAAGAACTCTCGTCCGGAGAGTAAATGCAAATGTATATATTCAAAAAGTAAGAGTCAATATAATAAAGTTGTTTTGCTACAATCCATGTAAAATCTGAAGCTAAAGGTAATTGTGGACATCCCAAATACGATCAATCCAATCCATATACTGCAGCTGAGAAGACGGAAGTGCTGGTGCTGATGCTAAGAAAGATGGAACGCTACCTGTAGAAACACATGCCAACAAAATAGGAGGCTCAAAGGTGCCTCGGTTAGGTAACGGATACTCCACATCAAAAATTGAACTAATACTCATATCCAAAGACCAGTCAAAGAAATACGCATTAGGTCCTGATTTTTGAATGATGTGGCAAAGTCTATCAATTTGGCATGTTTCATCTGGAAGGAGTTTTTATGACTAGGTTGAGGTAGTGAACAAATTATAGCATAATCTCCTTCATTAAATTCATGATTCCTATGATGAGCATATGCAATGAGTTCATAATTCTTTTTACTTAAGACAATTTCCTGTTGCACATCGGCATAAAAATCATGAACAAACTGAACGAAGGAATCAACAAACTCAAGTGAATACATACATGGAGGTGAAGGAACATGATCAATGGACTGGCATGGAAATGAATTATAGACAATTTCGAAAAAATAATTGCCAGTAAATTGATTTGTTAAACTTGTATAGGCATATTCCATTATCGGCAATAACAAATTCCAAGAGTCTAGGTGCACGTTAGTAAGTAAACTAACCTACTTTCCTAGACCTTGTTTCACAACCTCAATTTTTCTATCATTCAAAGGACAAGATGCAAAAGGAAACTTCAAATTTGTTTCTAAGAATGTCCGAAGTGTCTTCCAGAAATTACTATTGTACTTGACATCCTTGTTTGACACAATAAACTCTTTTTCAGACACATCTTGACCAATAGAAGTGACTACTTCCACCAAATCAGTGGACAAAAGGCCCAAAAATTGTAGAGCCTTTGGAAGGCGGGGCTCAAGAATTGTAGCGCAGTTTTTCAAGACTTTTTCTCCTAATGTATAAGATTGAGGTGAAATAGTCTGATTTCCTTTCCTAACACTAGTTAGAAGAGGACGAAGTAGCTCTATAGAGATATAGTCACATTCCTCAAGTACAAGAGTCGTAATTTGCTCCATATGTTTAAGGATATTGTCCGGATGATAATCTCTTATTTCTGTTAAAAAGTACTGAAGCATCTGGACAATTAATTCTTCACATTCGAAATCTAGCATTATCAAACATGACTTGACACTTGCAAATGTGTTGAGGATTTTGACCCTTTTACCATAAGATGGACAAGATGTATCAGCTAGATTTTCAAAAGATGATACAATCACCTGAAATACTTCTACCATTTGATCATCTTTATAGGGAAAATCTGGTGTTGTAATACTTGTTAACTCACTAAGGCATGAGGCTACTGCAACTCTAACGTCACAATCTGAATGCTTTAAAAATTCTTTAGCAATTAAAGCCTTCATTATTGGAGAGAGTGCAGCTTGCATTGAAGCACATGGGTCCTGCTGTACTTTGCAAAACAAGTGATCAGTTTTGTTAAGCAACCAAAGGAGCTCACTGATTGAGGATGGAGGTTGAAAAAGCCTATTTCCAATTTTCAAAAGTTGTTGTTCCAAATTTATTTTCAGTGTTGTTTTTGTTTCCCTTTCATTTTCACACCAGTTAATTCTATTTCCGTGTGATGGGAAGCTTGGTTTGGACTCAACAATCTTAACCTTGCTTGGCTTAGAACAAAGCCGTTGGGGACACAAAACGATGTTCGCCTCTGACATCGTTAAGAAGATGTATCAGCTTGGTCAATGGACATGGTTTAAAGAAGGTTGTTGATGGTCGTGGTGGAAAGGTATGATATAAGAATGGTTGAGGATAATGCCAACATAGAACTCAAATTGAATTAAGTAAACTAAATTATAAACTAGAACAATGCACAACTAAGAAAATCAGAATGCAATGAAATCGATTATGCCAAAATTCATGCACTGATTGCAAGTGTTTAGGTGCAAAAATAAGGTGGAAACGTGATTTATTTATTTTTTATTTTTAACCTTTGGCAAGAAAGGCACTCAAAGGAAAATAATAGTAAAAGAAATAAATAATTTGGTTCAACAATCAAATGGGTTCAATTAGGACCTTTTGCAATTTATAAACTAATCGAATGGATAAAAGTACTAATAACAATTTTTTTTGTTGTTGTTAAAGTACATGCACCTTTTCCAAAGTAGAATGTAGATCCCAATTGAATGCTCCTGAGTGTTGAAGATTACTCCAAAATAGCTGCTTGAACTGTGCTCTCTTTTTCTTTTTTTGTCAGTCTACTAGTGAACAGGCTGAACTATTTCTGAAATTTGGTCTGATCTTCTAAACTGGGCTAAGCTTGGGTCAATCTGCTACTTCCTGAAATGGGCTGGATCTGACTATTTTAAATTTGAGTTTGGTCAAATCAAGTTTTTAAGGAAACAAAATATATCCTTTCCATACCCAAATCTGAACTTTCCAAATCAGATGGGATAATCCAAAGTTGACTTTCCAAAATCAGTGGCGCTAAAATTTTGGTGACAATAAGGATTGCAAAGATTTCAATAACCAAAAGTTGACTTTCCTAAATCATTAGCGCTAAAATTTTGGTGACAATAAGGATTGCAAAGATTGCAATAACCAAAAGTTGACTTTCCAAAATTAGTCGCGCAGATTGCAATAATCCAAATTTGACTTTCCAAAATCAGTCACGCTGAAATTTTGGTGAATAAATATTCCAAAGTTGACTTTCCAGAATAATGCTGAAATCTCGGTGACAGTTGCAATAGAGTGCACAAAGTTCTTGGCTGAAGTTAGACTTATGAGCTATGCATGGCTTTGATGACGTGAGGATGGCGGCAGTGACGACGAGAGAATACTACTGCGACTGATTTCCGGTGACAGCTATTGTTGATGACGACAATCACACAAGGATTTCCGAATTTGTTTTTTTTTATTTTTATTTTTTTTGACTTGGTTGGGTTTAGGGTTGATGTTGGGATTGGTGCTAGGGTTTGATTGCTGTGAACAGTAGAGAAATCCATGAATCTTTGCTCTGGTACCAATTGATGTAGCAGCGGGTAGGGGTGATTCGAAATCAAAATTCAAGTAGAATAATAAAGAGGTTGAGAGAGAAAGGGAATAAGAATAGAGGGAAAGAAATCAGAAGAGAAGAAGAATTCAGAGGGAGAAAAAATCACAGATAATCTCAAATTCAATATCAATAATAATCATAAAAAGCTGACTTTCCCAATGTCTAAACCAACATATAAATAGGCATCGAAGAAAAACCCTAATCAACCTATTACCATAAATAAAACCCTAAATTGCTTAAATATCCCATAATAATAATAAATAAACAAAAATCCTTAATTTTATCTTTCTTTCCCACATCTCCAATAGTAGGTGTGGGCCATGTGGTTTTCAAGCTCTCAGGCCAGGCCCGGTTCTCCATCAGCTTGTGTGTGTTTTTATCTATTTTATTTGCCAATTGTGTGTGTGAAATCCTAACAAGTGGTATTAGAGCCATGGCGGCAAGTATTACAGATGGAAAGTACGTGGTTGAGAAGTTTGATGGAAGAAGGAACTTTAGTCTTTAACAAGTTCGGATGCGGGTTTTACTGATTTAGCCAGGGCTATGAGAGGCTTTAGGTAAGAAACTGGAAAAGATGGAAGATACAGATTGGGGGAAGATCAACTCAAAGGATATGAGTACGATTCATCACAACTCTCTTCATTATTCAACTTTTCATTAGAGAACAAAGCACTTTTAACTTGTTCTATAGAGATGGTATCTCTCCCATAAAGCAAAGTATTGAATAAATGCTTATGGGCAGAGCGTAACAATATTTACAAAATAATTGTTTTATCCTCATCACTTAACTTGACATCAACGTTAGATAAATCACAAATAATTTTGTTGAATTCACCAAGATGTTCTTGTGGGCTTACCCCCTTCTTTTCTCCTAAATGAATATAACTCTTGCTTCAAGAATAACCGGTTGGCGAGATTCTTTCCCATATACAGATTCTCCAACTTCTTCCACATGTCCGCTGCTGAATCTTCTTCTATCATATCATACACAATATCATGTGTTATGCTTTTGG